TCATGACTGCATGTTAAAGAATGAAACAAGGCAAAGTTGAGAAAACTTTATAAAAACAATATTTATAACAAAAAATATTTACATTTATAACAATAATATAATATATATTCATACAACAATAAAAAAAAATAAAAATCAAACAAATTTGATAACGGTTGCAACAGCAGATGTAATACAATCTCAAAACTATATACAAAAATTCACACATGGTGTGTGTGTGTGTGTGTGTGTGGAAGAGGAGCCTGGCTCGTCCCCCCCGAGGCTGTCACCCCAGCTATGGTGCCACTGTTTCCAAATTTAGGGTGAAATCCTGAGCTGCATAAATCAATTTATGAATTTCAATTTTAACAAACTCCTTAGCCTGGGGTGACAGCCTCGCGAGGGAAGGAGCCAGGCCTAAGAGGAACTGCTCCTCTTCTGGATGGCGAGATGTGGGTGCTGGTGGTGGTGTTGGTGGACGGGGATTCTGATGCCTCCGCAGTGCCAGAAAGAGGAGCTCCTCTAGCTCCTCCAGTCTCGAGGAGGGAGGCGTCCTTCTCTTCCTCCCTGTCATAAAAAAAAAACCTAATCTGTTACTATTTGTTTCATAATTTCTATGTGAATTTGACCTTGAACAATTTCATTGAAGATATGGTTAATATTTTTTTCAATACCTTTTGGCCTGGCTGCAGTGGGGCCCGAGGCATCGCTTGAAGCAGATGAGGGAGCAGGAGACAATGAGGGGGCAGGAGAAGGTGACAGAGCTGAAGCAGGAGATGGAGCAGGAGCAGGAGAGGGAGCTGCTGCAGGAGAGGGAGCTGAAGCAGGAGAGAGAGCAGGCTTATCTGTAGTTAAAGTTGTGACAAAAATGTTTGAAATCCAAAACTCTGCAATCAGGCAACATTGCAATTCAAATTAAAAATGTTCACAAATTAAATGTGCATGATTTGATCTGTCCATCTTAAATTAGACTACAATGGTGTGTTTAAACCATGAGGGGACTCAAATTTATTTGCTATCTTTTTCACTCATCAACTAACCGTCAAACTCCACTCCTGAGGGGCCTGCTTCCTCAAGCTCTTCAGGCATCCCAGCAGCATTTTCTGCGGTGATGTCTTCCTCGACCTCCCGAGACATGTTGCTGCTTGTCTCCCTCGGGGCCATAAAGGGGTCGAGGAACGACATTACCGCAGAGAAACACCACTTCTTCTGCTGGGAGGCCGCCGACCCGCTTCTCCCACCTTCCTTCTCTCTCCTTTTCTTCCTCATGTAAACGTCCCGCAGCCCCTTCCACCGCTTGCGGCACACATCCACTGCAAAGACACACATACATACTTTGAAACATGTTGCCTAGCAAGCAGGGGCAGTTAGCTATGTTTTCATAAAACAGTCCGCTCACTGAAATAAATAAATAAACAAACAAGCTTACCAGAAAGCCCGACATCACGGGCCACCTTCCCCCATGCTTCTTCTTTGGCGTTGCGGTCCCGGTACAGCCCGCAACCCACGTCGTATAGCACGGGGTGGTAGCTAACGGATGTGATTAACTGCTCCTCCATTGTGATTCTTCTTCTCCTCTTCCTTGTTTTCGCCGGTTTGTTGACGTCAGCAGAGCCCTGATTGGCTGTCGCGGCACGGAGTCGCTCCCAAAGTTCAAATATTTGAACTTTGGGAGCGACGCGACTTGGCGTCCTGCGACCTCGGGGACGCGACCTCGGGGACGCGCCTTGGCGACCGGTCGCTAGGTCGCGTCAGGTCGCATCGCAGGCAGCTGGTGGTCGCCAAGTCGCGTCAGGTCGCGGCTGGCCATAGACTTTGCATTGGGAGCTGTCGCCAAGTCGCGTCAGGTCGCGTTTGGTCTGAACGCCCCTTAACACTCTCAGCTATCAAGCCATGTTTGGAGCACATCAGATGCCAGATCCTGGAGCCATGTGAGGGAGACCAACCACTGGTGAGAGAGATGAAGAGTTTGATGAGGAGTGACCTTGACTCAAGGTATTCAGAGGAAGCAGAGAGAGTGATGGAAATAGCATGTTTCCTAGACCCTCACTTCAAAGGAGAGTTCTCTGAAGATCTTCACAACACAATCAACATCTGTGTACAGGAGGCCCTAAAAATGAAAACATCAGTTGGAGTCCGAATGCCACAGGCCACTGCCAGCACCGCAACTGCATGCTCATCCTCCAGCACAATGAGCACACCCAGAGAGCCCCTTAAAACACATAAGCCCGGCAGCCTGGCTGGTTTGCTAAAGACAATCACTGCAACAAGGCAGCAGCAGCGAGCCGAAGAAGTCACCAGTGCCACCAGTCCAGAAGAACAGGTGAGATGAAATTATGAATTTTAAAATGTAGGAGGCAAAAAGATAACTTATTTGTTCAACTGAATATATGATAAAAAAAAGTACTTTTTTTTTTTTCCTTTTTCAAATTATTTTTCTGTATGCGTCTTTGTTGTCATGGCAGGTGAGGGCAGAGGTGAACGTCTACATGTGTCTTCCAATACTTCCTGCCGTTGAGGAACTTGAGGATGAGGAGGGGGATCCATCAGTGAAACGGCCATGGTTGGAGCGGGATCCATTGCAGTGGTGGAAAGAACATTCAGGCGAAATGCCCCATCTCTCCAATGTTGCACACCGGTTTCTTTGCATACCTGCAACTAGTGTGCCTTCGGAACGTGTCTTTAGTGCCAGTGGACACATTGTCACACCTCTGCGAAAAAAACTAAAGCCAGAAAAAGTGAACATGCTGACTTTTTTGCACCTTAATCTACCTTGAAAAGGGCTATTGTTCCACATCTCACTCCCTAGGCCACACAAGGCTCTCAGCCAATGTCATTTTTGTTTTGTTTGTTTTTATATAAGTTCAGCCAGTGTTTAACTGGCAGTTGGCACTATTGCTACTGTAGGCACTTTATTTTTGTTCAGTAATGGCTACAGCCAGACAGACAAGGCAGTATTGTTGTTCTTTAGTTGTGTCTTGCATTATTTATATTGTATTTATTCATTTTCAGTCACTGTGGCAGTAAACAGGGGTTTTGCCGTTGTTCTTAAGGCCTGTCAAAGAATAAATATTGTTTAACAGAGAAGTGATTTTGCAGTTTTCTTGCCATTTTTAATAATGATAAAAGCAATGTGCTAATATCGTGATAATATCGTGAATCGTGATATTTTGGGCCACCAATATCGTGATATCAAATTTTCATATCGGCACATGCCTAGTGCTGACTCAGATTAATAGTTGTTGATGATTTTTTATTGCACTGAAATGTGCCTGACACCGTGGAAACCTGCCTGTGAGCTATCGGCGACGTATGCCGATATGCCGCCAGTCTACCAAAATACTACTAGACCAGCTGCGCTCCGCCTGCGCTGAAAGCTGACTTGGGTTGATTTGGGTGGAATGTAAACAACTACTGTTATGATATGACTAAATTCTCTGGGAACATAATATGGCCAAAGAGCAACTGCCAACAGTTCAATATCTGGACAACACAACTTCTCCTTGACAGTTATGTGTGAAGGGTTACACCATCTCTGGTTGACAAATAAAGCCAGACCTCCTCCTTTCTTCTTGCCACTAGCTTGAGCATCTCTGTCTGACCTTATGAGAGTGAAGCCAGGTAGATCCACACTGGAGTCTGAGTTGTTTTGATTCAACCAGGTTTCAGTAAAACACAGGAAACTGCACTCACGGTATGCTTTCTCAGTCTTCACCAAGATCTCCAGCTCATCGCTTTTGTTGGGCAGAGAGTTGATGTTTCCCATGATGATTGATGGAAGAAAGGGTTTATATCGCCACCTCCTAGCATTCAGCTTTGCCTTCACCTTTGCACCAGCACGGCAACCACGATAACACCTCCTGATGTCCTCTGGAATTGTATGTTTTTGCCCAGATTTGCTTTTCCTCAATGAAAGGAGCTCTTCTCTTGAGTAAAGTCTTCGCCCAGCAGAAGTATCCATCAGCAGCCAACAAAATTACAGCAAAAATATGAAAAAAAATCTAGCATATATTACAAAAATTACAGATAATACAGAGAGACCAGACTTGCAGCAACCTCTCGGTTTAAGCGCATCATTTGAATCATTTTGTAGGCTGAAATAATGATGTAATACAACAGAGTGAAACAACAGACTTTTTTATATCTGAGAATCATGGAAAGGTATTAAAGAGGTATTAGAGAGGGAGTAGAGAGCCTGAAAAAAGGCATAATACCCCCTTCTTGAAGTGGACTGATTGTTCACCTGGGCAGCTGACACCTACCCTCTCACACTGGTTTTTAGGCATTAAAAATGACACTATAAAAAGAGTTGATCTTGTCACTGGTGGTCATGATGGCTTTTGTAAACCATAAAAAAGTATTATTGTGATGATAATCTGATTCATTAAGAACAAAAACTCCCCACAGGAGCTTTAAGATGTTTGAAAAAAGAAAGGTTGATGCTCAAACTGTAACATCCAACCCAGTCTCCTATACTGGAAACTCAATTTCCTAAATGTGCCAGCTGCAGTTATTTTCAGGTTAAAATGTTGGGTTAAAATAACCAAACATTTGATCTGTTTATAATTGTAATGATTTGGATTTGGTTGTATGTTCTCATTTAAGATTCATTGATTGCAGCTTTTTTATTAAAAATGTGCTGCACGTGGTTGCTGGAATGAAACTGCTCAAATTAATATCTATTTGATAATTGACCTTCACTTTGGTGTCAATGTTTTTTGGACTCTTAAAAGCTTTCGGGGCCCTCAGCAGTTAGTAGGGAAGTCATGGTCTACAGAGTCAATAACGGACCTCCCACGGGGCCGGGTGAGATGATGTGTGTGACTGCCCTCCAGTAGCGGTTCTTTCTTTTTGTCTCTTTTTGTGTTTGTGTGTGTGTGTGTGTGTGTGTGTGTGTGTGTGGGGGGGGGGGGGGGGGGGTTCTCGCCCGGGGAGTAATTTGGTCTAGAACCGCCACTGCTGCCCTCCCTCACTGCTGGAGCACCAGGAGAGGCTGACAGACGTACCGCTGCTCCTGGGAGGGTCTCTCTCCTTATCTGATGGAGAGGAAGAAGACGCAGAAGAAAATGTCAGCGGGTATTAAAAGAGGAATAAGCGCTAAAGCCGAGTCAAGAAAATGCGCTGCGCGTTTCTGGAGGCTTTTTCCGCACCTAGTGCTGTGTCTGTCTCTTGTCGGGTACGCAGCGCTGGGTGCGCTCTTGTTCCAGCTTATTGAAGGACGGGTTTCGTCCACAACCGAGCCCAAGTACCATGAGTTCTTGGGTGAAATTGTCACCAAGGTCCAGAACCTCACCGGTAAGAGGCCATTGTAAATCCTTTTGTACCGAACTAACTAAGAAATTGAAAGAACTTTTTTTAAGTTAGACAGTTGCTTGTTTCATTATGTGGACTTCTGAGAGTTTTATATGGCAAGTAATACAAGGTTGAGCCGGTTAGCATCTGTTAAAAAAAAACGTACAGACTTTTAACATCTGCAGGAAAGCCAGCTGGCAGAATGAGGTCTACATGACCTGACCAGCTCAAATATAAATCAAACTTCATGATATTTAAGCCAAAATTGTCTCGATAACTTCATTGAAATAAATACGATCTCTTGTGTTAAAAAAGCTTATCAAAAAAAACTTTGCCATTGTAGGTTACTGCAGTCAATGGTGTTCTTATCCTTGGTTCATGGTAATAGTTTGTGCTTAGACAATCTACAAAGTGTCATCCTAACACCCATACCTGGATAGGCGTTTCCCTTAAAATCACCCCATACACTGATGTCGTTGGTTAAATTACAAGAATTGATTTGAGCATATGTGTGGAGAAAAGTTGATTCACATTTCTGTAAAATGTAAAGACTTTTTCAGATAAAGTACCTCAAGCCTTTTCTTGAGTATGCTCACGGTGATAGTTCAACTTCTACTTTAAAAAAAATGTTAAATCAAAATAAGTTGAATATTTTTTAAAATCATTCCACCCTCATTCATTAAATCTGAAATCAACGTGTTCTCCTTCCTCTCAGAAAATGCCTCCTACACACATCAGGACATAGTGAAGGAGGTAGAGACTAAAATGCGTGAAGGATTTAAGTCCATTTGGCTCCAGAGACCGGACAGGTGGCACTTCTTTGGCTCCATGTTCTTCTGCTGCACAGTGTTCACTACAGTGGGTAAGTAATTAGCTCTCTAGCTCCTGCATGCTGATGGCTTTTAAGTGATATTATATTATATTGTATGACATTATATGACATTATACTATATGACATTATATTATAAGGTCTATGCACTCCATAAGTTTTTCTCTCGATGCTCAAAGTGAACAGGTTCTTGTGCATAAACATGCTGAAGATGAGCAGCTCACCCCGGAGACGGTGATGAAGTGCTCACATTGGCAAGAAGGGAAAATTGTCTGTTTTTGGGTGGGGATTAAAAATAACACAATCAACTTCCTGAAAACCCATTTTTTTCTAAAACTCAGCCCCCCCTCCAGCTGGTCTTCTGTTGTTCTGGGGTTTGTTCAGAACTTAATCCTGATTTTGTTTGAAGCCTCTCCCATTAGCTGGTTCACCCTCTTCCTCCTCCTCTGCTCCTCCTTTCAGCTGGTTCATCCTCTTCCTCCTCCTCTGCTCCTCCTTTCAGATTGTTTACCCCTTTTCTCCTCCTCTGCTCAATCTCTCAGCTGGTTCACAAACACTTGTGGTAGGAAATGTGAACGCTGTCTCTTCTTGCAAGCTCTAAATCAGTTTTATAGACTCTGACCATATGACTAGAGCAATACGGCCCCACCCCTAAATTTTACAGACACAGTAACCTTGTGTTTTACCAAGCATGGGTACAATCATTTGTGTGAGTGGATAACATGTAAAGTCAATGCAACAACGGGATTAGACAGGCATTTTACTTAGGCGTAGCGAATTACATGAATTAGTTTGCTCAATTCTTCTTGTGTCGCACCATTTGCAATTTGCCAAGTAGAACATAGGTGTAATTGCGTCTAGGCATTGACTTTACATGTAATTCATTCATGCAAAGGATTCTACACGAGGTGACACTAAGACAGAAGTAAAAAAGAGCTCAGCTAGAGAAAAGAGAGTGAGAATGATCTGATTATCTGATAAGTTGTTTAAACTCAACAGAGTCTCATGGTGCGATCATGTTCTGTTATGTTTGTTGTAAACTAGTAATGGGCACGGCAGTTCTTTTAGATGTACTAAATTACTAGAATCAGTTCACTCGATTTTTTTTAAAGGTTTGTTAACCGAATCACAGAATCATTCAGCACTTGGTGGGAGGAGCCTGCAACTCCAACTTCCTGAACTGATACGCAACGGTTCAGGGTTCAGTTCAGATTCATAGCTTCTGGGACCGGGAGACGAGAGTGTTGTGGCTGTGTAGCTTTGACAAACAGGTTTGTGAAAATGAATTTGTCCATAAATCATAATATTTTAAGTGTACTGTCCAGTGGTACATCGCCATGAAAGTTTATCTTCTTAAGACAAAAATGATTCCAGAGAGTGTAGTTCACTGCATGATTCATTCACCAAGGGATTCAGGCATCAGTAGGTGCGGTCCCTTTCTTGCTGGCTGCTTGCCCAGCAATGGTGTGTGCTATGTCAGCTGTTCAACTGAAGTGAGAAACGAATGAATCACTTGAAGAAGGGATTCGGTTCAGTACGTTCACTTGAAAGTTTCTGTTCTTTTGAACCAATCATTCGCAAAAGACACAACACTAATGTAAACATAAGAATAAGACATGTTTTTCAGAGCTCCTCTCCGTTTAACTTTTATCTGTTAATTCAACCGTCTTTAACTGAGTCTGCTCGAGAATAGACCTAGAATCTTGTTTCTACATCTATATAAGTCTGTTTGAGACCATGAAATGCCGGACAAATTGAAAACTGAGAAGAAAGACAAGCCAAAATCCAACCCGCTCAAGCCAGCTAACAGCATGGTAACGGCTAATATCAGCGATCCTGTACCAGAGCATATACCCGTCCCTCAGATGGAAGAAGCATTGAAAAATATGCAAGACACTATACTTGGGACTATCAACACCTGGTTCAATCTACTGGAGGAGAGGTTTGCCTCTCCAGTCCACACACAGCACTCTGGCAAGCCGATTGGATGATGTGGATGTCACAGTCATGGACCATGAGATGCGTCTGAAGGCTGCAGAGTCAGCCATTACTGAGCTCCGTATGGAAAACGCCTCCCTCAGAGCCAAGACAAATGACCTGGAGGGTCGCTCCAGGCGCAATAATGTCAAACTCGTAGGCATACCCGAGGGAGAGGAGAAAGGAAATCTGTTTTGTCAGTTTGTGAGCTCTCTTATTCCTAAACAACTGGGCAAGACCAACTTCCCAAAGCCAGTGATCATCGATCGTGCCCACCGCTCTCTATTGCCCAAGCTAGCAGCAGTAGGACCTGGACCCGCTTCCAGACTCCAGAGCTGAAAATCAAGCACAGCCTGCACTTTCCTGCCAAGCTTCACTTCCAGCACAATGGGCTTCAGAAGATATTCACCTCTCCCGAGGATGCAAGGAAATTCGTGGGCATCCAACAGGTCACTGGAGGCGACTAAACGTGGTCTGGTATGTGGACTGTGACTGTCACTTTAATACATGCAGACTCTACAGCAGAATATGAATCATAAACATCATACGGTAATGTTTCATGGGCATAGGTCCACATTTTGTTGTGTGAACGGCAGAGAGGTAGACGGCTTATTTAGTTGATAACTTTTTTGCTGGTTATATTTGTGTTTTAAGCCATACGCCCCATGACCTTCTGCAAGATTATGGGGATGCTTCGTTTGGGGAAGTGTCAGTGGGGAGGGGGGTGGGTTATACCAGTGTTGTTCTATGTTTTCCGGAGTGGCCAAACTAACTGTATTTGCTTGTCAATATTAATGTTCTTTGGGTGTTTTAGAGTGTTGTCTTTCTGCATAAATATTATTGTCACTACCTAAAATTGCAAATCAGTCAGACATGAGTACAATTTTACTAGTTTCATGGGATGTACGTGGCCTGGGTCATGCTATGAAGCGAGGTAAAACTATTCTTACTTCTCTCATGTACATAAATCCTACGCAAGGATTGACTGCTTTTTGGTAGATGCTAAATATCATAACATCCTAATTTCAGATCATTTCCCCGTCTGACTACAACTAAAGCTTGATCTACCAAAATGCACCTATTGCTGGTGCTTTAATCCATGGTTACTAACAGATCAAGTATTTATCGACTATATCTCTGTGCGCCTTGAGGAGTTCCTTGAGATCAACGATACAGGGGAAGTTTCAGACTCTACGCTCTGGGTGACCCTCACGGTGGTGATGAGAGGTCATATAATTTCTTTTGAGGCTTCAAAAAGGAGGGAACAGCACCGCCGCCTGGTGGAAATTGAGAATGCAATTCCAACTCTAGAACAGACCTACCGGGGCTCCCTGTCTCAAGAAGATTTCAATAGGATTTTGAACTTGAAATATGAATACAATAAAATTCTCAGTGGAATCATAAGCAATCTACTACTAAAGGTCAAACAAAACCACTTTGAGCCAGGGGATAAACCAGAGAGGCTGTTGGCCAGACAGCTGGAATGTGCTCAGGCAAACCGTGCAATCTATAAAATTAAATCTAGTACAGGAGAATTGAATTGAATCAAAAATCCATCACCCAAGTCTTAGCTAACCAACTGGGAAGGCATATTTCATCAGTCATACACCCCAATTAAACAGGGTTCTTCCCGGGTAGGTTCTTGTTCTGTAATGTGCGGCGGTTACTCAACAACTTATACACTAACCATTCAGATAACCCTGGAGCAGCGGTCTTGGCCTTAGACGCAGCCAAAGCCTTTGACCAAATAGAGTAGCCTTTTCTGTTTGAATCGCTTAAAAGATTTGGAGTTGGGGATGCTTTTATTACTTGGGTTAAGATGTTGTATCTTTGCTTCAAATCCTTCATTCTCACCAACAATAACAGATCTGGGCCCTTCAGGTTACACCGCAGAGTCAGACAAGGTGACCCCTTGTCACTTCTCCTATTCGATTTGGCTCTGGATCCTCTCACAGTATGGGTCAGGAGTCATCCCTTTATTCAGGGCATTAAGATAGGGGGCGTGGAAAGCCATATAGGGCTTTATGCGGACGATACATTATTATATCTTGTGGATCCTGTGGTCTCTGTTCCCTATTTGCTAGACTTAATTAAATGCTTTAGAAAACTATCTGGGTATACAATCAACTGGGGAAAAAGCGAATACATGCCCTTAACAAGTAGTCTAGATCAACATTTTCTTGACACCTTACCTTTTACAATTGTAAAGGATCATTTTACATACCTAGGGCTTAAAATATCTTGAAATCCCAAGCATTTATTCAAACTCAACTATTCTGACATGATTTTGAAGCTCAAAAATAATATAGAGAAACGGAGAATCCTGCCACTATCCATGGTAAGGCGTATTTATGCAATCAAAATGGTGGCTCTCCCGAGGTTTTTATACCTGTTTCAAAACTTGCCACTTTTTCTCAACTTAAAATTTGTCAAACAACTACTCATGACTCTCGACTCAATAATTCTTCCATTTGTCTGGGGTTATAAGACGCCTAGAATATCCAAAGTATATCTGCAGAAATCTACGGAAGAGGGAGGATTTGGCCTCCCCATTTTTAAGAATTATTATTGGGCTGCTAATGCCAGGGCCCTGATGTACTGGCAGCAGGGTCAGTCAGCTGAGGCACCTAATAACTCCCCTCAATAAGACCCTCCAGGAATCTGCAGAGAAAAAGTTTTGATTCTGCGGAGAACAATCCTGATTCTGCGGAGAGCAATTCTTGATTCCGCGGAAATCCGCGACTTGAAAGTTGAGATTCTGCAGACATTGAAAAACCAACCTAAAATTTCCAGTTCTGAAGCAAACATATTTTTTCATGTCATAATAAAGAAAAACATATCTTATGAAATGAATTGCAAAACCAGACAAAAACAGATTTATTTGCAGCAACTTCAGGGATCGCTTCGGGATCGATTTCTTAATGGTCTTGGGCCGTTTTATTTATCTGACCTGCTTTTAGCATATCAGCCCTCGCAGACCCTGTGGTCCTCTGGTACCGGCCTTTTAACTATCCCACGAACCACGACAAAGATGCACAGTGAGGCTGCCTTCAGCCATTATGGCCCTTACCGGTGGAACAGCCTGCCAGAGACCCTCAGGGCCGCAGAGACTGTTGATATTTTTAAAAAGAGGCTAAAGACACACCTTTTTAGTCTGGCGTTTAACTGATTTTACTGTCACTCATCATACGCTGTGTTTTTTACTCCATTAAATATGTGCCATCCACTCTACAGCCCGCCTTTCCATCTGGGATCCTCCTCACACACACGCACCAGATCGCACAAGCATTCGGCTGTGAGTTCCCATTCCCGTCTATCTGACCCGTCTATCTGACCATGTCATCGAGCAGCCCGGATGAAAATACATGTAAAATATAATATTCTGCACCTCGCCTTGTATTCCACGGACTACTTCAATTTCCACGGAGGACTTCGAAATCTGCGATAATTTGGTACAAACTGATTCAGTTCAAAGTCATTCATCTTTTACATTTGTCAAAGCTTAAATTACATAGAATCTATCCATCAATTTTTCCATTGTGTGATAGATGCAGGGGTGCAGAGGGTTCTTTATCCCATCTTTTTTGTCATGTCCTCAGCTGCAGAAGTTTTGGTATAAAATATTTCAATGGTTTAGCGCAACATATGATTTCGACATAGATAAGATGTCCTGAGACTGAACTGACCTTAAACCAGGTGTAAATCCCTGGTTACCTGTGAAGTGTGTCTTTCTCATCATAGTTCTGGAGATGTACCACCAGGTGTGGTCAGGCCCTGCTCTCTAAGAACAAAAGTACACAGGAGTATTCTCTTTCAGTCTGCTGATGGAGATTTATTCACCTGTGGTTTTTGATATGTGACAGTCTCTAACAAGCTGAAACTTCAGGTGTTGAATGCTAAATTTGTTCATTTAAAGACTAAAAAAAATAAAAATAAAAATAAAGATATTTTTTCAGCATATTTTAACCTGTGCTAAGTATCCATCTTGTTCACCTATCTGGAGCTTAATGTGACGTGTAAGAACGTTTAGAAGATGCATCAGTTAGTCTGACATTTTGTGAGACCTTCACTAATGAGGTTAAAGGAAGTCAGCTAATGGCTAATGGCTAAGCAGCAACAGGAAGTCCACAACTCAGAGCAGGGAGGGGAGGCTTTTTACATGGCCACAGAAAGCTATTTAGTGCTTGTTAGAGGTTAGTGGCACACTTCCCTCTGTTTATTTTTCTCCCTAATGTGAAACTTAATTGAACTTGCTACAACCAGGATGAAGCTTCATGCCGTGCAGATGTCTTCTGTCAGTGTATCTTTATGTTTCTGCACATCTGTTACTAACACAGTCTTATTTATGAAACTTGAGCATAACCAATTCGAGTGTGAACTGTGAGAAGAGCCTAGTATACAGGCAAACCTGCATTCATCATTGTTTTAGTAGTTCAGATGCAGGACAGTGTGTGTCAGTGAAGAGTGCACAGAAATGGTATTCATTAGAAATCTGTATTTAATTCATACAAAATCAAATCAAATCAAACTTTATTTATATAGCACCTTTCATACAAGCTGCAACACAAGGTGCTTTACAAAAAAGATAAAAACAAACAACGGCAAATATAATGCAATAAAATAAGTATAAAACCTGTCTCTTCCCACCCACAGCAACACATACAGGCATGCACAGCATCCCTTATGCTCAGGATAGACAGATAGCCTCAAAACAAGTCATTAAAATAGGATTTAAAAAAAATCAATAAAAACCACATTTAGCTTTAAGCAGATTTAAGCTTCAGATAAAGTTATAAATATGATATAATAGTAACTTATAGTAGATGGCATCACATCACTCCAGTTTTAGCCTCTCTTCACTGGCTACATAACAGTTTTAAAATTGCTTTTAAGATTTTATCAATCACTTTTAAAGCTATCATGGGACTTGCTCCAAGCTAAATTTCAGAGCTTTTAGTACCTTATGAGCCAGCTTGTAGCCTCAGATCCTCTGGTGAAGGCCTCCTGGTCGTTCCAAAGTTGAGGCTCACAACCAAAGGTGACAGAGCTTTCTCTATCAGGGTTCTGTGACTTTGGAAAGACCTGCCAGAGGAGATAAGGCGTGCAGAGACAGTCGCTTCTTTGAAGTCAATCTTAAAAACTCCCTTGAACAGACTTGCTGTTATGTGATGCCTTCTTTTATCTTTTATTTGTATTTTTTTTTACCTCTATCTTATTTCTGTCTTTTTAGCTTTTGTTACACTTGCTGACGTTCTGTGCGTTATGACTATTTGTCAAAACACTTTGTAAACCTCTGTTTTTAAAAGTGCTATGAAATAAAGTTATTATTATTATTATTATTATTATTATTATTATTATTATTATCAAATGGGTTATTTTACACGTGTGTTCTTTGGCACAGATGAACGCCAATTGAGAGCACGCTGTTACTTTATGATTGGTTGCAAATGATGGACTTCCATGAATTGACATTAAATTTCATGACATGGTTCTCGTGTTTGGCAGTTATACATAATAATAATTAACGTGATTTATTTATTTACATGTTTTTTTTCCAAGTTATTCATAGTAGAGATAAATATATATATTTACATATCATTTTGGAAAATTACTAGTTTTAGAGCCTACTTCTATTATGTATAGTTTTCTAGCTGTCTCCATCATTCTGAGGTCAGAGAGTCAAATTAAGATTAAAAAAAGAAACTGATAATTGAAGTAAACCTGAACAGGTAGTATGGAAAAGCTTTTAATAATGATGCTTAAAGGACAAATTTAGAGCAGAGCAGATAGCTCCAGATTTATCTCTGTGGCTTTCAAATGTTATAGGATGGAAACAGTTATTTTGAGTTTTTGTTCTGGACCTTGAATAGAAAAGGGAAAATCTGTATTGGTGCTGTAAAGTTGCTTGTGTTAAGTGTTATTGTTCCTTACCTTTTGTTGCGTTATTGAGTGTGAAAATAACAGTACAATACTGTAAATAAAAATAAATACAGTAATAAAATTCTTTTTTGTATTAAGAGTCAATTTACTGTTGATGTTCGTGATTGTACTTCCCGTTATTAAAAATTAAATTACTGTTATTGTTAGTGATGTGTTCCACCCGACCATCATGTGATTGGTTGCTTGGAGTCATGAAACCTGCACCTTTCTGCTCCAGGCAGCATCTATGCATGATTTCAGTGGAGCTGTTTGGTGGTGTAGGGGTAAGCGCGGTTGCCACACAAGGAAGGTTGCTGGTTTGAATCTCTGGCTAGGCAGGGGCTTTAATTTCCCAAAAGGAACCTTCCAGAAAATATCCACAAAGTTTAATCCAATCTGATCTAATCTTTCTGTGCGGAGTTTGCATGGTTTCTTTATACAGTGAATGCCTTGTTTCTCTCTGGATACTTCCTCCCGCAGTCTACAAACATGCTAATCATTGCTTACTCTAAACTATACCTGTAGGTGTGAATGTGTGCTTGTTTTTATGTGTCAGCCCTGTTTTACACTGATGACCTGTCTAGGTGTTCCTCTCACCCATGACAGTTGAGAGAGGCTCCCTGCAACCCAAAATGTAAAGTGGGTGAAGATAATCTATTAATGTAAAAGTATAGAAAGTTATGCTATATATGTTAGAGCATGACTGATGTTGCCTAACTCTGCAGCCATATAACACACAGGTACACACAGATACACACTACCTGCAAAGTGTCGAAGTGAGGAGCAACTGAAAGGTGATTTCAGATGTTTATCAATTAACCCTGGACAGTAAGGAAAGGCTGATAGTGTGATGTTTTTTTCAAGTTGTTTGACAGGCCCTCAATGTGACAGTTGCACATGTGTATATGGCTGTTGTAATGTTCAAACCATTTGAACCTTTTTTTCCTATTTCAGGTCCATTAAAGATTAGGGGCTCTATTTTCGTGTCCGCCGGTGAGGCGGCGGAGGGTGGCGGACCCCGCGCAGTTGTATTTTTGTCTGGTGGAGCCCGGCGTACAGCCAGTTTGGTATTTTCGTGGACTGAGGCGCATGGAGCCGAACCGAGATGCGCCAAGCTGGGCGTGGTAGCGAGGAACTAGACTAGACCAGCTGCGGAGCACAGCTGGTCTAGTGGTATTTTAGTAGACCGGCGGCGTATCGTCATACATCACCAATGCCTCACAGGCAGGTTTCCACAGTTTCAGGCACATTTCATAAAAAAATCAACAACTATTAATCTGAGTCAGCACATACATTTAGATCTATATAGATATATTTTGCTCTATATCTGATCTGATGAGCGCGTTTGGCACGCGTTTGGACACACAACCTGACCGAATCTACAGAGCTGAAACCGCATTAAACTAAATTAAATATCTAGTAAATAAACACACATGATGAAGTTAACAAGATATTTAATTTGTCTCCCTCCCTTTCTTTCTTCCTCTTCCTCTTATTTCTCACGCAGCTTGACCTGGACATGTCTCCGTGTCCTCTCTCCGTCCTGCTGCAGCGGCTGAACAGATGATTTGTTTCAGTGATCAGTTGAGTTATTTACTCTAAGCCTACATACGGATATTATAATATTCAGTTTTGTGAGCCAAATTTATTTTATATGCCAACATCTATGAAAGAAAGAGCCAGGCCACGGAGCGCGATGCATCATTTATGCACAGATGGTTCCGATTTTACGGCGGCACGTCTCCAGCGAGGCACGAAAATAGAGCCCTAGAGCTCAAAGGTTTGCTGCAGTGTTGTCATTGTTATTCAAGAATCTGAGCAGAACTAAATACTTCTTCAAATCTCAGAGGGACCCTCTAGCTTCAGCTAATTTGCATACTGTCCCTCTCCGTTTGTCTTGCAGGCTATGGGGAGATCTATCCTGTTACCCTTCCTGGTAAGGTGGTGTGTGTGTTGTACGCCATGGTTGGTATCCCTCTCATGCTCCTTGTCATTCTTGATGTTGGAGATTTCCTCGCTATGCTGATGACACACACTTACATCCAGATCCACACCTTCTCAAAAGACCTCTGCTCACACACTTGGTCACCCTGGAAAGCTCAGAGGAGGGCAGAAAACTCGAACTGTCGGACTCTGGAAGATGGGACTTTTGTTTTCAGCCATGACGTGGTGGTCCGGGAGCCTCTTGACATTCGACAAGTGCTGCACAGCCAGGCAGATGTACAGCAGAAATCTATCCACCTGCAGAATAACAAAGACATCTTTGAGAAGATTCTGGCCAGGGAGAATTTGCTAAGAAAGGGTCCACTGCTGAGGTCCCTCTCCTGTCCGGAACTGGACCGCATGCCAGCACCACACAAAGGATACATGATATGGGACTTCACAGGGTTGGGGGATGGTATGGAGACTCTGGATGTCCCCTTTGTGCTAATCCTTTTCATTGTGTTTGCATACATTTTATTTGGTGGTCTAATTCTTCCACTGTGGGAAACTGAATTCACAGGATTTGACCCATACTACTTCTGTTTCATCACACTCACCACCATCGGCTTTGGGGACATCATCCCAAATCACCCTAAATACTTCATGCTAACCTCACTATTTATCATTGTTGGCATGGCCATCATGTCCATGGCTTTCAAGCTGTGCCAAACACGACTTGTGATCTGCTACCGCCAATGCATAAAGTTCATCAGCAGAGGTAACACTGAAACGTTTAAAAGAAAAGAAGAAAATGATTGAGTCACTTGAAGAGTCTCGACCAAATGTCTCCAGTTAAACAAGCTGATCGTGAAACAGGAAGGGGTGTGCACTAGTATGGTGGGCTCTTTCCTGGTTGTTCAATTGTGAGCATGTGCTAAATTAAAAACTAAGCATGTGTTAAAACTGTTTAAAGGACATTTACTGAAAAGTACAAGTGTTGATTTTGCATCTGTAGTTACAGCAGTAAATAACTATGAGCTGTGGTATAATGACATGTTAGACTATATGTTAGGTCTTCACCTTTCTTACTTCTTATGCATTTTTATAAGCCACTCCAAATAACCCAAGTGACCTGACCCCACAGACACACTGAGCTAGTAAAGTGTCCTGTATTGGACTTTAAGATAACCTTTTGTTCACTTTGGTATCAAACAGATATTTAAAAAGATTATCAATTTTTCCTAATTTGAACCATTAGTATAACTAGAAAGTCAAATGTCAGGGACAGATTCTTGGCTGCATGAAGTAAACATCCATCAGAAAAATAAACAGGCTTGGTCTTCTCTGCAGAAACTTCAAAACTGTAAAGCAGTCTAAAGCTGGTTCTTGTCATGGTGTAGCTGTTTGTATGTATCTGCTCTGGTAAGGTTTTTACCTGCTCTAGTTGGAACATAACAGCTCAGTCAACCATCAGCTACATCCATGTGTCCAAAAAAGCTGTCATAAACTTAATAAAATGATTTGCAAGACATTAAAACTCCATAATTAATTTTACATGGCATAAAGATGACATATCAAATGTTCAGACAAAACTTAAACACATTTTGAGTTTGATGCCATAAACCCATCTTTAAAAAGTGTATAAGTAGCATCAAAAATGCATAAAAGTAGTAAAATATCAGAATGAACTTTTTACAAATAATTAAGTCAACTGACAACAGGCTAGTAACCTGATAATAAGATAAGAAGAGCAACGAAGAGAGTCTTTATAAAATGCAGATGACAAGAGGTTCAGTGCATTATTAAAAAAAAAAAAAAAAACGTTAAATGGATTTTTTTTAATTAGTTTTTCAGCATAAAATGACAAAGAATGTAGTAAAAGATTTACAGGATCTGGAGAACTGTCTGTACAAAAGGGACAAGGACCAAAACCCAGACTACATGGTCCTGATTTATGTGCCTTCAGGCAGCACCTCATTAAAAACAGACAGGATTCTGGAGTGGAAATCACTGCATGGGCTCAAAATTACTTCAAAAACCATTGTTTGTGAACACAGTTCATCACTGCATCCACAAATGAGGTTAAAACTAAACCATGCAGAGAGGAAACCAGATAGAAACAGGATCCAGGTTTAAGGTAGACTGAAGGGAAGAGGAAAACTGCCCTGGGGGTTGGATGGATCAAAATTTGAAATCCTCTTCAAAATTATATAAGTCCTAGCCTCCTTTCTATAGAGTTAATGGATCACCTGGCTTGTTCTCAGCTCTCAGCTCAAATTCAGCATCCCTGATGGTATGGAGATCATCGGAGTACATGTCATGGGTATCTTCCATATGGATGAGTACTTAGACTTAGACTTAGTTCCTCCTGTTCCTATTGGAACATTGGGCGACGAGTCCCCTCCATTTGCTCCGGTCCCTCGCGACCCTTCTTGCTCCATGCCAGCTGACTCCCATCTCGCTCAGGTTTCCTTGGCTGTTTGTCTCCATGTCTTCTTTGGCCTCCCTCTCCTTCTCTTTTCCCCCTCTGGCAACCAGTCTATTGCCACACTTGCTGGTCACTCTCTTGGCAGTCGGAGTACATGTCCGGTCATTCTCTTTCTCCTGTCAGAGATGATGTCAGACAAGGGTGTTACACCTGCCCTTCTCATCACCTCTTCATTGGTGATGTGGTCTCTCCATGACATCTTTAAGATGGACCTGAGGCACCGTCGATGGAAGACTTCGAACTTGTTGGTGATGCTGACTGTCTTCGTCCACGTCTCACAGGCGTAGGTTGCTTTGGGGATGACCACTGACGTATAGAGGCGTAGCTTTGTGGCCATGGTGATGGATTTTGACGACCAGATGTTCCGGAGTCATTGGAAGACTCTGGCAGCTTTGCCAATTCTGGTCTGTACGTCTTTCTCCACGTGTCCAGTATTTGAGACGTTGCTTCCGAGGTATGTGAAGTTCTTGATGTACTCTATGTCTTGCTCGCCTATGGTGAGTGGTGGAAGGTGTTGATGTTGTGCAATGGTCATGGCCTTGGTCTTTTCTTGGCTTATACGTAGACCGACTTTTGCTCCTTGCTCATGCAGGTTGTTTGTCAATTCTTTGAGTGCAACGTGGGTATGGCTAAAGAGCGCCAAATCGTCTGCAAAGTCTAGATCTGCCAGTCTGCCCCCTCCCCACTTGATGCTGTGGTTTGCCCCGATGACAGTTTTCCTCATCACAAAGTCAATGACTGTAATAAAAAGTAAGGGTGACAGGATGCAACCCTGTCTTACCCCAGTCACGATGTTAAAGTCATTGGTTTTGCCGTTGGTGGTTTTTACTCGGCAAGTGGAGTTATGATATAGGGCCCTGATGATTTTGACATACTTGGGTGGTATACAGTATAGTTGGATAGTATGCCACAGTGATTCCTGGTGGATGCTGTCGAAAGCTTTCTTGAAATTGATGTAATTGATTGTGAGGGGTATCTGGAATTCTTGGCACTGTTCTTTGATGTTTCGGAGAGTGAAGATTCGTTCGGAGCAGGATCTACCCTCTCGGAAGCCGGCTTGATCTTCCCTCAAGATGGTATCTACCTCGTCTTTAAGGCATTTGAGCAGCACACAGCAGAATACCTTGCAAGGGATAGACAGCAGCGTGATTCTCCGCCAGTTGTTACAGTCTGCGAGGTTTCCCTTTTTTGGCAGCGTCACTATGACCCCGCGTCTCCAGTTGGCAGGGAATTCTTCAGCATGCCAAATCCGGTTGAACAGGTGTTTGAGACCCTCCACAACAACCTCCTGGCCGTGCTTCAGCAATTCAGTAGTTACTTCGTCGGGTCCTGGTGTCTTGTTGTTTTTGAGGCTCTTGATTGCTTCTGCAATCTCAGTCCTGGTTATCTCTTCTGAACTAGCGTTCAGAGGTGGGGCTGGTGTTTCCTGGTCAAAGTTGAAGAGGATCGAGGGTGTTGGTTGGTTAAGAACGTCCTTGAAGTGTTCCATCCACCTTGCCTCCTGTTCCTCCTTCCTTGGGAGTGCCCTGCCATCCCTGCTCTTGATCAGCACACCGGAGCTGCTCCTGGAGCTGATTAGCTCTCGCACAATCCTGTACAGGGCTTTTGTGTTCTTCTTCTCTGCTGCCTCTTGTGCCTCTCTTGCTTTCTCTTCCAACCACCTCCGTTTGTCATTCCTGCAGCTCTTCTTTACCTCCCTGTCCAAGTGCCTGTACTCCTCATATGGATGGGTATCGTTACGATTTATATGAATCCAATTCCTATTCAAGTTTCAGGTGAAAAATAAGAAGCTAAATGTATATCTAAGATACTTTATTGCAAATGACACTGTAACATCAATATCATGTGAATATATATAATAAAGATATAAAATAAAGTGTATTTAGTAAGAGATGCTTCTGATAAAATGTTGGGGCAGCTGCTGGGGGTGCTTGGACTGGGGCTCAATGTCTCACATCACAAAACATCATACACTGTACAGTCCTTCGGCGTTCAGTCCTTAATCTTTTGTGCAAGTGCAACCTGTCAAACCGCTTATTAACTTCCCACATCTGTTGCATTTTCCCTGTTTACTGCCGCTCTGTATTGTGAAATAAAGCTACAACCTTGACTGCTTTCCCTGGTCCTTCCTCTATCGCTAGTACCTGCTGCTCAGTGTTCCGAATGGGAAATATAGAATTATGGTATCGGAGACTCAAAATTAACGTATTTTTTGGAAAATTACATAGAGGACACGCGACTGACAGGTCCTGGCAGATATCTAAAATCCATAAGCATGTTTAAATGAGCACATCTAGGAACTGATAAGCAGAACCAAAACTAATTTATGGGTACCGGGTACCTGCTAAATTTAATTTGGCTCTTACTTGGAACCAGTTTCGGAACCCAAAGCTAATCTTCCACAGCTGTAAAGGCTCCATGAACAATATCCACAGTTTTAGGAGCAACATCTGCTGCCATCAAGACAATGACTTTTTCAGGGAAGACCTTCATATTTCAGCAAGACAATGACAAACCACATTCTGAAAACAGGGATTACAACAGCATGGCTCTGTAGTATTATTAATAATCATTTATAATCATTGATAATGTAATGTAGCAGATATCTCTCTCTCTCTCTTTTCTCTGGCAGGTTGATGTGTCATGTCTGTGTTTGTCATGTATTTTGTAGGAAATAGCATCACTTTGTTGAACTTTGACACACTTGGCTGTCTCTGCATTTCGATCCCAGTGCTGACACACTGAATGTATGTAAGTAAAGTGTAGCCATGCAGCATGAGTTTGGGTTGTCAGTACAGCTGCATGTAGGTAATGGACCAAGTACATAATGGACTGAGGAATGTTGTGGCTTCCTCTGATCCCAGTTGAGCCATCATTTCCTGTAAGCTTATTGGTTTAATGCTCATCAGTGACACGATAGTCACATTTCATGTCTTTCTTTTAAAGTGAGTGTGTGGTCTACAGCAAAGAAGATGTTTATGCCTTACTGTTTGCTTCCTTTTGTCTTTGTGGATATTTTCTCCAACATTTTACTCTGAAAGTGAGACCTTCATGGGTTTTTTTAATCAAATCTAAGAAGATGTACACAGTAGTACTTAAAAAGAACAGATTAGAGATGGATTAAGTCAAAGAAACCTCAGCAATGTTTGTCAGGATGAGACAGGGCATTCTGTTTGTCTCCTCAGTTTCCACCAGTTGACAGTTTCACAAATGCACATTTCTGAAGATGCAAACCAAATTCAACTCCCCTCATGATACAGAGATTGTTTGATTCATTTATTTTCATTTCAAAAATGTTAAATAGAAATACAAAATGATGCGATTTAAAGCAGAGAGCTTACACAGTTGTCTAACAACCTAACCTCTACCCATGCTCTATGAGCCTCTGTTTATTCATTATCCAGCCTCTTTATGGATAAACTCCACTGACATGAATTTTTATCCAATGTTATAGTTTCAATGACCATTTTTTAACAAGGTTTGGACTTGGCATTACCATATCCTGGTGTGTTCCCTCATTCTCTCCAGTTTGATGAGCTAACGTGTCTTCAGAAAAGAGACCTTTTGTATGGAAACATGAACAGATGGAGGAAATGCTTCGAGTCAGTGAGCAGACTTTCTGTGAGGCTTTTATCAAAGTTAGCATTGAATGTGTTTGGAGAAGTTGGACCAGAAGCTGACTGAGGCTGTCTCAAACCCCTTTGTGAAGTACATTATCAGGTGGGGTTGTTAAATTAATGTTTGTATTTAAGATGTTAAGGTTGTTTATTTGAAAAACACTAAGACCAATTTTTCTCTGAATAACAGGAGGGCCACTAAACGCTTTAGCACTGTAACAGCACTGCTGTAGCACTAAGTTCAAATTAACGCTTGTTTGTTTTAAGACTCGAAAACAAGTATAATAAAAATTTATAGTAAACATTATAGTATTAAGAGACTGATCCACTCTGCTACAACAATCAAAAACATTAGAAATAAGAAAGCTAACATAACTACAGCAGAGGATCAGGACAACATTGAGTTATTTTTTTTCTTTTAACATTTAGAGATTAAAGTTGTAAAATTAGGCGAATAAAGTCATAAAGTCATAAAGCTTCTTTTGTTGAGGGGGAAATGACTGAAGCTGGTCATCTGCAGGTTTATCGGTGGATGTATCAGCGGGTCATTCAGAGACATTTTGTGGTTTCTGAAGAAACAATCAAACTGATGATCAACATTTGTGATCCAGAGGGAGTCGAGCTCCGACAAGCACCACGTCTCTGACACCGGCGGTAACCTACACCTGCAGAGACACCAACACCTTATTATGGCATATGGATTCATATCATAAACTAAAGTCATTTAGTTTTTGGATTTCTTTTATTTTCTTTGAAGACGCGCTGCTTCTCCAAGCGAGTCCAGCCTCTCACCCGAAATGCGCAGCTGTGCAGCGGCACGTAAAGAATTCCGGGATACCAACGGCAAGAAAGCGTGCATAAATCCATGCTTGAAAAATGCTAAGCGCGCTTAGCATTTCTTAGCATTTCGTGCCAAATGGGACACCGTTCGCGCTGCGTGATGACATCATGCACGCTTCAAATGCGCCGTTCAACGCTGTTCGACAGTGCGGTCTCTGAAATGGGACACAGCCACAGTCTATGGCTGTGTCTCATTTCAGAGACCGCATCAGGATAAGCGCGTTTAAGCGCTTAGCTGAGCGCACTGCCGTTATGTGCCGTTATGTGCCGTTATGCGCCGTTATGTACCCTTCCTGTGTCCCATTTCAGAGACCGCAACCATCGAACAGCGCATTTGAAGCTCGCGTGAGGTCATCACGCGGCACGAACGGTGTCCCATTTGGCACAAAATGGTAAGCGCGCTTCAAAAACGTGCTGTGTCCGAATTGCCCGCTCGCATACTACATACTGCTGCTACATACTACTGCTAGATCCTGCTTATACATATTAAAGACGTTGGCCCAATTCGGACACACTAGATGAGCGGTGGGGAAAGACGACCCCCGCAGGCAGAGAGTAGTTACTGCGCCCGTTTTAGACTCTTTGAATGGTAATTGTGCAAGTGATGGATGCTGCTTTATTATATTCCTGCACTTCTGCTGTCATTTAGCTTTGGCTGGGTGACTTCTGCTTTTGCAGGACTCACGCCTTCATGACTCCAGAGTGTGTTAATCTCAGTGGTTAACTGAGTTGTCATGTTTATTCACCTTCAAAGTGGATGAAACCGATTGAGGTGGATAATAAGATCGACGTTTCTGAGAGTGTGATTTACTCTGATTCTGCCAGTCATTCACCCCCCTTTGGCGGTGTTGATGATTTTTCCTTTGTCTGGGATAAAACCCACAGTGACGGGAGTCTGAATAACAACAGTTGGTCTCAAAGTTTACCTGGCATTGGTTTGTGTCAAACCTGGGCCTTGGTGTGTAACTTTGACCTTTGTGAGTTTGTTGAGGTCGAAAAGGTTTTGGAGGCCAGGTTAACCACTCATTTGGAGGCTTATCGGAGCCTGAAAATACACAGTCTGAAGCTTCGTTCAGCTCCATGGGCAGTGATTTTGTCTCCATAGCCAAGAGAGTAACGGGCTCTGCTTTCTTAGCCAAAGTTTGTTGTTGTTTGGCAAAACCTTTTACAGCAAGTTCACAAATCTGTCGGCTAGTCAAAGTGTTTGGACAAGCTAAGACGCCAAGGTGATGACTCGTGGTAGGGTGGAGGTTCTGGACGAACAGCGTTTTGAAGTTCAAGTCCTCCTCCATTTCTGGTTCCATTTCTGGTTGAAGTAAGCTTCGCGTAAGCGGTTGTAATATTGTTGGGGAGATTCTGATCTCCCTTGTTTAATAGACAGAGCAGCAGAAAGGCCTGTCTGGGTCAAATGATCAGAAAACTCTTCGATTAATGCTTGGCAGAGCAAGTCATAATTATTTCTGACATGATAAGGCTGTCGTTCAAGGAAACTGCTAACCTCTCGACTTGACGTCGCCTTAATAAGGTAGATTTTGTCATCAATGGTTGCACCTGGAAATTTACGCAGGTAAAAGTCAATGTCTTTCAAGTAGGTGCAGGTGTCAGTAGCACCTTGGTGCTCAGGTTCAAAGCGTGCTATGTTGCGAGCAATTTTGTCAAGATCCCTATCTGAGGGAGATGGTAAGAAGCCATCATGAGGAGGAGAGTGGGACTTTTGGTTTAAGGATGACCTCTCAGGGTCAAGCAGGGTCCTGTCATGATGCTGAGAGAGATACTTAAGAGTTGGTTTGGAAGGAAGTAATGGCGCTCTCTCAGGAGGCTGATCACCTATCATTTCTTCAAGAAACGTTTGCTCCATGCGTTCTCTTTGGGCTCGGTCTGACTGGAGGGAGCATTGTAACTCTCTTTGGACATCTTCAAGTTCTTTGTCTGTCTTTTCTTGCCGTTCTTGACAAAGAATTAACTGTCTTTGAGCTATCTGGAGCTGGTGCTGTAAGGTAGAAGTTTGCTTCTCCTTAACTTCAAGAGCTTCAGCACGCACTTTGACCAGTGCTTTCAAAGCTTTTACATCTTCTGTTGCTTGCTCTAGTAGGGATTCTGACTGTATCAGATCCTGTGTGGTCTTAGCAAGCTGCTTATTCGTGTCATCAAGTTCTTTCTCCTTTTTGTAAAGGGTTTCATTAAGTCTTTCAATCTTGTCTTTGAGATCAAGATTTTCTTCATGACTTATCAGTGAGGGAAGCTTTGACGCTTCACATCTGGCACTGTGTTTTTCTAAAACACTTAGAGACTTCTTAGTCTCTTCTAGCGTCTTTTTCAGGGCGCTGTTTTCGTCTTTTTGCGCCTTTATCTTTGCTAAAGCGCATTCCAGCAAGTAGTCTTTATACTCAAGCTGAGAAGACATCACGACAGACATGCATCTAGTGAGCTCTTTGTCACTAAGTGTCGTGGTTAAGGCTGTTTCCAGTAAGTCAGCCATTGCATCCTCCGGATTGGAGGGTTTGGCCTTTTGAATCTTAGTCATGTACTGAGGTATCAGCTGACTAGTTAAGTTTGCCAACACTGTGTGTATGTCCCTCAGGGGGTCTCCCTGGCTGGACTCTTTTGTGTTAGGCATGTTTGGTTTTGGTAAAGAGGTGCACGTGGTTGGTTGATGAGTTTGAGTTGGCTTAAAATGAAAGAAAGGAGCAAAACATCAAATTAAGTGGGTTAATCAACTTAATTTATCAGTGCTTGATAAAGAGGAAGAGCCTATCTGAGTAGATATCTAATGGAGAGAAAAATAACATTAAGTTAAATTAATTTCAATGAAAATTGAAATAAAACAAGGTGAAATAATGTTAAATTAAATCTAACATTAGATACAGAACCATTGAATAAAGGGTTCAATTTGTCTCTGTGTTAAAGAAATCAGCAAAGCTTAAATAAACTGCCTGATGCAGTTGGATGAATTTGAAAAATCAATGAAATTGTCAATTTAAGAAATTAACTCTGAAGTTAATTCACAAATTGCAATAAATCCAAAGGTTCAACTACCAATTTATCTGGAATGTTAAAAGAAATTTGAAATATTAATGAATTTGTTCATTAATTAATTAATCTTATGAGGAGGGTTAATACATTCATGTATTATAGGGAACAGTAAAACTGCTCAATGGTGTGATAAGTAACACAAGATCAGGTGATTGATTCAAGGAGTTACTTTATCAATACATTATGTAGGCTCTTATAACAAAGATAAAAATCAAAAATCAGTGATCAATGATTTAGAATAAGCACATCAAACTTTATCAACCAAGTCAATCACTTGAATTATGTCTGTAGAGTGTTACACACTGACTACAGAGAGGCAGTACAGCTGGCTGATGCTGCAGGCAGATGATAACAGTGTTAGCTCAATACCAAAGCAACCATGTGGGGCAGTATGGAGTTGGGATAACTGCACAAGCTCAACACAAGTGGAGAAGAAGAAGAAAAGAGGAAACAGTCATCCAACTAGCCTCTTGTGGCTGTGTGGAGTTGGGAAGTATGAAGGAAGGGGCCTTTAGGCTCTGCCTCCTTGAAGGGCCTTATCTGCTTAAGGCCAAATGGTCAGTCTGTCCACTGACAATAAAGGGTTAACGTTTCACAGCAGGCTGCTTCTGCACCCTCAAACATAGAACTTTACACCATCTGCTCAGGCAGATTGGTTCAATAAAATCATTTACAAGAACAAGAATCAAAGTGACAAATCCCTCAACAGCAGATTGAACTGCAGACTTTAAAATCACAAATGCGGCAATTTGTGAACACAAATTTTGGTCTGAATTCATTCAAACAACAACCTCCCACTGTTACAGTGGTGTCCTGTGACAGGTAGCTAATCTGTCAGGGGAAAGGAGGAAATCTGAATCCCATATAGTTACTAGAACCTCGTAGCAGACTACAGAGACTTCAGGGGCTTGAAACCACAGCTCGGAGCATCGCAAACACTGGGTTCAGCCAAAGGCCTTAAATACAAGCGTATGGCGACGCAACAATCGTGCACTTAAATATTGGACAGTCTAGACAGAGCAGAAGAATCAGTCTCCCTGCTACTCAGAACAACATTTCACGCTGTCCAGCTCAAACACAGACTACAGGCATGTAGTACAAAAGTGTGTGAAACACAGAGCATAAAGGTTTTATGCATAGATCAGGAAAACATCAGAACTTAGTCAAGCAACTTCAGCAAGCATAGCAATGATTGTGATTAAGTCTAAAATAGCCTGGAAATAAGTTTCTCTCATCAATTTGGAAGGCTAAGTTTTAGGTTGTCTGTTAGTATCCAGAAGTTTTGTTTGAAACGCCTCACGCAGGGGCACCAAAATATATGTAGCGATTTGAAATGAGCCTCACACGGCCGCACCAAAATAATACGGTTTGAAATGAGCCTCGCACGGTCGCACCAAAATAATACTGTAGCGATTGGAATTTATAATAAATGTCTGAAGATTAATAATCTCAAATTATGACATTTATGCACTCGTTGAAAGGGGCACCACCCACCCTTAATGGTGGGAAAATAAAGAAAAAAGTTTAATTCAGAAATCAAACATCAAGTCAGTTTTAATTAATCAGTCTCATATCTTAAGCTGAAATTCTCATTTCAGGGACTCCACTTCTGGAAGAACACTAACAGTCAAGAACTTAGAAAAATAATGATCTGTTTATTACAGGATAAATGATGGTACAACATACATGCAATAAATGATGATAAGATAATGAAGATAAATAATAATAGGTGAATAAATAAAGATTCTGAGTCAGGCTAGGAGCACTAAAGTTAATGATAGTGAGTGAATATGCCCTAACATATTAACCTACACTAACTTTGGTGTCAAGATAAACTCGGATGTGGATTTGGAGGAGTCTAAGATTACCAGAATAAGTGGATATCTGAGTTATGAACGCATGGGACAGCATCAGCCCTCTTTGGAGCTCTGGAGGTTTGCATACTTAAGTGAGACTGGTCCTTGGAGAAGATGGAGCAGGTTCCGAAGGTCCGGGGCTACTGGCGGTTCGAGCGGTTCAGCTCAGAAGACGACTGAAGTCAGCCGAAGGATGAGCCAGGAGTTGCAGCACTCGGGCCCGAAGCAAAGCCAGCGCCTGTGGATCCTGTGGATGCTCGTTTGGGTACTTCTTTGGTCTCACTCAAAAACTCTGGCACAGAGGATGACCTGGGCCTGCTGGGTTGCGTTCAGAGGTGACTTTGAAATCACGCAGATAACTCAGAAAAACGAGACTCGAGCAGAGAAAACTTTCAAAAATGGCTTTGCGAAATTAAAGAAAAATCAATCAAAGGCTTAATCTTGAATTGCTATGCGCACAAAAAGTTGAAGTTTCAAAACTTGAACTAAGACGATGTTAAAGAAAAATCAACGTGAATCAACACGTGGCGTAAAACTTAGTAGACTAAGAAAAAGTTCTAAGAGATAACAAAGAAAAAGAGGACCACAGAAGGGTGTAGACAGAAGAGAAGGGCCCAAGAGTAAGGGGCAAGAAAGTGGACAAGAGAGTGAGCAACCCCACTTTACTGGTTTTATCTTCTCACACTGGGAGTGTCTCCGGCGTGTGTGTGTGAGGAGACAGAGGAGGGGTTGTGTGGTCTCCAAGCAGAGAGGACCTTGGATCTCTGATTATTTGATCTAACTTATACTTTTGGCTGGTAAAAGAGTCAGATCTGATACTCACTCGCTATGATTAGTAGCATTGAATGCTAGGTTTCATGATAATTTGATACTAAACACATATGAATGAAGTGTAGGATCACATCAAACATTCTCATTATGTTTTAAGTATCACATTGAACATGCTAAATTACTCTGAAATGAAACAGATAGTAACACATGGAAACTGTGAACAACAAAAGAGTAAACACATGTGAATGAACTTCATCATGATTAATAATGGATTCTAAATACTCACATTCAGGTTATTCAATGACATTATAACCACCTAATGGTTAAAAATACTAAATAAACAACTAAAATATAAACCAAACATTTCTAAACTATTTCTGTTACTTAGAGTAAAGTTATGATCCATAGTCAATAAATTTAACTCTTAAAAGTTCATGAAACAGTCTGAAAAGCTGTTGGTCTAAAGAAACAAAAGAATAAGGATTTATTCTGTCAGAGTGATAACTCGGCTTCTGGAGCACATAGAAAAATGGGAAACATCTCATTTTAACACAAATTTCATGATTAGACAGATTAGTACATTGCTGAATGCATAAGATGTCATGATCAGTCATTTGTATTCTTTCACCAACGGAATGTAGTCTTTATCAGTGTATGGTCGAGCAGGGTTTTACGACCGAGGTCTGGAGGTCAGTGTCCCCCCTTATCCTGGGGTCCGTATGTTCACACACTTTAAGATGGTAAATCTCAAATGGGAGATCTGGGTTGAGACGTTAATGTTTATTTAGATGGTCAGCAATGGAGTCAGTTTGAAAGGTAATAAAAACTCTGTATCTGTTCTCCGAATCGACCAATCGTGAAGAGTCAGAGGTTTAGTCAACCTCCGGTCGGGTCATTTAGGTAACCTGAAAGTATAAACCAGTCTGGAAAGATTTATATCCTGTGTCCTGGGACCAGATAAGGAAACTTTCCTGTGAGGAATGTGTGAGTTTCACACCCAGGGTTGTCTTGATCGCTACATCTGACTGGACACAAAATGCAAAAAATGGGCTTCTCATCATCTGAAAACTGTTCACACTGCTCACTAAACTGCACTGATACCTACATTCATGCAACCTGGTACTGCACACCTGTTCACCACTTCTGGAGAAACATTACAGAAACATTATCCCAGATCATGGGCTGCCACATCCCACTTTCCCTTTCCCTCTGTTTATTAGGAGACCTATCTACATTAAAACTTGACAAAACACACACACGTTCACTTCTAGTGGCGCTGACCATCGCCAGGAAAACTATCCTCATGAACTGGAAGTCTCGGAACTCCATACACATCATATACTGGAAAAACCTGCTCACAGACTACATCTCCTTAGAAAATACAAACTCCTCAGACAATAATCATAACCCTACCTGGTTATCATTCATCATTTTTCTACAATCATAATCTGCCACAAACCAGTCACAACATCATCCATCTCAGTTCTCTGACACTTTCATTCCCAATTTTCTTTTTTCTTTCTTTATTTATTTATTTATTATTATTATCATTATTATTATTATTATTATTATTTATTTATTTATTTTTATTTTTTACGACATCAGTATTACTACAACTATTATGACGATATTATTGTCATTGTCATTTTCTATTATTATTTATACTTATTTATTTATATACTTACATCTACACCGTCTATTTACCACTCGGGTCCCTGCTGGGTCGCGCCTGTCAGGCCATGACCTGTAGTCTCCTTGCCCTCCCGGCCTCCCCCCCTGCCCCCTCCCCCAATTCTCCGCCCTGGACTGTCTTCAGATGGCACATCACCTTTTTTAATGCACATCACACTAGTTAAGGAAGAGGAAAGGGGTCTCAATCACATCAAATTATAGTTCATGACAACCCCTCTCCTCGGTTTTAATGCACAACATTAGAAAGCACATATATGAGAGAAATTAAAAAATAAATAAATAAATAAGAATTATAAAGTATATTAAGTAAATAACAAAAACTAAATATACATTCAGACATAGGGTAAGGTGTTGTGCCGCATTCAGTCCGGGGCATGCAGGGGTTGGGGGGGTGCAGGCTGATCTCATGCCAGTGGGCAGGGACCCGAGGTAGTCCAAATTTAAAGACCTCCCTTCCACCCATATAATTATTATTACTCATCATCTTTTATAATATTGAATGTTGTTGTTGTTGTTCTTTTTCTTCTTCTTCTTCTTCTTCTTCTTCTTCTTCTTCTTATTATTATTATTATTGATATTATTCTTATTATTCTTATTATTCTTATTATAATTTCCATTATAAGATTCCATTATTTGCTTGTCTGACAATTATATTTTTTTATCATTATTATTCAAATATATAATACACACACACACACACACACACACACACACACACACACGAAACCACAAATGATGTTGTTTGTTGTCTGTCTTGCATAAAAATAATTTAAAATAAAAAAAAAGGACGAAGAAGAAGCCCGCAGTGCATTTTGGGTCAGTAGCATGCCCGTAGGATGCACTGCGACCATCCCACAATGTGGGCGTGTCTAGTATCTGAAGTAGTATCTGAAGTAGCATGCTTCTCGCTCTGGTGGCCAATTCGGACATGCTACATATTACTTCGACTACTACTTCGACTACTACTTGGCAATTCGGATGCAGCAACGTTCTCAAAACCACACTGCCCCGCCCCTTTTTCAAGCGGTTTTCTTTAAGTCAGTCGTGACACGGGGCCTGAGGGCGGGGACATTTGGCGACTCAACCAGGAAGTCCACCGAAGGTCGCCAAATGTCCCCGCCCTCAGGCTCACGTCACGACTGACTAGAAAAAAAGCTGCGGAGCGCCGCATTTATTGTTTTAATTGTGCGACCTTGCACAGACACAAAATAGTAGATACATAAAAGCACAGATCATTCCCACAAAATTCATCCAATGATTGTTTTGTATGAAGGAGTATGAGGGCCATATTGAGAATTTTTTTTAAAGACTTCGAGAGTTAAGTCGTGAATTTACAAGAATAAAGTCATTAATTTATGAGAATAAAGTCATAACCTGTTATTTCAGACGAGACTTGTTAAAATTAGGGCCATGAAGCATTTGAAGGAACTGTGCTTCAGTATAGGTTTCACAAACAAGGAGATACTTCATCCTCTGGCACATCAGCATTACATTGTCATAAGTATAAAGACTTAAAAAAAGAATATATGAGAAATACGTCTTTTCCACGGGGAAAAAAAATGGTGTACTTGAAGGAAATCGCTGCTTTTGTGGAGGCAGAAATGGATATGCTGCGGATATATCTGTCAATGCAGCTGTAAATATCTGTGAATGACATTGAGCTTTGATTTATGATATGAATCCATATGCCATAATAAGGTGTTGGTGTCTCTTCAGGTGTAGGCTACCGCCGGTGTCAGAGACGTGGTGCTTGTCGGAGCTCGACTCCCTCTGGATCACAAATGTTGATCATCATCAGTTTGATTGTTTCTTCAGAAACCACAAAATCTCTCTGAATGACCCGCTGATACATCCACCGATAACCCTGCAGATGACCAGCTTCAGTCATTTCCCCCTCCACAAAAGCAGCTTTATGACTTTATATACTTTATATATATATACTTATACTCATAATCTTAAAAGAAAAAAAAACTCAATGCTGTCCTAATACTCTGCTGTAATTTTGTCAGCTTTCTTATTTCTAATGTTTTTGATTGTTGTAGCAGAGCGGATCAATTGTCTCTAAATCTATCATGTTTGGTTTGCAGATTTTAGTGAGTTCAGAGATCATGCGCTCATACACCCTGGGCTGACTGTCTGCTGTTTTTGATTTCTTGCATTTTCTTTGAAGACGCGCTGTGTCTCCAAGCGAGTCCAGCCTCTCACCCGAAATGCGCAGCTGTGCAGCGGCACGCAAAGAATTCTGGGAAACCAACCGCACGAAAGCGTGCATAAATGCACGCTTGAAAGCGCGCTTAGCATTTCTTTAGCATTTCGTGCCAAATGGGACACCGTTCGCGCCGTGTCATGACATCTTGCACGCTTCAAATGCGCCGTTATGTGCCGTTCGACGGTTCGGTCTCTGAAATGGGACACAGCCTATGGCTGTGTCCGAAATGGCATACTACTCCTACTACTCCTACTAACCCCGCCCCTGAATTGAGTAGGCAGTGCGTTCACACTGTACAGTATGCGAATTTTGTGTATGCGAGAAATACCCGGATGTATACTCAATCGGCTTCCATTTCTGAGTATGAAACGGAGCTTGCTTCACGTACTGCTTCTGCCCCACAATGCATTGCGCACCTCAGCTGGTAATATGGCCCTCTTTCCCGAGGCTGAAAAGAAATAGATGGCATGTGATTGCAATAATAATGACATATATATAAATAGATACACAATATTTAATCCGTATACATTACACAATTTTTATCATTTTAACATATTTTGTTCTTTTTACCAGATTTATTTGTATTTTAAATTAGGATTGTAGGTAATGTTTTTAACTATTCATATGAATTGACTTTATTTATTTAAGTGTCTATTAAAGATGTATTCATTACATCAAGTTTGAGCATCTTCTCATCTCTGAATGCATCATCAAAGTGGTCACTCATATTAAGCACAGACCTCTGATTAATAAAAATTATTATTGGTAGAGAGCACATGGTTCAGAATATAAAAACGGGGGAGTTTCCAGTTAAAAATGTATATGTGAGCTTTACTAATTCTTACTTGTGGTTGAAAATCTGATGGTTTCTGAAATTATCATTGTACATGAAAAGAATGTAGTCGGGAAATGATGTATTTGCCAAGGAATAACCGAACAAGGTCATAATAATGATGTTGTGTGTTGGTCATTTTGCAGCCCTCTGCTGCTCATCACACGCCTAGCAGGTGGTGTATAGCATTATCACCATGGATACACAGATGTTTGTGTGATTTTTTTCATCCACTGCCACCCGGTTTGTGTCGTGAAGATGTTGATTATGAAAACACTACGCAATAATTTGGAAACGTGAAGGGGGAGCTGCTGCTGCCCGGTGTTTACGGTACGTAGATGCAAACACCCACCAAGCGGACGCTTCGGTCTCCGAAAACGCCGAGACAAATTTACAAACAGCCACCATTTCAAACAACTGGGCTTATAATCGTGATGTAAACACTTACTTTCTCGCTTGAAAAAAATATTATTGAATGAATTTATATAATTTGTCCGGAATGCAGTCGTTCTGTGTAGCTTGTGGTAGGACTATTTAAATTTTCCCGGCGCTGCGTCCGGCCGGCACGAAATGCATTCTGGGGTATTTAGTATGCATCTGTATGTAAACGCTCGGGCAGCCGCGGCATACTCAAATCATCTTTGAGTAGTCAGTAGGTACTGCTTGAGTAGGTCAGTAGATAGTAGGCAGTATGCCATTTCGGACATAGCCTATGTGTGTAATCTAAGGCTGTGTCTCATTTCAGAGACCGCATCGGGCTAAGTGCACTTCTGCACCGTCGAACGGTGCATTTGAAGCGTGCATGACGTCATGACGGCGCGAACGGTGTCCCATTTGGCACGAGATGCTAAGAAATGCTAAGCACGCTTAGCATTTTTTCAAGCGTGCATTTATGCACGCTTTCGTGCCGTCGGTATCCCAGAATGCTTTGTGTGCCGCTGCACAGCTGCACATTTCAGGTGAGAGGCTGGACTCACTTGGAGACACAGCGCGTCTTCAAAGAAAATACAAGAAATTCAAAAACAGCATACAGTCAGCTCAGGCTGTATGAGAGCATGATCTCTGAACTCACTAAAATCTGCAAACCAAACATTATAGATTTAGAGACGAACTGATCCGCTCTGCTTCAACTATCAAAAACATTAGAAATAAGAAAGCTGACAAAACCACAGCAAAGGATCAGGACATCATTGAGTTTTTTTTTTTCTTTTAAGATTTAGAGATTAAAGTTGTAAATTTGGGAGAATAAAGTAAATAAATTCATAAAGCTGCTTTTGTGAAGGGGGAAATGACTGAAGCTGGTCATCTGCAGGGTTATCGGTGGATGTATCAGCGGGTCATTCAGAGAGATTTTGTGGTTTCTGAAGAAACAATCAAACTGATGATGATCAACATTTGTGATCCAGAGGGAGTCAAGCTCCGACGAGCACCACGTCTCTGACACCGGCGGTAACCTACACCTGCAGAGACACCAACACCTTATTATGGCATATGGATTCATATCATAAATTAAAGCTCAGTGTCATTCACAGATATTTACGGCTGCATTGACAGATATATCCGCAGAATATCCATCATCATCAAATAATCATTGGATTAATTTTGTGGGAATGATCTGTGCTTGTATGTACTATTTTGTGCCTGTGCAAGGTCCCACAATTAAAACAATAAATGCTGCGCTCCGCAGCTTTTTCTCTAGTCAGTCGTGACGTAAGCCTGAGGGCGGGGACATTTGGAGACCTTCGGAGGACTTCCTGGTGGAGTCGCCAAATGTCCCCGCCCTCATGCTCGCGTCACGACTGACTTAAAGAAATCCCGCGGAGCGCAGCATTTATTGTTTTAATTGTGCGACCTCGCACAGACACAAAATAGTAGATACATACAAGAACAATTCATTCAATGATTGTTTTGTATGAAGGAGTGTGAGGGCCATATTGAGATTTAAGACTTTAAAGATTTAAGTCGTGAATTTATGAGAATAAAGTCATTAATTTATGAGAATAAAGTCATAACCTGTTATTTCAGACGAGACTTGTTAAAATTAGGGCCATGAAGCATTTGAAGGAACTGTGCTTCATTATAGGTTTTACAAACAAGGAGATACTTCATCCTGTGGCACATCAGCATCACATTGTCATAAGTATAAAGACTTAAAAAAAGAATATATGAGAAATACGTCTTTTCCACAGGGAAAAAAAACTGGTGTACTTGAAGGAAGTCGTTGATTATTTTGAGGCAGAAATGAATATGCTGCGGATATATCCGTTTATGCAGCCGTAAATATCCGTGAATGACATTGAACTTTAATTTATGATATGAATCCATATGCCATAATAAGGTGTTGGTGTCTCTGCAGGTGTAGGCTACCGCCGGTGTCAGAGACGTGGTGCTCGTCGGAGCTCGACTCCCTCTGGATCACAAATGTTGATCATCATCAGTTTGATTGTTTCTTCAGAAACCACAAAATCTCTCTGAATGACCCGCTGATACATCCACCGATAACCCTGCAGATGACCAGCTTCAGTCATTTCCCCCTCCACAAAAGCAGCTTTATGACTTTATTTACTTTATGACTTTATTCTCCTAAATTTACAACTTTAATCTCTAAATCTTAAAAGAAAAGAAAAAGACTCAATGATGTCCTGATCCTTTGCTGTAATTTTGTCAGCTTTCTTATTTCTAAAGTTTTTGATTGTTGTAACAGAGCGGATCAGTTCGTCTCTAAATACTATATTGTTTCGTTTGCAGATTTTAGTGAGTTCAGAGATCATGCGCTCATACAGCCTGAGCTGACTGTCTGCTGTTTTTGGATTTCTTGTATTTTCTTTGAAGACGCGCTGTGTCTCCAAGTGAGTCCAGCCTCTCACCTGAAATGCGCAGCTGTGCAGCGGCACGCAAAGCATTCTGGGATACCGACGGCACGAAAGCGTGCATACATGCACGCTTGAAAAAGGGGCGGGGGTAGTGTGGTTTTGAGACCGAATTTAAAGCGCGCTTAGTATTTTGTGCCAAACGGGACACCGTTCGTGCCGCGTGATGACCTCACGCACGCTTCAAATGCGCCGTTTGACGGTTGCGGTCTCTGAAATGGGACACAGGAAGGGTACATAACGGCGCAAAACGGCACATGACGGCACAGAGATGCGGTCTCTGAAATGAGACACAGCCTAAATTCATCTTGATCCAGCATAGTGACCATACCGCTGTAGTAGCTTTATCTGAACTCGAGATGGTGCTGCAGTTCAAAATTTGAAGTAACACAGAAGGCATTATCATTTTGCTGCATTTCCCTATTTCTTGGAGTCACATTTACTTCTGCTTCATCAACAGGAGGGACGAACTGTTTGTTGGCAAACTTTTAAAACTTCTAAATAAACAAGTAAACAAAAAAGAGAGTTATTGTTCAGGTGGAGCCCAGCTCATCAAGTAGAGACACTTACATTACGATGTCCTATGTGACAAAGAAACCATGAACCTGTCTGGCTGTGCATCTCTGTGATCTACAAAAGCAAAAACAAGTGACAAATCTAAAAGTGCTTTGATTCTTACTGCAGTTCACCATGGTGAGTTTATCTGATCACGATAGTTTCATCAACAAAGTCTGATAGTCACTCATGTGACTGTTGAGAATAAGCAGGACAGGATATTTTCTCAAAGTACAGCAAAGCAGCAGTTAACCATCTCTGATCCCTAAAAATATTAAAATAAACACAGAGATACTCTACAATCATTATCCTCTGCTTATCTATTCATACATGATTTAACTGGGATTACTTCAAATGTATGCTTTGATTTAATGATAGAACAATGCAAGTATCAAAAACAAGAATTTTTCTAAAGCTGCACCAGTGATTTTTGGTGTAATAGGTCAAATGATAATAATAATAATAATAATAATAATAATAACAACAACAACAACAACAACAACAACAACAATATAATAATAATAATAATAATAATATATCATACTTTTAGACCTAAAATATAATGAGGATCTCTGATAGACTTCAGTTTACACAATGAAAGATGCAGTGTGAAGTATTTAGCAGGACAGATTTGGTGGACATGGTGTCATTCATTCCCTCGTTTAAATATTAATCACTGAATATCATAACTGTTTTGTGTTTCTTAACTTAGAAACCAGTAAAAATTAAATTACCAATCAGTAACATTTGCAGTTTTATCAGTAAGAGGCTGCCAAAAACATCAGCAGTTTAAGGAGAAGGATAGTGTTTGTTGTTGTTATGTGGTAGACTATTGATACTAATGGAGGATGGTACCACACCGGAGCAGAGGAGCTTCTGGTTGTGGAAGGCTTTCACTGATGTTGCATCACTGGTGGGAGGGGTGAGCAAAGGAGCATTTCTGACCTCTATATACTGCTTAAAGGGATATTCCGGTGTAAAATTAAGTTAGGGTCAAACACGCCATAACGCCGTGTTAGAGAAGAATGTTGCTGACCGCTTGGTTCTCTAATTATACCAACTTTAGTAACAACCACAGATAGCAATACAGAGAGCCACACACTCAACCAAAATGTCACTCTATAGCCACAAATAATGCTCAGAACAGCACCTAGACTAGAGAAGCAAGCGGTCAGCAACATTCATCTCTCGACGGGGTGTCTAACTCAGTGTTACGTTGTGTTTGACCCTTACCTAATTTTACGCCGGAATATCCCTTTAATATCCCCATTTCTACATACTGCACTTTTAGGAGATATCTCTTTGTGCAGAGGATTTATTTTTGTTGTTGTACATGCATGGGGTCCCGACTGCACCTTCTTAACAAGTATTTGATGGAAAGGTTTGATCATACTTTTCTTACGGGGCAAGAAAACAATAATAGACAAACTGAAGCTATAGATGTGACCTTATGTCATTGAGTTATAAAATAAAGACAACGGCAAACTAAAGATTGGCATGCAGATTTAACAAGTTAACCATAAACTGTATAAAACAGTACAGTTCTCGAAACCTTCTGATAAAATCACAGGCTAATTAGGAGTGAAATGATGATGAACTAGAAGCCAAGACACAGTCTTAGGTCTTTACTTTATATCTAAATGAAGGAATGCAAGAAAGGTAAAATGAAGAAAGAATTATTCATGGAGTCAGGTGAGAGAGGGGTACAAGATAAAGTGGTGTACAAAGAGAGGTCCTTGGTTCAGCACCTGCGCTCGCACCAGGCCAGCGCGTTTCCCCATTTGCTCTAATCCAGAGGCTCTGGTTTGAATATTTAAAGGTGGGTCTGGCAGCAACCTGCACTTAAAGGTTTCCACGTCAGCAGCGGCTCTAGTCAGTAGAGGCAGCGTCCCCTCCCTCCTGCACAACTGCTGCTGACCCCTGTGTGCGTCTGAGGTAAGACTTAAGCAGCACTCACCGCTCTCTCCACCAAGAATTTCAGAAAAGACGTTTTTTTTCTTTACCCACATTTGATTCTTGTTTCTCTGCAGGAGGACTTGGATTCTGCTGTTTTCTTCGGTCTTGCTCTTTTCGGATCTATCGCCATGGGGGGACTGGACGCGCTCCGGCAGTGTAATTTTTTAAGCTGGCTCAGAGAGGAGAGGCAGTCCAGAAAATTGATCCTCTTCATTGTTTTTGTGGCCCTGCTCCTGGATAACATGCTGCTGACGGTAGTCGGTAGGTTCCCTCCTCATTTTCTCACGATGTGATCCTTGATGAGTTTTTCCCTTTTTCTTTTTTTCTTTCTTTTTTTGCGCAACAGGTTGTCCAGTTCAACAAATATTTAGATCTGAAAATCCAAACGTAGTGCTGTGTGTGCAGGTGTGTGCATGGCTTTTTCAGGGTTTTAAAGCCTCTCTGGACAGACAATGACACGGTCTACGATATGAAGTTAAGCCTTGTAAAATAAAGCTAGTGTAAGGTATGAGTCTTGAGATGGAAAATCACAGAAATCGAGTTTTTGATTGATTTGTTTTAATTCTGTCTGCAGACTTTGGTGTGAGGTTCTTTCAATATCCTTCAGCATGTTGGCCCTCTTACTAAATGAAATTCACAATAGACCACGAAGGCGTCACATATTCAGATGAAACCAGAACTGTACGTTAAAGCGAGGCGCCCATTGATATTCCTGTCATTTTCCTCTTATCATCACCTCACGGTTTCCACAGCAGAGTCAGTGATAATTCATTTCTAAACTCTCATACTTCATACTTTGAAGTAAGGTTTTTATTCAGTCATGTCAGGTTCATATAAAATCTGACAAGATACAATGAGACAAAAACACTTCATTTTTCTTTGCTTCATTAAGAAATGATTGACAGCCCCCCCCCCCCCTTTTTTTTTTTTTTACATGTGAATTAAATAATTAATTAAAACATGAAGAGGTTTAGAAACCTTCCTAAAATGTCCATTTGTATCTTTTTGACCATTTTAACATTCAATCTTCTGAATTAATCGAAAAGGAATAGCCGACCAATAGTTTTACTTTTTTGGGCAAAATTTCTAAAAACTTCATTCACCTATCAGAGTGGGATCTGGGTTTTCTAATCGAGGTAAATTTCTAACATTTGAGGGAAAAATGAGAATTGAAGAAAATGTGAAAAAAGCAAGTGACCCACCTCCACTTCTATAACACAGAATATGACACTGTGAGTGTAATTCAATAAATTCCTCAAAAAGGAAGACAGCAGCAGACAGCAGAAAGCCTTTATTAACCAGCTCATTTTACAGTCCGCACTTTTCAGTTTGATATTATGAATCACATATAGTGAAAAAAAAATGACACTTGTTGATTGCTGGGATATTTGTTGCAGATAAATCCGATGCTGTATGTGAATCTTCATAAGGTCATTTATAACAGACCTGGTTCATTTTAATCCAGTATTCCTCTCTTTTTCTCTCACACAGTTTAAACTGGAAAACAGGGCTCTTTATTTGTGATCGCTGTAGATTTACTTTAAATTTCAAAATCAGCAGCTGAATATAACTTTTCTGTCTCAAAGTCAAATTTTCTAGTCAACAGAACCACAATCTGAAAATAAATGTTCATATAGGACAGCAGAGTCCATCTGAGAGCAGCTTAGTCATCCAAAGGTCCGATCAAATGTGGATTCAATGGGTGTGGCTTCCTCATTTCAGTGAGACCATGATCTATTTAATACAAGCATGCACACTGTCCTCAAGCCCTTTTCTGAGGCAGTCTCCCCTGAGGAGGAGTGTTAACCTGTAAAATCATCATCCTTGGCTGTTTTTATTGTGTCATTGAAGGGGGAAGAATTTGTTTTTGAGCTCACAGATGAATATTCCTAAAAGTCTGACCAGCTTCTCTGTGTCTCTCTCCTCCTCTGTATCCTGTCTGTGTTTGATCACAGCAAATGTCAGCATATATCCTCCTCTTCGTTTTCTGAAACCAGCAGCTTCAGGGTGTATTTCTGCCAGTCCCAATCATGTCATGTGTAGCACTCTATTAATCATCCCTCCCTTCTCAACTATAAATATAGTTCCCTTTGTATACTGCACTGTCTGGGTTTTCCACTTCTCTGGTAAATTCACAGCTGAAATATTGTCAACAGTTTTCACAACAGAACATAAGTAGTGCAGTTTTGGCCAGGCAAACAATCTTCTATCAAAGTGACCACAGGGAAGCTTTGACTAGTCTTTATTGATACCATAGATTTGGGTAACATCTTTGCAGAAACTAGAACTTCATTTTGAAGGGATCCAGAGGGAAATCTTGTTAAAGACGCTCTCTCTGTAACACCTGGATGTGCACAGCCTTGTTTACTCTGACTCTGTAGTGGACAGGCTCACAGCCCTGTCATTCTTCTGCCATTTACGTTAGCTCTAACCTTGTTTATAACTTCATTTAAGTTTGAAGTACAATATCAACACATGAAAGCATGTATGATCTTTTCTAATGAACATGTATATATATATATATATATATATATATATATATACACACACACACAAACCATCCAGTGCACAGCCTGAGATCCTCAGGCAGGAACCTCCTTGTTGTTCCCACCTCAAACTTTAAAACAAAAAGTGTCCAAGCATTTGCTAGTAGGGCGCCTGGGCTATGTAATGACTTGCCTGAGGATCTCAGACTAGCTACATTAGTGTCTTTTTAAATCCCTTTTAAAAGCACATCTTTATCAGACAGCCTGCTTCAGACCTGTGTTTTATTCATGATCCACTTACTATTTGATTGTGTTTCCATTGGTCAAGTTTTTTAATATTACATCTAATTTTTTCATTTCTTTTATCCTTTTATCTCGTCTGTAAAACTTGTCGCCACTACTTGGTGTATTCTTTTATCTTGAAACTCTATCGTACAATAGAGATCAGATCGTTGAAATGTATTACTTTTTCTTTTAAAAAATACAGCTGTGAATGTTCTGAATCACTTAAAGGCATTCTCATGTTAAAGTGGCTTTTTACAAAACAGCTTTTTAGTAGTTATTTGCAATAATAATAAAAAGAATTACTGTACCTATTGAATAGCGCATGATAGATAGAAAATATACATGAATGCAAAAAAGTCACTGTTATTTAGGGAGAAAGAAGGTGAGGAGGGCTGAGGTGGAGAGGGGGGGAGTTGAAGGGATACGGCTCAACTTACCACACTCCTATGGACAACTTACCCCATACACGGGGTAAGTTGACCATAGGAGACCACTTTTTTTTGCTTTTTTTGGAATGCTGTAGTATCAAGACAGTTATGTTTACACTCGTTTTGTTGGTTTGCAGAGATGCACAACATCTTGAAATATATGCAGATCCACTAGTTAAAGACAACACTATGATTGTCTTGATGTAGGGATCCGAAATATAAAAAATGGCTCATCTTACCCCACTCTCCCCTAAAGATACATCCATCTTTGCACTATAGCACTGGAGCATTCATCTTTACACTACCGAACTTCTCAATTCTTTAGGAGTGTCAGAGCTGCAGTGGTATGTTTTTATACTTTTGAAAAAAAAAAAAAAAACTTTAGATTTCCAGAGCTGCACACCTGGACAGGGTGGTGTCCTCTGATATATACCATGTCCACTGCTGACGAGTCTTGATTCTGGCTTAATGCTTGCACAGAGCTTCTTTGTGACTCAACACACTGAGAAGCAGCAGCTAGCAGAATGTAAATGATATGAAAAGGTAGAGAGACAGCCTTTGACTCTGTCCCCCTCTCACTCATCTGTTGCTGGTGGTGCAGATATGTTGCGCTGATTTGAAGGCAAAAACTGATGTAACAGTGTTAATACTGTCTGGAGAATATGAAGAGATATGCTTATACTGTCTGTCTCTGTTATACCCAACAGGAACACAGGTATGAATTACACAGAGACTCATGAGCCTGGGTTCAGAGAGAGGAAAAACTCTGCAGTCTATTTGATGTCATGAATAGCCTTCACAGATCCTTCATGACCCCCATCAGACAGGGAAGGTTCTAAGCATCACAGTCAGGTACATTTTTGATCAAAGCTCCAGGAATTTTCTAGAGTTTTTGAGTCATACTGTAGGCCAGGGCCGAGCACTGGCCTACAGTATGTCTGAGCACCACAGTAGTTTGAGATTCAGTGACTTGTTAAAAGGAACCCCAGCAGAGCTGCAGCAGGTAAACCAGCACCTCACCAGCTACCAACCCAATTTCCATGCTTTTGCTTGAAATAATGACTGTAGTTATTCAAATCAAAATTTTATCTTTATTTACCTGTCAAACAAGATGGCAGAGCTACACCACTGACCTGCAGTTAAACCAACCAGCACTGAGAAGGTGAAAGGAAAATGTTCTTTGGTGGTCTAAGATATAAAAACTGATCTGAAACCACATGCACGCACGCACACCAGGTATGAGGTGTTGGCAGAGGTCTGATGTGGCCATAAACTCCTTGTCCTCCTCTGACACATGGTGCATTGTTTGTGGATTTGCATCATGCTGGTGAACATCAGTCAGTGCTCATGTCAGATTTGATTGCATCCATCTCTTCTCGGCTCTTTATGCCCGGCAGTTCCCATCATCCCCAGCTACCTGTACAACCTGGATGAGTCTTCAGAAGCAGTGTTGAAGAATAACACCCTCTCACAGCCAGGGGCTGCAGGGGCTCCGGGGGCTCCAGAGGCTTTCAACAGCATCATGTCTCTGTACGACAACACGGTGAGGTCCTCAGGCTCCAACGCCACAACCAGACCCTATGATCTAACCCCCACAGCCCCCACCACAGCAGCTCCGCCTCAGAACTCTTCCGACTGCCCCAGGTCCAGCAGTATGCTGCTGAATGAGAATGTCAAAGTGGGAATGCTGTTTGCCTCCAAAGCCACTGTACAGCTGATTACCAACCACTTCATAGGGCCTCTGACAAACAGGTATGATGTCTCCCTGTCTGTGTGTGTGGATGGGTGAGGGATGCAGTGTTAATAACAGGGCAATTATCTGTCTACTATATTAGCAGCCTGTGTTTTTCATGTAGACCTAGTTCTAGCAAATAAGGAATTCATGAAAGAATAAAAATAATCATGTTTGTGGTTCTTAATAAAAACACTTAATTATTTAATTTATTTGATTAAATCAGTCATAAACCTTTTAAGAGCCTCACAAATGGATCATTGGGTGAGACCACTTTATTTGGGTGTGTTATGTAGTAAAAAGTCTTTCCCTGATAACCCAATAGGCTAAAATAAACTTTCATCTTCACTGATGACCAGTCTACTAAATTATTTTCAAATATGAGTGATTGCCTGGTCCACATCATCCATCTCTCCTTCCATCAGTCTGAATCAGTTTTAAGATTTCAGGTCTGATATGTTTAATATGAAATGTGTCCTTAATTCCCCCTTTGCTTTCCATTTACTGTGCTGGCTATTGATTTAGTATTTGTCTGAAAACAGGTGATAATTTATAACAATGTATCAATGATCAGGGCAAGCTGTGGATACAGCTTCACAGAAATCTTTATCCTTAGTTGTATTTGAACCATCATGTTGTTTTCACATTCATTTATAGTAAACAGGTGGTTATAGGAGAGTCCTGACAGAGTCCATGACCACTCCAGCAATACTCATGAATCCACTTCTCCCTAGCTGATCTGACAAATTATTTATTTAAAGATGATTTCATTGGTTTATAAATAATCAATGCAGCTAAAAACAGTCATTATAATCACAAGGACTCATTTCAGCAGCATTGAGTAATGTTTGGACCCAGTGTGTATCCACATTAAAGATGAAAAGCTGTAGTAGGATTTGGAATTTGAAGTATTACAAGTTCTGACGCAAAACTTAAATTACTTCAGCAAAATCTAAACATTCAAGGACATTTATATATATTTACTGATTTCACTGACCATTAGTTAAATAAAAGGCAGTTATAAATAATCAGCTGATGCTGATTACACCTGGTACACTTTCATCTATTATGTAGCTTTTACTGGAAACCTTTAGTGATTTCAGAGTTTAGAGATGCTCTCACCCACTCTGCTCCAACTACACAGATTGCAGGACAAGAAGTTGCTCCTCAGGCTGCTGTCACATCTGAGCCCAAAAACTGTGATTGTCCCACCTCTGAGACCAGCCTGAGGCAGACATTAAGGTTTTGACCACGTTGTTTGCAAACGGGGGAGAGTAGACTGTCTCTGGCATTGTTTTTTTCTGTTTAGAATTACCATTCAGCGCTATAAAGATCTGATGTATTATTATTATTATTACCTTCGCCAAGGAGGTTATGTTTTCGGTAGCATTGTTTTTTTTGTTGGTTTGTTGGTTTGTTACCTCCGCCAAGGAGGTTATGTTTTCGGTAGCATTGGTTTGTTTGTCTGTTAGCAACTTTACGGAGAACGTAACAGATGGATTGACCTGAAATTTTCACCAGAGGTGCAACTCAGCCCCAGGACGATCCCATTACATTTTGGTGGTGATCCGGATCGCCTTCTGGATCTAGGGATTTTTTGAAGGATTCTTTATCATTGTGAGATAGGGCAAATTTTGGAATTTTTGCATTTAACTCTATAAACATGGCCAGAGTCTTTAGTAAAAAATTACACAAAGGGATCTCAATGAGTTTGATGAGGTACCAAAGGTTGATCCTGATCCAGACAAAATTCCGGATACTGTGATCCAGAACACACAAAAATAAGGGTGTGGTTGGAATTTTCAATAATGAAAGATAACCAATGGGCGGCACAGTGGTGTAGATGGGTGGTAGGGTGGTGTAGTGGTTAGCACTGTCGCCTCACAGCAAGAAGGTTCTGGGTTCAAATCCGGGACAGGGCATTTCTTGTTTTAGGAACATTATGAACAGTGAACATACCAGTTTAAACACTTATATAAGTTAATAAAAGACATGTAACAGTAAAAGTTTTGGTATGAATCACAATATAATGGGGGACATGAGCTGCTTGGCGGGGGTCTGCGCTCTCCGAGTGCTTTTCGAGTTTGTTTGTTTCTTTGTTTGTGAGTTTGTTTGTTTCTTTGTTTGTGAGTTTGTTTGTCTGTTAGCAACTTTATGGAGAAAGTAACAGACGGATTGACCTGAAATTTTCACCAGAGGTGCGTCTCAGCCCCAGGACAATCCCATTACATTTTGGTGGTGATCTGGATCGCCTTCTGGATCCAGGGATTTTTTGAAGGATTCTTTATCATTGTGAGATAGGGCAAATTTTGGAATTTTTGCATTTAACTCTATAAACATGGCCAGAGTCCTTAGTAAAAAATTACACAAAGGGATCTCAATGAGTTTTATGAGGTGTCAAAGGTTGATCCTGATCCAGACAAAATTCCGGATACTGTGATCAAGAACACACAAAAATAAGGGTGTGGTTGGAATTTTCAATGCTGAAAGATAACCAATGGGCAGCACAGTGGTGTAGTGGTTAGCACTGTCGCCTCACAGCAAGAAGGTTCTGGGTTCAAATCCGGGACAGGGCATTTCTTGTTTTAGGAACATTATGAACAGTGAACATACCAGTTTAAACACTAATAAAAGTTGATAAAAGACATGTAACAGGAAAAGTTTTGGTATGAATCACAATATAAGGGGGGACATGAGTTGTTTGGCAGAGGTCTGCGCTCTCCGAGTGCTTTTCTAGTTTGTTTGTTTGTTTGTGAGTTTGTTTGTCTGTTAGCAACTTTACGGAGAAAGTAACAGACGGATTGACCTGAAATTTTCACCAGAGGTGCATCTCATTCCCAGGACGATCCCATTAAATTTTGGTGGTGATCCAGACAAAATTCTGGATACAGATTTATGGATAGCCTGGCAAGATACAAAAAAGCCAGGTTATAATGCTAGAACAACCTGGGTTCACACATTAGCTACCCCTGATTAAATAATATTTGTAAAACCATTAAACCTGCATGCAAAAGTGGAATATTGAATCTTTTTCAACAGTTTTAAGGTTATTTTAAAGACTTACATGTGTAGATAACTGAAAATAGAATATGGTAGAATATGTAGTTTTGTAGAATAAAGCAGTTTCACATGGAAAATCTTATTCACCAATTTTCTTGTCTGTTTGAATTAAGTATCAGAGTCTGAATGTATTATTATGTATTATAACGTGGTTTATTACGGGCAGAAACCTTGAGCAAGACCAGTCTCATGTTAGACAGCCACTTGCTGCTACTGAGTTGGAGGAGAGAGAGGACAGATGGAGATAGAGAGAGATATGGAGATTAAGTGTAGCTTAGCTGATAGACAGTAAGACACAGATTATGGGAGTTACTTTTTACACAGCATTGTGGTCATGAAACAACCAGAAGATTTTGCCTGAAAAAAATGTGTATTAAAAGTGATTTAATCTAGCCACACAAGCCCCCCACATGTTGTTGTTACAATGACCTTCAAGGAAAATCTTTACAGAAATTAAATGCAGATTTCTTTCCAGTAACTTTGTCTTTGAGAGGGAAAAATCGTTGTGACATTTTTGAATACCCAAAGAAAATGAATGAGAAACCTTCTGAGACAGAGTGGAGCGATAAGGCAGGGAAATGAATCTTCAAATCAGTGGAAGTTCCAAAAAAGCTTCAAGTAACAGAAGTGAAGTAGTTTTTTAGTAGGGAAGAAAATAACATTTATTGCAGTATGACAAAGGACAGAGCAAAAGCATCATATTCTGACAGGTTTTGTCTGGATTCAACAGCAGCTTCCCTCCAGCCCAGAGAAGTAGCCAGAGGCCAGTACAGAACAACATTTTGTCTCTTATCTAATGCATCATCCAACACAAATTAAAGAGAAGGAGCCGTAGCAGACTCCCTTCATGTTCCGAGGAGGGAAATCAGATGTGGCATATGGAAAACAAGCCAGTTTAATGCAGTGTTGTGGGTAAATGTCATGCCAGCTCCAACAGATCTAATCACACTGAATCAAACAGAGCGGAATTCCTGATTATGGGTGTTTGTGTTTATGCACATGTGCCCGTTGTTTTTGGTCTCCTTCCTCTTATTCATGGATGCTCCAGAGTTATTCAAATTTTAATAAGGAGAGCTTTTGCTGTGAACTATACACATGGACACAAAAAAGGCTTTTGTATTTTGTATTTGTAATCAGTCTCCTCCATCTTTTACTGTAGATACAGTAACACAAGCACATTGGCTGAGCATGGCTACTTACTGTGGGACATAAAAGTGCATACACATGTCCACTCATGTGCATGCTGTGTCATGTAAACCAGGGGCCAGCAATTATCTTTACCATGGGACAAGTTTTTTTCTAATGCACAGGATGGTGAGTCAGAACATAAAAAAACTCAGATTTATGAGGTTGATTAGTTATGAAGATCTGCCTGGAACTTACAACAGACTGCATTATATTGTCTCTTGTAAATGCTTATTCAGCTGCCACAGCCTTTAGAGGACAGGTGTGCATCTTGGTTTTGCACTGTCCAAAGTAAAATTGTGTGTTTTTATCAATTATTGCATGTCTGATGAATAAATGTAGGTATTTGACAAAAGATTTTTCTCTCTACATGTTACAAATAACAGCCTATTTTAGGAATGAAAGGTGCTTCTTTTTTACCCCCAAATAAGAACCATCTTGAAATATATTTGGGCGAAAGGCCAAAGAGGATGTGGTTCTGGTGAGATTTGTTGGCATAGTGAGGTTTTGTTTCAGCCTCAGTAGTTTTCTACTGTGTCCTGTTACTGTTTGTGTCTGACTGTCATGACATTATTAGGAAAATACAAACCCCAACTCTAATGAAGTTGGAGGTTAGGTAAAACGTGAATTAAACAAAATACAGTGATGTTCAACTGGATACTCTCCAAAGATATTTCATGTTTAAACCAATGAACTCCTAAAAAAGCTGTTAACTGCTGTAGTACATCAGCTTTTGTTCAGCCCTCACAGTTGGACCTGAGCACAGATAAGGAGACAGAAAACTTTTCAACAAACAACAGGCCTAAAGTGTTCTATAGTGCAGCGTTTCTCAAAGTGTGTGGCCCGCCCCCCTAGGGGGGCGCGGAGCCATTCCTGGGGGGGCGCGAGTCACCCGGCTACAAATAGGTTGGTGTGCACCCGCGATAGCGCGGCTTCTCCTGTGCAGGCACCACGCTCGTCACGCATGCACCATACTGAACTCGCCACACAAGTAGGGGGAGTCCAGCGCCCTAAACCCTGTTTCTTTATTTTACCGTGAAGAAGCAGCGTTTGTTGTGGCGGACGCTCAAGGCGAGATACTTGTCAGGTGTTGTGCCGTAGAATGCACCCCTGCCGTAAAATGCCGACGGGAGCGCGGTTGAAAGTACTTTATAAGGCAAAAATAATTCAAGTTTTCCTTACCATTGGATGAATTCAAAAGCGTCTGCCTTTAATTATTTCATTCAGGCTATTCAGATAAGCCGAAAAAATAGCCCTCTGATTTGGAACATTTGCTGTACCGAAAATATAATGTTCGCTAACTTGACAGCTTACTGTACAGTTTATATACCCGAGCACACCTCCATATGTGCATTTTTGAGACACATAAAAACAGAACGAAAGTTGTCCCGATCCAATACTCGTGTCTTTTTAAAATATGAGATCATTTTCTTCCACTTTAAGAAGTTAATAAGTGGAGGGGATGCAGGGGGTGCATCTATGGCAGGGGTGCATTCTACGGCATAACACCTGTTAAGTATGCTGCTATCCCCACCTGTACAATGTCCTCCTGAAAGCATACAAAGACGCTTTCTGCTGTGCTAATTCATGGTGGGAACTAGCTCAGAAACCAGGGCGGAGATAACCACCGACGCCTTGCTATGCCAGCAGCTGCTCCGCTCCTCTCGCTGTGGAGAGCTCCGAGAGGAGCTGAAGCTGCTCCGTTTCGCGTTGTGCAGAGTCCGTGCCGCGGAACCAATGTTTGGACGTCGGAATGTTTTTTTTGCGGCGGACAACCCTCGCTTTCACCTGTCACCGTAACAACCAGCAACTGTGTTCAGATCAGAATAATAAATTGTATATAAATGTACAGAATGGAGAGATATTTGACAGGGATGAAAAGAAAAGCTGAAGCCAGCAATACAGCATGCCTAGATGACGGTAGGCCAAACCAACAAAAAGCCAAGTCAAGGAAATATGATGAAGCTATCTTACTATCTTGCTCTTGGATTCACAGGATTTTTTGTACTTACTCAACTTGATATTGTTTGATTATTATTGTTCTTGCAACATAATAATAATAATAATAGTTTTTATTTGTAACGCACTTTACATTTGAAAACAAATCTCAAAGTGCACAACAAGACAACAATAACAGTAAAATCAAGCAACAGGGCAAAACAATAAAAACAGTCAGCAGATAAAATCAGATAAAATTAGTCCGGGTAGGCTTTCCGAAAGAGGAAGGTTTTGAGTCCTTTTTTAAAAGCATCCACCGACTGTGGAGCCCTGAGGTGGTCGGGGAGGGCGTTCCACAGACGGGGAGCAGCAGCCTCGAAGGCTGCACATTTGTTTTCTAGTTTTGAGAAATACAGCAGAAGGAATGGTATGTCAGTAAAGTTATACATGGCCTATTTTGTCACAATTTTGTTGGGGTAGGGGGGAATGAATTTTTTTCTTCCTCCAAAGGGGGGAATGACAAAAAAAGTTTGAGAACCACTGCTATAGTGAGACATATCCCCAAAACACAGGCCCATGTCTGTGTTAACACAATTAAATACACAACCCTAAATAAGTCCTTCTAGTCATGCCATTCTTAAACCTTCTTTCTAGTCAGTGGGTCATCCCACTCATGGGCCTCTAATGTGAACACCCTTAACAGGGCTTTTCCTCAAATGAGGACTTAAGCTGTAAACCAATAAGGGTGACAAAGACTGCTCGTGGTTGATCAAGCCCCTCCAAAAGTCTTCAGCAGACACCTGAAATGTGAACTCATCTGTGGTAGAATCCCAGTGATTCCTAGACATCATTACAGGGATACCTGTGTGCAACCTTAAGTTGGACAAAGAAAGCTTTTCTTGGATCTTCAAAGTAGCAATAGCGTTGTTATCTGATGGAAATTAGACTTATACAGTCTAGAAATGCTGCTCTACAAAGTGCCTCTCCTTAAGGCCAGAGTTGAGCATATCCCTTTGACTTTGCCTTCTTGTGCCCATAGATTAAACAGCAGGGGCCTCATGTATCAATGCTGGCGGTGCCAGAAAACCTTGCGTTCGCCAAGATCGGCGCAAACGTCCAGATTTATCATCGCGACATGAGCGTCGGTTCCAGCGCAAATCCAAACAAAGTGAGGAGGTGGTGTAGAAGTTGGCGTTGAGCCGATACTTGCGTTGACGGCACTTTGGCGATGCTGTGTGGCGGTGTTTGGTGACTCACTATGTGACAAGCGTTCACACATCGCAGTGGACCTGCACCACATCCCAGTGGCCGAACAGCACGTCGCCCCACATGACGAACCAGCAGCAGACGGAGGGATGCGAGCTGATCCCTGCCGAGCCGCCGTCCTCGCGCGGGAGAATCTCATCGCCACAGTGTGAATGGGTAAAAAGTGAATACACAGTTCAATGAGCCAAATTAATTTATTTTCTCCACCAGACGCTCGAGGACATTTCCGAGCCAGTCCAGCCGCTCGTTGATCCCCGCGATCCCCCTGATGATTTCTTCCTGCGATTGCAGGACCGCATCCGTGAGGACCTACCACTGCGTCCGGATGGTCCAGCGGAAGCGCCGCGGCTGGTGGACGCTCCACCGCTTGCACCCTATTTCAGTGGTCTCCATATGGCGGACCGCGGTCCACTGCCGGACCAGGAAAAGAGTCCAATACGGACCCGAGCCTACCGCAGAAAAATGTATGGTTTTTTTCTCTCTTGTAGGCCTGCACGGTATATTGTTTGAGCATCGTCATCGCCGCGTACGTGTGTGCGATAGTCACATCACAGAAACTGCGATGTCGGAGGTGAATGAACTCAGTTAATTTCAAGGGTAGCTGACTGAGATACACTCCATGTGACTCTACATGTGCTGTGCAGCGATCCACCAATCACCTTTGTCCTTTACTCAGTTGCCAATCAGACTCAGTTCTAAGTTGCCAATCAGACTACCCTGCCAGCTGTCAATCAAAATCAGAGAGGAGGAAAACCCACCCCCGCACATGTTCTGCACATGGAGTTACTCGCTGGCTGCTGGTGTTGAGCCCAGAAACGCAAGCTGAGAATTACTTTCGGAACTTTACTGACTGTTAAGCCCAACAAATAAGAACTGTATGGGTTTTAAATGGTACATTTCCGTGGACCACTCTACTATAAGCGGTGCGCGTTTTGCGAGGTGCATGCAATTCTCGGAGGACATGCGTTTCTCGGCACAACACCGCTAACAACAACAACAACAATTGCAAAATGAGCAACGAAAAATGAGCAACGAACAAGAGAAAACCACGGAAAATGAAGATTTGTTGCCAAGAAGAAAAGGAAAGTCAGTTGTCTGGAATTATTTCGGTCAAAAGAAGGATGATGTCGACCAAAACACGTGTTCTGTGTTCATTTGTCGCCACAATAACGCCCCAGCACAATAAAAGCTAAAAATATCTCTGAGACAGACAGAAGCCATTCTAACATTCACAAAAAGAGGTAAGATCAGAGCAGGTTAACTGTCCTCAAGATTTCAGCTGTGCAGCATAACATTAAATGCTATTCAGTGTTGTTTTCGTCAGGCAGGACAAAAACTTAAATGACGACGTCAGACCCCTTTTTTCCTTGACGAAAATGAGACTAAGACGAACGTCACCAAAGCTCTGTAAAGACTGAAATGTGACGAAAATTATATTCATTTTCGTCAGACGAGAACGAGACGAGACTAAATTGTTATTAGGTGGACGAACAAAGTTTCAAAACATGCTTTTTTTTGTCCTAACAGTCACGCCCCCATCACAAACGCACCAAAAGCCTCGCTCGCGCACAGCTGCGCGCACACACTCATACACATACACAGAGCGGCAGGTGGACGAGGCACGCACACACACACCGTGGCGGCAGGCACAGCAGCGGTGCCCGGTGGCCGAAAAAAGAGGGATGATTTTTGGTCCTACTTCAGATACAGTCCAAGTGACAATAAAACACAATGTCTTGTACGGGGACGGGGAGACGAGACAGACGACAGTTGTGGAGCCACAGCTTCCTCATGCTGCGGTTTCAAACTGTCGGGAAAGAACACCACGAACCTCAAAAGGCACCTTTTCATCGACTAAAACTAGACTAAAACCTTTTGAGTTTTCGTCGGACTAAAACTAGACGAAAACTATCAAGGATAGAAATGACTAAAATGGGACTAAAACAAAGAAGCATTTCGTCAAAATGACTAAGACTAAAACTAAATCTAAAATGCCTGCCAAAAACAACACTGATGCTATTCAGGTCATCTGGTGAAAAATCCTATATTTTTAATATGGCAATATACATCGCAGGGTTGAAAAAAATCACAATGTTAGTTTTTTCCAATATCGTGCAGCCTTACTCTTTTGCTTTGTGTCTGGTTCAGTAAACTGCACATGCAATTTCAGCAAGGCATTACATCACTTGCTTACTCGCTAAAAGCAAAGCTCACCGATCTTGAGAGCCGCAGCCGCAGAGACAACATTAGAATAACTGGCCTGCCAGAGTCAATTGAAGGGCCCAGACCAACAAGTTTCTTTGCGATCTCCTGGTTGAAGTACTCGGTGACCAGACCCTTCAGTCCACCCCTGAGCTGGACCGGGCCCACAGTACCCTGACTGCTAAACCGCTGCCTGGCTCACGACTCAGACCGGTCATAATTCGCCTCTACCGCTTCCAGACCAAGGAGATGATTATCCGAGAGGCCCGCAAGAGACGAGGGACCAGTACCAGGGGATGCCGATCCAGATCTTTGAGGATTACACGATGGAGGTCACTGAGGAGCAAGCTAAAAACCGAACTGTAATGGCTGAACTCTATAAATTAGCACTCCGACCAGCACTTCTCTTCCCTGCCCGGCTTCACATCACCCTGGAGAATAGGACAAAGAAGAGACTGTCATCCCCAGAGAAAGCTACTACCTTTGTGGCTAAATACCAAACAAGCCCCAAGGCCTGATTAACAGGATAATAAGCTAAGACGCGGCTAATAGTAGCCATTGGAACATAACTTTCTAAGCTACAACCTCAGCGATAAGACTTCTCAACAAGAAAGTGCCTCGTAAATCGAGGTAATCACCCTCTTACAAGGATGCAAGGTTTTGTAGTTCGTTTGACTAAAATGGTTAAAATTACACATTAAACGTCAGCGGGTGCTAGCCTGCTGTTTTACTATCTGACTGCTACATGAAGCTAATAGCAGTGGCGGCTGGTGAGAAAAACAGTAGGTGGGGCGGAAAGTTTGGAGACCAGAGCCCTGTAGGGGGGTACAGGGGTATCCTTCCCCGGGAGATTTTTTTGGCTCTCACATGTAAATTAAGCATTCTGGTGCATTCTGAGAAAATAATTAAGGCAACATACAATCTTGACCTACAAAGACAAATTGCCTGGGGAAAGTGTATTTCAATTTATTAATAGGGCATTATAGCCGACACACAGCCAACTTACATTCAGTGTAATCCTATGATATAGAAACTGACAGTAGCATACTCGTGGGCATTCACCTGCATCTCAACAGGTTGGCTACAGCAAAGGAGCACACAAAGACAACAGCAGACAAATAGTACAGAGCAGACCCACATTTACAACAAATCAGGCTGCAGCCACAGGAAAACAACACAAACATTTACCTCAAATACATAACATTTTTTTTACATTCGATATTTCGGTGGAACTGAATTAAAACAGGGTGAACAAATACAGGGTTCCCACTCTTTTCTAGAAATCATTTTTCAGGACTTTTCCTGGACGTTTTCATCCTGCCTTGACTCATTAAGACCTGAACCCTGTCTGAGACACGCCTCTGAAATCTTGAGGCCAAATTTGAGAGGGGCCCCCAGATCCTTTTGGAAGCGATTGTGACTCATATCTCAAACTCAAAAGCATTAGAAGAAATGCTTTTTCATTTCAAAGTCATGGCTGCAATATTTGACTCAAAAATAAAAAGCAATATTCCAAAATGCATTTTCATTTTCTTCTTCAAGACTGCTCATTCTGTGACTAAATTGAAAAGAAAAACCAAACTCAGAAATGCTTTTTCGTTTTCGTGCTCGCCCCGCAAAAAGTGTCTCATAATTCAATCTTTGTTTGCAATCTCAAGTGGCGCCGGAAAGTGACGTCACGAACCCCACTCGTTCTGGCCCCTTTTGGCTGATAGGGGGCAGTGAATCCGTGTATCATTGAATGAAATCAAACCACAGATCGTGGCTATCTGTTTTAGCGGACTAACAGACTTTATGCTCCTCATTGTTCTCATCACTGATCGGTGGATTTGGGATATTTTGCAAATAAAGGGCCATAAACACAGTGAGAAACAGACAAAATGGTCATAGAGATGCCTTAAAAATACATGGCACAGAGGCAGAATCACTGCAGTCTCTGTCCGTGTTAACCGGTGACTGTATGCAGATGTCAGGTGTGCTGGTCCTTTTACTCACTCACTTACAGCATGGAGACGTGGACTCTCCACATTTAGTCCACGCCGAGTACAAGTAAGAAACTTGTTGGTCTGGGCCCTTCAATTGACTCTGGCAGGCCAGTTATTCTTATGTTGTCTCTGCGGCTGCGGCTCTCAAGATCGGTGAGCTTCGCTTTTAGCTTGGCGTTACTGTCTGCTAATGCTGAACACCGCTTCTCGAGTACTTGGATCCACTGGTCCTGCAGCTCGGCGTTGGATTCCAGTGAATCCATTCGTTGACCATGCTCCATCACTGTTTCCTGGATTTTGTCAAATCAATTCCAAAGCGACAAATGCTGTTCTGAAGTCGGCTGTGATGCTAGCTCTATGGTCTTCTAACAGGCTAGTGATGCTAACAAGCGAGGTGTTATCATTGGTCGCTGACGCTGTAGCGTAGGCTTCTGTTTTTTTCTACGCTTTTGTTGCTTTTAGAAAATAGATACTTTTTAGAGTAGTTGCTACAGGAGCTGGAGGACACGCTTCCTTCACGTTACCCCAACCGGAAATCCCAATGGGAAACACTCTTGATTACAGAAAGCTTTTCTTCAAAGACCCAAGCAGGCAGGGGAAATGGCCCTCCCTTATTTCCATTACCATAACTGAGCAGCAAATATTAGGTGTTTGTTATACTGGGGGCCTTTCCATCTTGAACCCTATCCCCAGCTTGGATGACAATGGAGGTCTGTGCTTGTTACCCTATTACCTTAGCTACCCTCTTAAGTGCTGCAGTTCCACTTGCTTTGGATATCCCAAAGAGCCAACCAGGAGTTAAACATTCCTTGCTAATTTGGGATGTATTGCTAGCTTATCTCAACTTCCAGAAACTTGTGGCATTGACAGCCATGACTTTCAAATGAAAAAGCATTTCTGCTACTGCTTTTGAATTTGAGATATGAGTCACAATCACTTCCATAGATCCTGAGGCTTTCTGAAGTATTGAGGTTTACAAAAAAGCTGATATCTCAGCGTCTGTAGCAGATAGAAACAAAATTCAAAAAATATTTGAGTGCTTACACATGTGGCTTTCAAGATAACTATCTCTTATGTTTCTGAAACTTCATTACATTTTTGAAAACCTTGAACAAACAAACTCAAATGAAATAAAGCGGTTGTATAAATAAAGGTTAAGACTTTGCACTGGAGAATAACAAACTGTTTGCTTTCTTTAAAACAAGTGGCAGTCATGATAAAGTGGACGTTCAAAACAAATGTAAAGTGTTGAAAGGGTATACAGCTGCCCTAGTATAGTGCCACTACAAAAGCAGCACTAAAAAATAAAAAATAAAAAAATAAGTGGCTTACAGTGTGTTCATATCTGTGCTCACCCAAAGTCATGCAACACTCACAGAAAACGCCGATAGTGTGAGTCTAAGACCTCAGTATGAAGAGGTTGTTCACACTGCTGGACACTTTCCCTCTGAAGCTGTTCTCTGCCTCCATCATTGTTTACTTTCCTCACGAAGCACGTAGCAAGATCCGAGCATGAATCCGAGCGCTTTATTCACCTATCAGAGGCAGACGGGTATGATAATTTGATTCACCACTACTCCAGAAATGATTAAAAAAAACTACAGAATGTTACAAAATGACATCTGCGCTCCCGCCTTAAAGGGTAGAAATGCTCAGCAGCGCAACTGGCTTGTAGGTTGAAATGCGTTCACACTTCTCCCGGCTTGAAGGGTTGAAATGCCTACATGTACCCAGCTTTCTGAGTAGAAATGCACAGCCGCGCTCCTGGCTTGGAAGGCTGAAATGTGTACATGCTGTCCCGGTTTAAATGGGTTAAAAGTTATTGATTTCTAACATTGTGGCATAAACATTGTCTGTTAGCTTTCTTTTTAGTCTGGCTTTCATGTAATGTCTCACATTTGCTGTTCCACATCCTGTCAGCCATGGCTTGGGCTCAAAACTCCTGCAAAAACTCCAGTTGTAGGATTAATTTTTCTCCTTGGTCTGCTGGCTTATGACAAGGTCAGGCTTGTTACCTGGATTTTCTCCTCCGTTGTCCGTCTAGCAAATGGATAGACCAATAACGATCGCACCGAATTCGGTGGAAGCTGCGCCTTGCTTGTTAAGTTCGCCATCACCGTAACTACTGCGCTTGCTTAATTGAGTGCGCACACAGGCTTCTCTTCTTCATTAACCAGCCCCTAAAAATCTCGCGACCCTTTTTGCCACAAGAGCAATATTTTCAGCGCCCCAAGACCATAAATTTCTGCTATGCTGATTGGCCAAATAATTATTTATGTTACCTGGCATCTGTACACAATTGGTTATTTCGTCACAGAGCTGGGGTGATCTGACCGAGCACCCGGTGAAGAATCTATACAATTCTGTTAGCGGAAATTCAATGGTAAATGAATAATAGCAAAGCGTGGAAAATGTAGTTTGAATGATAAGTATTGCAAGTGGCCCCACAATAGTTAGTAAAAACATCTTTATTGTAAAAATATATTTTTAGAAACATTTTTCTCCCCTTACTTTTTCAGGTAGGGCGGCGCCCCAGCGCCCCCTATGGGCTGGCCGCCACTGGCTAATATCTATGCTAGCTTGGCTCGTCAGTCGTTAAGCTGGGCTACCCACGTAAAATGAGATGCGATAAATTGTACTGATACTCCAATATCAAGCCCCACCTTAAACTTTAAGCTGTATTTTAATGGTGAAATGAAGTGTTTTTTATAAAATTTGTTACTGAAATTCAGTCAAATTGAGTTGAAGTTTACTTGAGCTTAGTAATTGTTGCTATGACATGTTCTTACTAAATGTACATTTAAATTGGTGCTATAGTATGATATGCTTGCCTCATTTTCACCCAATTTAAGTTAAAAGGAGCTAAAGCACACTCATAACTGTTAATGAGTTCAGTAGTTCACTGAGCATTTAAATAGGCAGTTACAGTTATGAAGTATTACCATCTTTTTTATACTATTCTTTATATTTGACACTGGAACACATTTGTATCCTTTCATATTGTGTAACATCTGGGGAAAACATGTTCAAGGTCCATATATATTTATTATAATGGGGTTCTAACTTGGACAAATAAGCCAATGGAGCTGAGAGAGAGTAAGAAGAAAAGGAAAGACGACACAGAAAGGGAAATTTGAAGGGGGTGGGGACTTGTGGGTTTCAAGTTCAAGTTCAAGTTCAAGTTTCTTTAATCGCCACACGGCTAGGCCGGTGGAATTTTTCATAGTGCAGGTGGTAGCTGCAACAATACACCACGTTAATTTAAACAGACATTAAACAATTCACAGTGACATGACATAACATAACATGTGAAACGGGGTACCACAGGACATAAAACACAGACTTCACACACGTCGACCAGAGGAGTTTAGCAGTCGTATGGCAAGGGGGAAGAAGGAGTTACTGTAGCGCTTTGTTGAACCGCCCAGAGATCCAAACCTTCTTCCCCAGGGGAGGAGCCGGAAAAGATGGTGAGCTGGGTGCGGTGGGTCATCAGTTATTTAATTTTGTTTATGTTGAATTTTATGTTATGAGCTTATCCAGGTCAGATTGTGTATTTTTTGTACAAGTGGTTCTTTTTTACCTTCTGCTGCATGCCTCTTGAGACAGATGAGACTCTACTACTGTACACTAATCCATGGCTGGGGTGATGACTAAGTGCTTGACTGGCAGACAGGCACTAAGGATCATCTCTCTGAACACCGGTGGGCTAAATGCTTGTAATGTAATTAAACACACAAAAATTATGACACACATCAAAAATTTAAATGCAGACAATGTTTCTGCAAGAAACACACTTATGCAACCTTGATCATAGAAAATTAAGTAGACCTTGGATTGATCAAATTGTTCATTCACAATTCAATCTCGCAACCAGAGGTACAGCTATTCTAATTCAAAAAAATGTTCACTAAAGAGAAGACAATATTAGACCCAAATGGTCGATATGTTATCGTCGTTGGTATTCTATATGGAAAGCCTACAATCACGGTGTCGGTTTGTGCTCCTAACTGGGACGACCATAACTTTGTGAGCTTTGTGAACTGTGTAATTGATTCAGCTTTAGATAGGTCTAACCCACGATCAGCTACAGTCATGAAAATGTCTCAGGCCTTGTCCACTCTCATGGAAGAATATGGATTTGTGGACCCCTGGAGATTTTCACACCCCTTCGTAAAACAGTATTTATTCTTTTCTCATTCACATTTTTCATTCTTGCGCATAGTTTATTTTCTGATAGATAAAAAACTCATCCCAGCAATTATTTCAACTCAGTATCTTCCCATAACAGTATCAGATCATGTCACAGTAATTTTAGACCTCTGCTTTAATATGAAGCCAGGGTTTAGATGTTGGAGACTGAATCCACTTTTACTTTTGGAAACTAGTTTTTGTAAATACATTTCTGAAGCGATTACTTTCTTTTGTGAGACTAACAACAATGGTGAAAACCTCCCGGCTATATTTTTGGAAGCTTTCATGGCATATATCAGGGGAAGGATTATCGCCTTCACGTCACATGCGAACAATTAACAGAGGTTACAACAAAAGGAACTTGAAGAAGCTATTGCAAACCTAGATTACTCTCTTTCATCCTCAAACTCACCAGATCTTTATAAAGAAAGACTAAAACTTCAAACAGAACTCGATCCCCTTCTTCCATCTGAAAGTGAACAGCTTCTCCTACGCTCGTGAGGACTGGTTTATGAACATGGGGACAAGGCTGGACACCTTCTGGCTCACCAGCTAAAGGCGAAAATGGCATCAAATCTAATTACCCAGATAACGGATGAATCAGGCACAATAACATCTGACCCAGACAAAATAAATGACACCTTTAAATCTTTCTTCTCTCAACTTTATACCTCGGAATCTCTTAATGATGAAGATCAGTTAAAGGTAGAGATTTGAAGATAACCAAAGACTTGATAAAATCTTTACGCTCTCTGAGATTAAAGAAGCGATACAGTCTATAAATAGCGGTAAATCCCCAGGCCCTGACGGACACCCAGTCGAATTTTATAAGCGATTCTTAGATTAATTAACACCCCTTCCGCTTGAAATGTTCAATTATGCTTATGAACAGGGCACCCCACCACCTACACTTATGCAGGCCTCTATTTCCTTGATCTTTATAAAAGACAAGGACCCACTAAGTGCTCATCGTACCACCCTATATCACTCCTCCCGGTTGACGTTAAAATACTAGCAGAATGTTAGCGCGGCGACTAGAATCCATCCTGCCCCTGATTATTGCAGAGGATCAGACCGGGTTTATACGTGGAAGACACTCGTTCTCCAATATAAGAAGGCTTTTCAACATAATACACACACCGGCTTCCCCAGGAAACCCCAGAGATAATTATATCACTCGGCGCAGAAAAAGCATTCGACCGGGTGGAGTGGGCTTACCTTTTCTTTTCCCTGCAACAATTCTGTTTCAGTGCTAAATTAAGTCATGGGTCAAATTGCTCTATTCCTCCCCATATGCCTCAGTGTGCAAAAATAACCAGCGGTCAGCCCTGTTTCGTCTCTTTCCGGGTACACGATAGGGGTGCCCGTTGTCTCAGTTATTATTTACCCTAGCAATTGAGCCCCTGTCGGTCACTTTGAAGAGAGAAACAGGGTTTAGGGGAATTGAGAGGTGGGCTGAAGAACACCAGGTCTCATTATACGCCTACTATGACCTACTTCTTTATGTGAGAGATCCCTTACTATCCATCCCATGTATTTTGACACTGCTAAAAACATTTGGTAATCTTTCTGGACATAAACTAAACATATCTAAAAGTGAATTCCTCCCAATTAACCAGTTAGCCATAAACCTACCACCATCATCAATACCTTTTAAAAATGCCAATATAGGATTAAATACCTTGGTGTAATAATCGCACGATGCATAAAAACAATGCCGGAACAAAATTGGTTTCATTACCAGCAAAAGTGAAACTAGATTTACAAAGATGGAATTATCTACCTCTGTCATTAGCAGGCAGGGTACAGGTCATAAAAATGAACATATTACCAAGATTTTTATATATTTTTCAGTGCCTGCCTATATTTCTTCCAAAATCTTTTTATAATTCAATAAATGATGTTATCACCTCAATCATCAGGGCCGGTAAACGTCCAAGAGCAAAGCGAATACTGCTCAGTAGGAACAGATCAGATGGTGGGTTTGGTTTACCAAACTTCATGTGTTACTATTGGGCAACCAGTGCTCATAAAATAATGCTATGGTTCACCTCACCTCAGTCCAACTGGTGTCGGATGGAGTCAGCTTCTTGTTCCTCTTCTTTGCCTGCATTAGCATGTGGTGCCCTACCTTTCTCCCCAGCTAGTTTCACCTCTAACCCGGTTGTCACTGGTTTAATAAAAATCTGGACACAAATAAGACGCCACTTTGGCTGGCTTACCCCCCTTCTAGCAACTCCTATTGGCAATAATCATTTATTTATTCCAGCAAAAATCGACCCACAATTCACAACTCTGGAAAATAGGGGATTACACAGTCTGGGAGACTTGTACATTGACGGGCTATTTGCAAGCTTTAACCAGTTAATCATTACCTTTAATCTTCATAGGTCAGACTTTTTCCATTATTTCCTGTTGTGTCACTTTGCCAAGTCTTATGCTACATCATTCCCAAATATTCTGGCACCAAGTGGGGTAGATCTTATCCTGAAGGCCAAAAATATACCAAGGGGTCACATCTCCTACCTCTACAAGCTACTGTCTCCTACCAATGAATCCACTTTATTCAAAATAAAAACAGGCTTGGAATCAGAACTTCAGCTGAACCTTTCTGGGGCCTTTTGGGAGGGAACTTTGAGCACCATTAAAGCGTCATCCAGTTGTGCAAAGCTTTCTTTGATACAATTTAAGGTCCTTCATAGGTTACACTACAGTAAGGAAATTGCGTTGTGTTCTCCTCTCTCATCGCTCGTAAGTGAATCTTACCCAATTTTCTTCCTGATCTAATTTTTTTTTTGCAATTTCAGACAGTTTCTCTAGCCTTATTCAGCATGAATGCAATTTTAATTTATGAAGTACATTCATACTATTTGTACTTCAACAATTTTCACTTTCATCCAACTTCTACTTCTTCTTCAGCCCTTTAACCAATTTTACATTACAACCTTCCTCATTTTTTTTTAGCAGTTTTGTATTGCTTTCTCAGCTATCACCACTCAGCATTTCCATGCATTTTCTGCTAGTAAATGCATTTTTTTTTAGTTAAGTGGAAATGCTGATTAAGCATTTCCACTTATTGTTATTCTCCTGTTTCTTTATTAAGTGGAAATGCTAAATCAACATTTCCACTTATTGATATTCCTGTCGGCCATTTTTCTTTCTTATTATTATTATCATAAGTGGAAATGCTGATTAAGCATTTCCACTTATTGTTATTCCTGTCTGCCATTTTTCTTCCAATTATTATTATTATTTTTATTGAGTGGGATTGCGAATTATTCGCACTATATGTAATTCATATCTTTATTATTCAACACTCTTCCGCCGTTTTTTGTGCCTCAACTACTTCCACATACTTCAAAGTATTCAAACCATAGACTGTATATAGAATGGACAGAGTCTGCCTCCTTGCTGGGTGAAGCCACTCCGAGAACAGCACCCTCTGTTGATGGGCTGCAATCTAGGTCATAAATCCCGCCTCCGCCAGCAAAGCTTATGGAGCTGTGGACAAACTTTAGAAATTTATTACACAGAACATAAAATTTTCTCCCCCTGCTTGTGATGTTGACATGTAGTTATTGTAAGACTGGTTTGTGCTCAAGTCCTCTTTTTTCTGTGAAACTGTGAAACTATGATTGACACCTGATAGCCTATGGGCGTTCAGTGATTACGTAGCTCACCCGGGGGGAAACACTGTTTGAGCCAAGCGTCATCACAGGTACTCTCTGCGACTGCGCGGCCGAATGCGCGCATCGCTACTGCGCAGCGTTGGTTTCAGGAAATGAAGAAAAATCCCGGAAATATCAAGAGCATTTTGGCTTCGAATCCGTATACAGGCGGTAGGCGGAACGAAGTTGTCCATAGTATATACAGTCTATGATTCAAACCATTCAAACTTCAAAATATTCATCTCATTGAGGACATTCAGGGGTGTATTCAAAATTTCCCGGTTTTCCGACAGATTTCTCCCATTAGAAATGCATTTCGGAATGTTCAAATTGGCCCTTTTCTCACACTTTCTTCACACATCTTCAAAAGCCTTCAACTCCTCTATACTTCCACGTGGACACTTCATTCAAACTTTAAAATATTCACACACCTTCAGACATTTACTCATTAATTCATTCACCATCTTCATGGCATTCATACTTTTTCACAGTGACAGTTCAAAAAGGAGATTTTCTGACCTCTTCAGGTTTTAACATCAGTGTGTATTGCATGGAATGTTGGCAGCTAGAGTGCGTGACCTCATCGCTAGAGTGAGAGAGGCTGAAAATTTATCCTCAAAACTTTGTCTTTACAAAAGGATTGTGGCAACTCACTTCACTCTACACAGATAATATTTGGTAAAACTTGCTGTAATAATAATAATAATAATATCTTACATTTATATAGCGCCTTTCAGGATACCCAAAGCGCTTAACAACACACTACAAAAAAAAAACTGACTAAATACCAAAAGCCTGAATAAACAAGTGTCGCTTCAGAGCAGACTTGAAAGAGTCAAGAGTCTGTGCTTGGCGAATCTCAGAGGGGAGAGAGTTCCAGAGAGGAGGGGCGGCCACACTGAAGGCTCTGTCACCGAGGGATCGCCTTTTCCCATAGCGGACAGTAAGGAGCCCAAGGTCCGCAGACCGCAGAGTACGCGTCGGGATGTAGTCCTTGAGTAGGTCAGACAGATAGTATGGGGCTAGGGCATGGAGAGCTTTGTAGGTGAGCAGGAGGAGTTTGTTGATGATGCGATATTTGATGGGAAGCCAGTGGAGGCGTTTGAGGGTGGGGGTGATGTGCTGCCAAGGTTTGGTCCGGGTGAGCACTCTGGCAGCTGAATTTTGAACGTACTGCAGACGGTCCAAGTCTTTTTTAGGAAGTCCGAACAGGACACCGTTGCAGTAGTCTAAGCGGGAGGATACTCTTCATCTAAAAAATCAACGCTGTAGGACACACACAGTGGCCTGGGCAGACACCAACTGCCACAGACATCCCCAAAATTTCTCCAGCTTTCTCCATTGACTTCAATAGAAACCTTAGAGGAGAATTTTTAAAGGAAACACAAACTGGACATGTTTTTAACTTGTCTTAGTGAAGGCATTTTTGGCTCCACAAACACAGAAGTTGTATCAACGTGTTCAGCCGGGACTTGTGGTTCTCACAAGCTCTGTATAATTAAGATAGCAGTTTCAGAGCAAGAGCATTAGGGCGTTGTTTGGGTATTGCTTTCTCAGCCTCAAGCCTCCTGTCTCCTGCTGTTGTGATGCTGTCTACCGTCACCATGGCTACCAATTAGAGCACCTGGAGACACACAGCTGACTGGAAAGCTGCGTCTAACAGCTGTATGAGACACATGAAGCCAGGCTCAGTACACAGAGTACTGGATGTTACATTTAAAACCCTTCACTAAAGTTATTTGACAAACTTTGGCTTCAGCATACTTTTATGCTGAAGTTAATTAACTTGTCGACTGTTAAAGTTGTATTCACTTTTTGAGTTTTCCCACAATTTAGCTTTAAGCACCTCATGATTTTCAGCAAATTTCAGGCTTAATAATGGGTGTGTATTGGAAGAGCTAGAGTGGGGTGATGATGTCATTGCTAGAGTGGAGAGCTCCTCTTGGATCGACAAAACCTAGCTCGAATATATCACTCCCACACCTAAAAATTTCACTCAACAGCCATAAAAAATACATCAAAATGGAGGAAAATAAGTCCTGCTTCTCACAAAAGAGGTTTCAAATCATCAAATCGTACTCCTTGGCCAGCAGGTGACCAACTGTCCAAAAAGGCAGAGATTCCTTCCATTGACCATAATGTAATCTTTCTCCCAGAAAATCATCACTCAGGCTAAGACCTGTTTAACTCGCTGTTGTGGCCACATTTTTTCGAGTACAGACATGAAAAACACATCATTGCGTTCATGAAGGGCTCAGGATTCCTACAATGTTCTTATTTTCAGTTCAGAGGCCCTAAATTCCCTGCAATTAGGCAGCTTCTCATTCAAATAGTAGTTCAGTTTGTGTCACAGGTGTTTGATATGCATTGATTAACGAGATACTAACACACACACACACACTCTGACAATGTGTGTGCGTGAGTGTCTCTCTGTCCATGACACCTGCTGGTACGCACAGTAAATATGTATGTGCGTTAGTCTCTCTTTGTCTATGAGACCTACATGCACACACTTTGACCATGTGTCTGCTTCACCACCTATCTCCACCCACAATTTTTGAGCAACAGAAACCATTCTGGGTTTCAGAAATTCAGCTCATTGAGGACATTAAGGGGGTGCATTTACGATGTTTTTAATTAATTGTATCAATATGTTCTTGCAAGTTCTCACAAGCTCCTGATCATGAATAAAGCCATTGTAGGGGAAGAGCACCAGGTAGTTGGAGTTGGAGAGCTGTTTCCTCAGCTTCAAGCTTCCTTTCTCCTGCTGTAGTGATGCATCTGCCTTCACCATGGTTACCAATCAGTGCACCTGGAGACGCACAGCTGACTGGAAAGCTGCTTCTAACGGCCATATGAGACACACGAAGCCAGGCTCAGCACACAGAGCACTGGGGGTTACTTTTAAAACCCTTCACGAGAGCACGACAAACTTCGGCCCCTATCTCCTCCAACAAACTTTTACCTACAGAAACCATTCAGGGCTTCAAAAATTCAGCTCATTGAGGACATTATGGGGTTTATTCAGGAAATCTATTCATTTCAATTTTTCCCATTTTAAAATCACTCAGTGATAATGCATTATTTTATTCTTCAAACAAATTTTAACTCATTTAAACTGATTCAATCATTTCTGATACTTCAAAACCTTCTTATACTTGAGGATTTTTACTTAATAAAATTTTCCCTGTTTTAATTAGTTTTAATATTCATGCATTATTCCATCCTCCAAACAAAATCCCACTTCGACTACAACTACTGCTAATATCAATTGAACTAGTACTTTGACTTCTACTTCAACTACTATTGCTACTACTTCTACTTTCTCTTCTGCTACTACTACTTGTACTCCTAGCTCTACTACTTTGACTTATACTTCTATTTTTAAACTACTTCTACTGCTTACATGACTACTAATATCACTACTATGACTACTTATCATCCTACTCCAAGTAGCATAAACTTATGCCGCTTCTCACTTTCCTGCCTTTTAAGGAAATTTCCTTCTTCATTCAAACTTTTCAGCCTCTTTCAGCATGAATTAAATTTCAATTTATGGAGCATATTCATACTATTTGTCCTTTAACCATTCTAACAATTGTTCAACTTATATTTCTTTTTCACCCCTTAAACAGCTTTTACATTTATACCTTCCTCCATTTTTTATCAGCAGTTTAGCATTGCTTTTTCAGCTTTCAGCACTGAGTATTTCCACGCATTTTCTGCAAGGAAATGCAATTTTTCTAGTATTTTATTTACTGTCTGTTTTGTAAGTGTGTTGTCTATTTTCTAAATGTCATCTGGCTGGATCGGAGATTTGGGGGTTGGGGGTGGGGGATGGGTGTTCTTGTACCTCTCTGAAGAGGAACTGAAAACTTGCCTCTCATAAATAAAAGTTATAAACAAAAAAAAAGAGTGTTTACCTTTCCAAATATAGGATACATTAATGAGTCAAGGGCTCTAAAAAGGATTTGGGGATGAGAATTCAAATGAATAGAGGAACTTTGAAAGCAATGTTATTTTAATTTCATTAAATTTTTTAATTCCCCAGTGGCACAAATTCCAAGGTAATTAAAGTGCTCCTGTACCACCTTTAATGGGAGATCTGTATAGTTAAAGTTAAGAGTTTCTTTATTAATTGGAAATAGTTTGCTTTTATTTAAGTTGAGTTTAAATCCCGAAAATTGACTGAAATTCTCTAAAACATTGAAGGCTTCCAGTAAAGAAGTGGCTGGTTTTAAAACTAACAAAGCAGGTCATTTGCAAACAATGATCATAATGTTTGACTCCTTTCCTACATATTCCCTGTACCCATCCACTGCTATGCAAGGCTGCTCACTGCTATCCAAGAGGCTCAACGGCAACTGTGAAAAGGAGTGGACTTAGTGGGCAACCCTGCTGGGTCCCACAGTGGTCAGAACTGAGGCTGATGGACATTTAAACAATTTTCTTATCCAGGATAAAAAGACAGGATGGAAACCAAATTTTTCAAGTGTCAAAAATCAATAGTTCCACTCTCCTCTGCTGAATGCTTTCTGAGCACCCATGGAGGCAAGGCACTCCGAATCTACATGTTTTGAGGAATATAGGATGTTAAATAGCCAACAAATATTGTAAATCCTTCTCATTTGCACTAAGATAAGATAAGATAAGATAAGATAAGCTGAGATTTCTCCCTGGGGGATGGGCACATCAAGGTTATTTTTTAGGTCTTGAGAAAGGGACGGTAAGTCATGGTTATTAAATAGGTTTTCCATAATATTAAAGCCTGTTCAACATTCTGAGGAGTATACATTTTTTAGAAATAAATTTTAGTAAAAGGTTCTAAACTTGTCATTAATCTCTTTCTGGTCAGACGTTATATATCCATTATCAGTCTGTACCCCAGTTACAGTTACATTTACTTCGGTAAATGACTTTCAACTTGGTGAAAGAAAAGAAGGCTAAATTCAGCCTAAAGTTTCAATCTCTCCTTGTACAGCTCAGGAGAAGGCGAATTTGCATGTAATTTATCTATGTTTAAAACTTGATCAGCAATGGCAGTCTTTTTCTGCTTTGAGCACTTCTTTTTATATCTCATGTATGATATGATTTCTCCTCTTAAATACACTTTCACAGCTTCCCAAATTATTTCATTAGACACATCATGTTTTCGATTAATGCTTAAAAAATTTTGATATGTGTAGAGATGTGTAAGAGAAACCTCAGGGTTTATTTCTCTATTTCCAACCCTCCAGCTTTGCCATCACCTTTGCACCATCACAGCAACCACAAAAACACCTCCAGATGTCCTCACCTTACCTTTTTATGCAATGTCTTGTACATCATACCATGCCAAACAAAATCTTCTTATTTCATGTATATTATTTTGTTTTATATTATACCTCAATATCAAGTCACACCATAACTTAATAGTGAGGTACGGCATGAAATTGTACCATATCTGCGTTATAAATGCATTAAGATACCATGCCATGAATATTAGTGATATACGTGACCAAAAAAAAAAAACAGTTGGCAGTGTCAGTTTTTTTTTTTTTTTTTTTTTTTTTTTTTGGGAATGAGAGTGGAAAGAGTGATTACTCCAACATAACTGGCTCTCACACAGAGCTAGTATTTAGTGTCTCTTCCAGGCATTCAGATTTGCTGTAATTGAAGCAAAGGACACATTGTTTGTTCTGCCATATACTGCCTCTTAGTCACCTTCCTTTCTGACAGGGGACAATACAAGGCAAGTCAAGCATGTCCAGTATCTTGGAGGAACACAGCATCTCTTGTATGCTTGGCAGCTTTTAGCCTTTTGATGACAATAAAGATGTTGTCACCCTCCTTCAGTGTTTTTGTTAAATGTCGGGCTGATGATTGCATATCACAGGAATCTGTGCTGAATTTGTACAAATGCTTTATGTTTATTGTTTATGTCTTTTTTCACAGTGTTAGTCTCCAAGTGAGGACTCTGAATAATATCAGAGCGTGTTATAATATTATCAGACTGTCCCACCTGACACCATCACAGATAGTCTAAACATATGCGTCATACCTGCTCTGGTGACCATAGCAACAACTTAATTACCTGACCACTGAGTCCCCATGTGTTATTCTTGTACATAATCTTCTCCCTCACTGAGAAAAGATCCACAGTCCTGTGCAGCTTCATACATTTACCTCATAGATCTCACCACTTTAGAGAGAGGCCTTATAATATAAATAATGAATATCAGCTCCAAACGAGGCTGCTCATGTCCTGAAAATTTGTGTTGACACAGAAAACTTTTTTCTCTCTTTGTCCTTTCAGAATAGGATACCAGCTCCCTATCTTTGCTGGCTTTTGTATTATGTTCCTCTCTACGATCAGTAAGTTCCAGCCAGCACATCTTCATTATGAGAACACCAGATAATGAACACCATATCTGATTTTGTATTTTCTGTATTTTTGCTGTTCTCACTGTTGTAAAGTGTTTGCCTTCTCATCGAGCTACGCTCTGCTGTTTCTGGCCAGATCACTCCAAGGTGTGGGCTCCTCCTGCTCCTCTGTGGCTGGTGAGACCTCATGTTTCTCATTGTTACTGACTGTCTGTGAGTCTGTATATTATTTCACCAAATATACTGAGAGAACTTGAGATATTTGTGCAGAGTTTTGGTTCTTGTGTTTTTTTAGCTTGTTATTTTTTGATCAGCTATGTTGGCTGAGCTGTTTTTGGCTGAAATGATGTCAAACTGGACTCTGGAGAGTAAACTTTTTTGTGGGGATTGTGATTTTTTGTCACATGGGCACATGGAACAGCAGATCTGAAGTAAAGGGGCCTAACTTCATTGCATATTATTCCTGTGAATATGTGATATACTTCAACATTGTACAATGACAATCTCCTTTGTCAAATGTCTGCATTCAAATGTGTAAATGTTATATTCCTGATGTTTTCAGGCATGGGTATGCTTGCAAGTGTGTATACAGATGATGAAGAGAGAGGACATGCCATTGGAATAGCACTGGGAGGTCTGGCTTTAGGAGTGTTAGGTATGTATAAGCCCAAGGGACGTCTTCAGCTTTGACTTCTGTAGGTATACAAATGTTGAATAAGGTTTTAGGAAGTTGGATCAGACAACAGAATTCAAATATAAACCTGCTTCATTTGGGAAAAACATATCCATTCGTGCTGCAGTTAGTTTGTTATTTCACTATTAAAACGCAAATTTGATGGGTTAAGACACATTGGAAAGCGAGCTTTTTCATGCAATCTTTCCAAAGCAGTCTAATACCTAAAGGGTTCACATTATGCAAAATTGTTTTTTAGAATGGTTTTTTAACAGTAATACAGACCCCTAGCCTGTCTACAACTATCGCTGGTATCGAAGTGCAAACCACGGCCCCCTCTTTCAGAGAGACAGGGAGAGGCATGGCTTGCGCTGAAGGAGTCATGGACAGGTGCAGCACACAGAAACAGTGTGTTCTTGGTTGAGCTTACTAGAGAGGCTGGCTGAAGTCCAGGTAAAAATGGGTGTTTAGACAACAAACTTTGTATTGATTGTTCTGGGACCTCTGAGACCCATGTGAACCTGCTGAAAAGGAGTATAATATGGGACCTTTAAAGTTCTGTCAAAAGTTCACATTCAAACATCTCACCCACAGTTGGACCTCCGTTCGGCAGTGTGATGTACGAGTTTGTTGGAAAGACGGCGCCGTTCCTCATTCTGGCTTTCCTCGCTGTGTTTGATGGAGGTACACGCACTGTTCTCAAAGACAGAAAATAAGATAAGATATAACACCGGGGTTCAACCTTTTAAAACAGAAGCATCAATTTAGAAAAGAAGACTGATTACTGACAGTATCAGAGGCTTATGTTTGGTGGATTCTCTGTGTTTCCAGCTCTGCAGCTCTTTGTTCTTCAGCCCACCAAGGTGGAGCCAGAGGTAAGTGTGTTTATCTTCAGGAGGAACTTCCTGTTGGTTATTTGACTTCACTGAGACAACCCTCATAGCTGGGGAGCATTCAAAAGGTCTGTTATGGTTTTGATAAAAAGAAAAATTAGACTGTAAATAAAAGGTGAAGATGATGGGATTAAACCATCAGGTTAGTGCTATGTGTATAAATTTACTGTAGTTGTCTATGAAGTCAGGGGTCGGGGCTCACTGAGGATCACTGTTAGAAAACAGGCAATGAGCCTTAAAATCTCCTGAAAGAAGCATTAGCAGAGCTCCTCCAACATCACATCAAATCACATCACATCACAACACATCACATCACATCACAGAAAAGAGGCTTCACACTGTCCAAAAGGGCTGTGTATACATATCCTGACACTGGGCTGACATTCAGATGTAATGTGTTATATTAGCAGGGTGATATATTATCAAAGTTCCCTTCTTAGAAAAACTGTCATGAACAAAAACAGTTTCTTTTTTGAATGTTTCCCACTGAAGACAACCTGCAGGAGATGCTGTCAAAATTTGATGATATATCCCCATTTCAGGTTGTTACTTCCTGGTTATCTCCCAGCTGATGTACTATGTCAAATATAACAAAGTCACTTTTTTAGCCCTGTACCTTTGGCACAGGTACAAGGTTTGGCTCATTTGGTTTGTTGTTACATGATGTTTATTTGTTTATTTGTTTTGAAGGAAGCCCTTGACTTCCATTTTTTGTTTATGGCACATTTTAAAATGCAATGAAACACAACAACAGTGACAATAATGGACAAACAATAACAATGGGCAATTCAATTTTAAAAAGCATGCTAGAGAAATCCCCCAAAACCCTAAAGGTGGTTGAAGAGGAGGGCATCCAGAATATACCAGTTAAACTTTTACTAAAGAAAAAAAAAAAAGCATCAAGACAGAAGGACGACAAGGCACCAAAAACAGAAGCAGAGCAAAAGCAGCAACAAATGATGGATTATTCACATAGTTGTAATTTTTGACAGAATTTTTTAATGACTTTTGGGAAAGTTTGATTAAGTGAGAAGGGAATGAAATTCCATATCATGAGACCTCTAGATGCTATACTAAATTGTGATGAGGTGTTATGTGATGGGGGGGGGGGGGGGCTGGAGAGCTGTTGGGTACCCAGTCGATAGTGCATAGCAAGAAAGTCACTGGTTCGATCCCTGAGTCAGGCAGGTCCTTTCTGTGTGTGGTTTGCATGTTCTTCCCATGCATGCGTGGGCTTTTTTTTAGATATGAACTCTGTTTTATCGATACAGTCAGTCTGGGAGGCTTTCAGAGTTATATGCAGAGGTTGGTATCAGTTGTGGCATGGCTAAACAGAGAGAAGGAAGTCAAAGAAAAATAAACTCATGCTAGTACTGAAGAACTTGGAAATGCAGCATATGAGAGATCCCAATAATCAGAAAGAAAAGACCATGGTGTTAATGACAAGAAAAAAATTACAATCAATCATACAAGAAAAAACTTCTACTGTATCATGTAGTCTAAGGAAAAAGCATTTGGGTCATTCCATGTCAATTCAACCAAGAATCTCCACTCACGTCACAGATTTTGATGAAATTTGATGGAGTGATTGGCCTTCAGGAGAAACTGTCAGATCTCAAATATTTTTGTTCAAAGCCATCTAATTAGTGAGAAAAAAACGAATTTTTGCCTAATTAGCATGACGCGTTACAAGTAGAAGTATGGCACCTAGAGAGCTGATTCAGGTGTCATTTTAAAGCTCTCTTCAAGTCCTATCTTTTTGTTCATAACATTTTTTCCCAAATTGGACCAGAAAAAAATTATAAAAGACCAAAAACTTAAATTGGAAATAGCAAAAAACGCTCTTTCTCAAAGATTTGCTTGTACTGAAAGCCAGAAGACCTAGACGACTGGGGAACCATCTTTCCTTACACTGATAATATCAAACTCTTTGCAGTTCATATATTCTTTCCTATTTGGAAACAAACTAACAATATCGAAAAGCTGCACAAAGCTTGATCACCATGCTAAAAGTACTTTTGAAGTATAAAGGAAACGTTGAAAGGGCGCAGGATAATTAACCTGGAATACTTCACAGGGAAACCAGCAACAAAATTTCAGGGTGCATAGGTAGAAGTTATTTGTCAACCCTAGGATCCAGGACATGCAGGTATGTCCAAATGATTCTCCCATGAAGCTAAGATCATTCATATTCTGGATATAGGTGCAAATACAAATAAAATGCAATGGAAAACTGAGCAAAAATAAGCTTTTCTAGCCATTTTTCATATAAATATGGGATAACATACAAATGAAAACACTACAAAAAAGCATTTTGCACTATGAGGAGGTAATATTTTACACAAGCAGGCAAGTGGGGCTGACTCCAGATGAGGTCAGGACTGTATAATGTGCCAAATATAGCGATTTTTGACCTAATGTACCACGCATTTTGACTGATTACTCAAAAAGTTATGGAATGCCCATCCTGAAACTTGCAGGGATGCTAGTGGACATGATAGTCTTTCTTTAGTGTGAATATGAAGAAAATTGAAGGACGCGCGTTTTTTGCTATTTCCAATTTAAGTTTTTGGTCTTCTATAACTTTTGTTTCTGGTCAAATTAGGGAAAAAATATTACGAACAGAAAGATAGGACTTGAAGAGAGCTTTAAAATGACACCTGAATATATTTCCAGAGGTATGAACACTTGTAACGCATGTCATGCTAATTAGCCAAAAATTCATTAGCCCCTATCTCACTAATTAGATGGCTTTGAACTAAAATATTTGAGCTCTGAGTTTCTCCTGAAGGCCAATCACTCCACCAAATTTCATCAAAATCTGTGACGTGAGTGGAGATTCTTGGTTGAATTGACATGGAATGACCCATTTTGAATCTGGTGCTAAAGCTGGCAAAATGCTTAAACTCAGATTAAACCAAATATAGAGCAACTTATCTATAACTGCCATTTATTATCACAGTGGACCCATGGTATGCAAGCGGCAAGACATAAATCTGGCATTTCAGAAACATTACTCAAAGCTGTATGATTCAGAATGTAACTATAATCCCTATATTATTCATGACTACCTAAAAAATAAACCTCTCCCTCAGCTGAAAGAAGATGATAGGACATTTTTGAAGATAGATGCCTAGGAACTCAAGGAGATCAAGGCAGCTATCAAAGCTCTCACTGCTGGCAAAGCACCAGGGGCCTCATGTACAAAGACTTGCGTGGATTTCCTAGTTAAACATAGCGTATGAATCTTTGCACACGTATGAATCCAAGCACATTATCTTTGTACATCTCAATAAACATGGAATCGAGCGCTCATGTTGGAGTACCTGGCCCCTCCCCGTCCACGCCCCCATTTAAATACCCAAATCATATCTAAATGAGTCCTGCACCTGAGCTCCCCATCTCTGCATGATCAGAAAATCAAAATACAATGAGTAAGACAGGAAAAAGAAGAATTCCACAGAAAGCGAACTGAAGGTGCTACATACTGAAGTGGACAAAAAAAAAGAACTGGAAAAGAAGTGATCTGACATCAAGGTGGATGTGAAATGGAGGATGGCTACCCACTGCCAAAGTCTGGCCAAAACAGGTGGAGGGACAGGAGGAAAGGGGCCCATCTCGTTTGAACTGAGAGTCACCACAATTGTGGGTGGCACTGCTCTCAGGGGTGGTGGGAGCACATGTTGGCGACTCCGATTACCCTCAAGGTAAATACCCATGTATTTGTGTAACTAAATGTGTTCATACAGTATCCTGCTCATAGCCCTATAAGATAGAGGTTCATGTGTAAATGCTGTATGTATGGTATTATTTGATTTGAAATCTTTTGAATTTAAATATTAAACATACCAGCATATCAAAGAGGATATCAAAGACTTTGACTCATGTTTAATTATTACTAAATTTATTCTTTTTAAAATGCAGGAGAGGATGTGCAGTCCCAGCCACGTGCCACAGACTTAGGGGATTTCACCATCGTCCCCAGCGTCTCTGGCGTCCCAGCTCTGGGGATTCCGCCAGCATCCCCAGCATCCTCAGCGTCCCAGACTTGTGGGGGCTCCTGCATCGTCCCCGGTGTCTCGATCAAGAAGAAAATTGTTAGAGCCATAGGCGGCATAAATGATTGCCTAGATCAACTGATAAGCGTCTTCACAAATATCAGTAAATCAATAAACGCATTGGTGGATAATTGAATTCTGCATCCTTGACTTTTTTTGCATGATTGAAATCCAATGTTGCCGGGCCTGAATGGCCTCCTGGGTAGGATGCACATTCATGGGTCCAGCTTCTGGTTCATCTGGTGCAGATGTACGACAAAGTGCTTTACAGAAAATCATTAAATCTTAAGAAGTGCAGAGGGCTCCCCCAGAGGAAACACCAGGGGTCCTAAAAATGATAAAATGATTTTTTTAAACTAAAATATGAATAAAACACCGACTATAAATAATGTCAGTAGCTAAGAATAAATATGATATACAAAACCTAGACTTATTAGAATAAATAAAAATGAAACAATTAGATTAATATTAATCACAAGCTTACCTAAAAAGGTGGGGTTTGAGCTTGCTTTTAAAAACATGAATGTTCTCTGCAGCCCTGAGTTTTTCAGCTGAATGGCCCCAAAATATTAAAAACTGTGTGGGGCAATTTTAATTGATGGACAAATTTGCCATTATCACTGTGGTGTAGGGGTAGGATCCTTAAAATGATAGTGCTTCCAAGATTTGCTTTTCTTTTTTCTGCTATCCCTTCAGAAATTCCACAGGAATAGTTCCAAGAGATTAATTAATTATTTTCTCTATTCCTATGGAAAGATTAAAAAATAAATAAATAAAACTAGACCTAGCCTAATAAGAATGTCTGTCCCTCGGAAGAAGAATGGATTAGGGGCACCAGATGTGTACACGTTACTTAGCATATCATATTGCTTACCTGATATCCTGGGCATATCATTCAATCAACCAATCAATCAACCAGACTTTATTTGTGTAGCACTTTTCATACATTGAGATGTAGGACAAAGTGCTTTACAGAAAATCATTAAAATCTTTAAAAAAGGAAGAAAAAAAAACTGAATCAATTAACTGTCAAGATGAGAAGACAAGAATAAAAAATGAAATAAATTTTAAAAATTATACATATAATAATCATACACACACACATACACATACATACATACACACATGTAGTGTGAATATTTTAATTTTTGTTGGCAGACGTTTAAAAAAACAATAAAAGAACTTTAAAATCAATTCTAAAAGATACTGGAAGCCAGTACAGAGAATTTAAAATTGGTGTTATGTGAGCTCTTTTTCTGGTCTTATCAGCATTCTAGCAGCTGAGTTTTGGACACTGAAGCTGCGAGATGTTCTTTTTGGTAAGGTCAGAAAGAAGAGCATTATTGTTGTCAATTCTGCAAGTAATAAAAGCATGAACTAGAGTCTCTGTATTGGCTTGAGAGAGAAACTGTTGCACTCGAGCAATATTTTTCAGGTGATAGAAAGCTTTCTTTGTAATGTCTCTAATCTGTGTCAAAATTGAGATTTTGGTCAAATATCACACCTAGTACAGTTAAAAAGGGTATCAATTAGTCCTGAGTCGTCAGGAGACACGGCAATATGGATCTGGGTGTCATCTGCATAGCTGTGATAGTTAATGCCATGTCCCCTAAGGACTTTTCTCAGAGGCAACATGTAGAGGTTAAAAAGTGTCTGACCTAAAATTGAACCCTAGGCAACACCACAGTATACATTATATAATCTTGATGAGCAGCTCCCCTTGCTCACATGGAATTTTCTGTCAGTGACATAAGATTTAAACCAATAAAAAAACAGTACAAAGAGATGACAGTAAAGTATTTCATGATCTACAAGATTGATATATTTCACAGATGTTTTCAGATTTTATAAAATCATTCAACTGATTAAAAACAATCTTCTCTAAAATCTCACAAAAAATGGCAGATTTGACACGGTCTGTAATTCTCCAATATGGTTGCATCCAAATTGTTTTTCTTTAGAAGAGATTTAATTGTGGCTGTTTTAAATGCAATTGGAAAGACACCCATCGGAAGAGAGTGGTTAACAATATTTGGGAGATCAGAAACAGAACAGCCATAAATGTTTTTGAAAATGGATGTTGGGATGGGGTCTGAAAGGCAAGTTGCCACTTTTAATTGGGAGATAACTTTGCTGAGCATTTCAGCATCAACCAGGACAAACTTCTCTAGTGTTTCCTCATTTAAGAACACAGACTTTACGGTGTTAATAGTTTTCGGCTGAATGAGAGAAACTTGATCTGAAAAAAGTCTATTTTAATACTAAAGTGGACTGCAAAATCCTCACATGCTGAGTCAGTGCACAAATCAAAGGGTAGATTAAAAAGATTTAGTGTTCAGTCAATTGTTGAATAGAGACATTTTGGATTGTTTGGATTTCCCGTTATTAATTTTGAAAAATGATCAAATCATCTTGTTTGTTTTATTGCCCTATTATAAATATACAATTGTTCATGGAAAATTTGGTCATTTATTTATTTATTTATTTCCGACATTTTCTTACTCCAGGGTGGAGTTGGATTTGTTTTTATCTTTTTTACTTTTAAAGGTGCAATTTTGTCAAGCATGGACTTAAGTTTGCTGTTAAAACTGTCCACAATAAAATCACAGGCAGAAGGTAGTACCCACTACAGGGGTAAGATAACGTTTCCTTACAGTTCGCTCAGTCATTTCCTCTGAGTTAAAATCATTCACAGTTAAAAAGACACAAAATTGATCAGACAGGCCCACATCAACAACTGAGGTGATGTTTGCTAACAGGCCATATGTTATAACAAGCAACAGACCATGTGTCAAAACAAGATCTATAATGTGGCCTTTGTTGTGAGTGGGCTGAGTGACATGTTGAATGAAATTCATACTATTCCTTAAGTTTTAAAACTTGACAGTAAAAGAGTCTGATTGATTATCCACATGAAGGTAAAAATCACCTAAAATAATAACCAGATTTTATTTAGCGTGGATGATGGAAAGTAATTCTGAGAACTCTGAGATAAAAAAGAAGCACCTTTTAGGGGCTCTGTAGACTGTTACACATAATGTTAGAGGACTTCTGAAAGTGAAGGAATGTTATTCGAAAGAATTAAAATCTCCAAACAAAATGTCCTTAAAACAATAGGAGGCTGTAAGAATTGCTGCAGTACCCCCAGCCCTTTTGTCTTTCCTTAAAAAGTGTAAAAATTTATAGTTTGGTGGTGAGGCCTTTATCAGGGTTGCAGGTCCATCACTGCTTAGCCAGGTCTCAGTTTAAAACGTGCAGTCAATACTGTTATCTAAAATCAAGTCATTAATAAGAATTGTTTTATTTGACATTTCGTAGAAGGAGTAGCTTTGGGGTCTGTGTCATCCATCTCATCCATGCTGGTGGTGGCTGGTGCACGGCCGAGAAGGATTGTGTCCAGGTGCTGTTTGGCCTCTTGAATTTTTTAGTAACTCACAAGAGTGGATTTTCGGTGCAACACAGCAGAAGTTGATTGTCACCTTCACTCATGATTTGTACAGGAAAAACATCTGATAGCACACTGCCGTAGAAACTCAGAAGACAACCCTTTTCTATACATAAGTGTACCCTATTTACACAGCACCACCTAGTGGTGTAACATTTTAATGCACCCAATTCACATTACCACATCCTTCCCCCCTTAAGCAGGTCCCATGCATAACCAATAAACCAATAAGGTTAACTGAAAGTTTTTAAGGTAACTTGGTAACTTAATTCCCCTTTTTGACTGTCTCCTCACTTTTGTCTGACTCTGAATTTTCTGCAGCTTCAGCTGCTGCTGGCTCTCCAACTTACTAACAATGATAACAACATCCTCAACATCCAGCAATGTTTCCTTCTATGCTGAAGTCTGACTTGGCTGGGTTGTGTCTGTCTGTTGTTTCTCTGTGTATTTTTCTGGTGTCTGTTGATGATCCAGAATCTGATCCACATGTCTTCTGACTACTCTCCCAGGATCCACTTGGGTCCTAGACTGGAGTTCTGGGTTAGTACTGAGTGTCCCACTGTGAACCAGTGCAACTTTGCTTTGGTGTCATGATTTCTTGATTGTCTTGGGGGGGGGGGGGGGTTGTTGGACATTTCAAAGACATTTTTTTCACTTAAAGGGCAACTACTCTCTGGCTACTTGTGGGGGAGGGCACGTGGAGGCTGTCCCCCCCCCCCACCCCCACCCCCCTTTTTTGTGGCTTTTTTAAATAAAATCTCTTCTATCACTTGTTTTGGGTTTCAACCACATACTAAACTATCTAACATTGGATACCACGCAAACCGACCACTAGGGGATGCACTCAACTCGTTTGCGGTGTTTTTTTTAAAAACCTTATACCCATACCTAACACTATACTAAAATTCAGAAGTTTACAAAATTCCCTAATTTTTCCTGATCCCATCTAAGCTAAGTACAGAATTTAGACGTTGATAAAAGCAGGTATTTTAGTACCGTGTGCATCTATTACAGTTTGTAAGATACAGCATACTTACTGTGAGTTACACCTCACAGTTGCAACTGCACAGAGCTGTACACATGAGACCCAATTTGTAGCACTTGCACCTGCCACAACAGCCAGATTTACAGCCACATTTGGTGAGCTGTTCGCATGTCTTGGCTATTGCAGAGTTGGCTGTCCAGAAGACCTGCCATTCCTCACCAACCTTTTGACATCCCCAGTCTGCAGGGTCCTCTGCTTCTGGCTGACACTGGGTTGCCTGGGCCCACACACAACCAGCCTGATAGGCAGCACGCCTGGTGTGTTGGAGTAGAGCTGCTCTGGTTTCTGGCAAACAAGTCAAGCCTGGCCTCATCCACAGTAGCAGCTGTGCTGGATCTGTCATACATGAGAATGACAAACTTCTCAAGCACCTCTATGTCGCAGTCCTCCACTGTGGGAGGGTAAATACCCAGTTTGGGGAATACAGGCAAGGATTCTGGAGATATGTCCCATGTATGCCAAACCATTTTCTTGCCTTTGTTGCGGAAGGCAGACACAGTGTCACATCCTGTAAAGGCATGGAAGAAGAGCATGCCTTTGACCTTCTCCTGGCCAACATGCTGAAATATGTCATGCACACTGATCCAGCGCAGAGTCTGACCTTGCCCAAATGCAAGCCACATATGCTGTAGGCCAGCCTCTTGGAGACCGCTGAATACACTTATAGCTAAGATCAGAACATCTGTGTCATTTGCCTTGATCATGATGGATTGGCTACCAGTTGCATGTTTGGTGTGCACAAAGATGCGGCTGTCCGCTTCCTCGTGAAAGCATTTATCTAGTCCATCAAGACCAGTTGCACGAGTGCTGAGGACAGCAGGTACCTTTGTGACGATGATGGTATTTAGGGCAAACATTTGTGCAACCTTGTCGGCAAGGGTGGGACAACTCTGTTTTGTTGTCATTGTGCCTCAGGAAGTTATGCCAGTTAGATAGCATGGTGTTCTTATTTGTTACCTTGCGTCTTCCCGCCTGGCCACGTTTGGACCTGGTCTCAGCTTTAAGGCTTGATGGGTTTTACACATCAAACACCAGATGTGTCATTGTGTGCTTGCTGGAGTACATGTAGATCACAGGTAGGAAGTCGAGAGCTGCATAGTCCTCAAAAGTCTTGGATCTTTTTGGTGGCAGGGCGTGGTCCAAAGCTGACCCATCTACAATGAGAATGTCTGCCTCAGGTTCCTTGTCAACTGGTGGGACATAATTCTCAAGGATAGGGGTCAGCTGAGACTTCTGGCAAGTGTACAATTTTCCACCCTTGCTCAATGCAACAGGGAAGGACTGGTTCTCATGCTGAAAGAACTCCTGGAGGTCATGCTGAGTTACACAGCAGTGATATCACCAGTGTGCCCTGGTTGTGTGCTGATATTCACTCTATTACATCTGCAAGCTTGTACTGTATAAACATCTAAATTCTGTACTGCAATGGCCCCATTGGATGCATAGACCAAAAATATGTGCATGCCAAAAGTTAATGTTTCATAGTCACTAAGATCGGATTACTTCAAGGCAATGGCAGCCATCTTGGACACCATTTTGTTTCTCAAATTTAAAGTTATAACCCTCATGAAAATAACAGATAATGGAAATGATATTTTCATACAACCATATGCACGTAACAACAATTGGTGATACAAATTTCTCACTCTCCCAATTCTGTACAAGTATCTATATGCTGTATCTCAAGAACCGTAATGGATACAGAAATGCACTAGGTACCAAAATGTCCGCAATACCCAACTTTATATTCAACTTCAATATATGTATGGGGCTTAAAATCAAGTCATTTTGAGTTATAAAGGAAAAAACACATTTTTGGGGCGGACATCTTGGATTTTGGGGCCGCCATCTTGAAATTTTGCGTGGCTAACGTTATTTTTGAAAAGAGTGGGGTTTGAAGAGTATTTGTATCAAATTTCATGCTTGTATAACAAAGTGAACGATTCGGGCTATATTGTGCATTTGTCCACTAAGTCCCAGGGGTGTAAAGGAGCTGGTGCCGGGACATTTCAGTGCTCTTGACATGTTGTGCAGGCCTTGACAGTATCCTCCACCGCTTTGTCCAGCTTTGGCCACCATACGTAAACTCCTGGCCAATGTTTTCACTCTGGACCCTCCGGGGTGGCATTGATACAGCTGTCTCAACACTTTTTTCTTGGCTTGGCTTTGGCAAAAGCGCTCTCGCCCCCCACAATACACACTCATTATGGATACTGAGTTCATGTTTTCTCACTGTGTAAGGTGTGAATTTACTCTTTTTTAGTTCTGATGACCGGCCTTTGTGCACTATTTCCCACACCCATGAGAGTACTGGGTCTTTATCAGTCCATGCTCTCACTTGATCAGCCATCAGTAGTGTAACATCTGAACTCTCTAACATGAGGACCCTCTCTTCTGGCCTCCCCAGGTCAGGTTTCTCAGGTAAGGGCAAACGGCGTAGGGCATCCGCATTACTGTGATACTGTCCTTCTTTGTACACTATTGTGTATTCATAGGCTTTCATGGTGACAGTCCACCGCTGGATCCTCAGAGATGCCATCTGTGGTATTGCTGGCATCTCACTGAAAAGTAACAACAAGGGCTTGTGATCTGTCACTTTAGTGAACTTGCATCCATAAATGTGTAAATTGTGAAAGTGTTTGATCCCAAACATACCTGCTAGTCCTTCCTTGTCCAGCTTTAAGTAGTTTTTCTCTGCTGCATTGAGTGTCCTTGATGTTAATCCTATCGGCCTTTCTGTTCCATCAGGCATGTTATGTGACAGCACTGCACCAACTCCATGGTGATGCATCACATGACAGCAAAATGTCTTTCTCTGGATCATAATGTACAAGCACATCAGCTGACTGCATCATTTCTTTTGCCTTTTCAATTGCAGCCTTTTTGTGCCTCTCTCCACTTCCACTTTGTGTCTTTTTGTAGCAGTTTGTGCACTGAAGCAATGACTGTTGACAGACTTGGCAGACTTGTTATAGTAATTTAAGAGTCCAAGATATGCTTTTAGCACTGTCACATTTGAAGGTGTAGGTGCCTCCTAAATTGCTTGCACCTTCTTATGAACTGGGTGTAGTCCAGTTGAATCCACTTTGTGACCTAGAAACATTACTTCCTCACTCATAAAGGAGAACTTGGTCATCTTAAGCCAGAAACTGGCATCCTTTAGCCACTGGAACACTTTGGCACAAGTCTGAAGATGCTCATGGTCACCTTTCCCTGTCAGCAGGATGTCATCCAAGAAAATGGCCACATGTTGGATGCCCTGCAGCAGTCCTTCCATCATCCATTGAAACATTGCTGGGCTGGATGGCACAAGTGTGGCTCAGATCTAGTTCTGTGAATTCCTATCCTCCTGACAGGCTGGCAAATAAATTCTCAATTTTGGGAATTGGATATTGCTCCAGTTTTGGCACTTGGTTCACAGTCAATTTATAGTCCACACACAACCTGGCTGAGTCATCTGGCTTTAGGAGGGGAACCACCGATGCTGCCCATTCAGCGTACTTCACATGTTTGATTATGTTCTGAACATGGAGATGGTTGAGTTCTGTCTCGACTCTTCCTCTCATGGCATATGGGATAGGTCTTGCTTTGAAAAACCTGGGGGTTGCATCCTCCCTGCCCACATATATTTTTGCTGGGGGGACCCTTAAATCCCTCTAGCTGCTCTTTGAAAATCTCCTCATATTCCCCAAGAACCTTCTCTGTCATCTAGGTATGATGTCATCTAGGTAGACTAAGACAAATCTGTTGAGCATGTCTCTGAGGATATAGTTTGTAAGGGTTCACTCAGCTCCTCCCAGCAGCTTAAGTAGGAAAGAGAGAGGGGAGAAGGTGTGAAGTAGGTTTAACACAGCCGACACTGTTGACACATCTGTTTCACCAATCACATCAGCTCCTCTCCTCACCTTTAAATCCACCACCCGCAAGGTGTATTGAAATTTTCTTGAGGTAGTTAAAAGATGGCTGAAGACAGCAACGCCACACAATGGTGACAGGAGGCAGCCCCTCAACAAGTGTAGCTCTGAGCGCTGTGAAGGGCGTCCTCTACACTCTCTCAAATAAGCATAGAGGGAAAGCAGGGGTTAATCACAGGTAAAACACATATTCACTAGAAATAATTTCCATGAATGCAAACTTGAAGACTGGCCGGGATACCACGGAAGGGGTGGAGATAATCTGGCACTGAGAGACATGTAGGCTGAGCTGAAGTGCAGCAGGTGCAGGCGTGTCGATGCAGGAGGAGCCTGAGAGAAGCTGCTCAACCTCTGTGGAGAAAAAAGGGAGCCCAACTCCACACAAGACACAAACTAAACTCAGTGATGTCATCAAGTGTCCAAAATCAATTGTATCCATGACAATGCTGTATGATTCTGCACTGTCTGTCTTCCTCCTGGTAACAGTGGGCTGGGCTTGGCACTTGACCTGCTGGTGTACAACCAGGCAGATGCGTAGTGCCTGTCTAACTATACTGGGCTGCTCCCTTTGTGTGTGTGTGTGTGTGTGTGTGTGTGTGTGTGTGTGTGTGTGTGTGTGTGTGTGTGTGTGTGTGTGTGTGTGTGTGTGTGTGTATAAATATATATACATATATATATTTATACATACATATAGGATATATATGTATTGTTTGTATCACTGCATTTACATTGGCTAGGATCTGTGGAGGTACTTCACTAATCCTTACTTTATAAATCCTCAGTGTCAGGGTTGACAGGTGCTCATCTTAGCCATGATTTTATCTCTTAGGTCAGTTTGCTCTTTGTTCAACTCCGGGGCTTGGTACCCAATCTCAGGGGGAAGGTCAGTGTTAACTCCCCCATCTGATCTAGCGTCCTGGCTTCCCCTTGCCATAGCATTAACGTGTTGTATCTCCTCAATCTCTAGTCGTGATAGCAGCTGCTGTTTGGGGATGTTGGAACACTGAGCTACTAGCTGTTTTGGTGTTAGCATTGACTGTGGGTAACTAAGCAACCATATATCCCTCAGCCTGTTTATGTAACCCGGCTGGCTAGGATTACTGGAGTAGTAGCATTCCAACAGAGCCTTGTTCTCATCTCATGTCCATTGCCTTCTCTGTGTTGTTCCAGTAGCCCATTTTTCATTACAATGCCCGAGTTTCTCAGCATTTGACGCAGAACTTGTTAACCCAGCCAACCTCTGAGCCCAGGGCTCAACTGGGACCAAAAAATGGCCTGGGCAATTTTGGCCGTGGCCACCCGTTGTGATTACAATATGCAGATGCACATACTAGAGAATATATGTGCATGTTTTGGCATTTCAAAAATTAAAATAAAGAGCAGCAGCCTACATAAAAGAGATTAACCATGTTATAAAAAAAAAAAAGTTACGTTCTTTCACTCTTTCAGAGAATTTCATCTTGAGAGATGGCCACAGTGTCATAAATCAAATCTTGAAGTGAAAGTGGGGTCAAAGAAACACCGCTAGTAATGTCTTTAGTGTTTATAAAAATACACAATTATGCCCACACTAAAACCATACATGTAAAATAAAGAGACACCTCATCAAAGTGGCACCTTCAAGTATGAAAAACAGAGAGAGAATACGAAAGATGCAGAGACAATAATTGGATTATGACAGCTCCACCCTTGCCGGCAAAAATGTACGTCGGCCCACCGGGCATTGCCCGGTGCGCCAGACAGCCTGTCCATGCCTGTCTGAGCTGCTATATACATATGTATACAGATATATGTGTACATGTGGTGTGCAATGCTTTTGTTGTATTGTACAAGAAAAATAAAAACTTAAAATAAAAAAAAGATTTATATTTGTATAAGCTAAATTGTGTGGATATGGGTGTTACTATCCAAGCTTGACCTCACTCTCTATTTTTCCACCTGTGTAGCTTAGTGTTTGGCATATTTTGCCACTGTGATAACAGGGTTGAGGTTATTGGACTGGGTGACATAGCTTGTAGGAAGTTTTTCAGGAGCAAAAAAAAGAGGAAAAGAAATCTCTGTTGCTTTTCATGATGTCACATGGTCTTTTTGTGAAAACAGAAGAGCATATCACTGCTCATTAGCAAATTTTTTCACCTTCACATCATTCTTCAGCAAGAAAGGTTAAATTTGGATTCAGGAAATCGCATTCTGGAGCCATTTTAGTCTTAATCAGATCCACAAACAAGCAAAACATATTCATCATTCTTCAGAATAAGCATTCATTGATGGATAAGACTACAAGCTATTACACTGATCAATTCAAACACTTATGTGTAAATAAAGGCTTTTAGTGATTCATGAAAATCCAGCCTTTTAGACTTTGGTTTAGATGTACAGTCCTGTATTGTCAATATATTTGGTATCATGTATCAGATGTAATAAATTTAGCTTTTCTTCCTCACAGACTCAGAAAGGAACCCCACTGCTTACCCTAATGAAGGATCCATACATTCTCATCGCAGCAGGTAGGAAAATAAAGACTAACATGAAATTAAATGGAGACAGTCTGTCCATGTAGTGAATGCTCTGTGGGAGCCTAACCCAACACTAACCCTTCCAGGAAAAGAGCATACTCTTTTAACCCTTTGTTATTACAGAGGAACAACCAAACAGGTAGAAAGTTGTTAAAAGATTCAGAAAATCTGGAGAAATCTCTGTACAGAAGGGACACAAACCAAAACCAAGACTGGACCAAAATTAAGGCAGCACTGCATTAAAAACAGACAGGATACTGGAATGGAAATCCCTGCATGGGCTTAAAACCACCTCAAAAACCATTGTCTGTGAACACAGTTCATCACTGAAACCAGATGGAAACTGGATCTACAGATACCAGATACCAGAGACTCCTGTGGATCTGAGCCCATTTAAAGAGGATTGTAGAATCCTGGTGCTAAAATAGCCTAACTGCAGCACTGACTTTTCTACCATTGATAAAATTTGATGTTAATTGAAAAATATGACAGAGATGAACCTGAACTTTGAGGGACTGAAATATTTTCCTTATATCAGCCAAGAATGGGACAATATTTCACTTTTAACCTCCTGGGTTCATTCGTTAAGAGACAGTTGTTGACTTTGAGATATACCAAGGCTGAAACTGCTTCTAATTGTACAGTCTTGCTCCACAGGTGCCATTTGTTTTGGAAATATGGCCATTGCCATGATGGAGCCAACACTGCCAATCTGGATGATGGAGACCATGTGTGCAAGGAAATGGCAGCTGGGTACTAACAATGCTTTACTGAGTGTAGCCTATTTTGTTTGTGGTTATTGTACTCATAGTTGTAAGAATAAATCATGATTTTTATTCGAACAAATGGTAATTTTAGATATCTTTGTTAAACTGCTTTGCATTTGGGGGGGGGGGGGGGTCATTGTCTGTGTACATTTTTTTTTTCATCTGAGAATTGAGGAAAGGTGTATTTCAGTGCAGCAGTATCCCTTTTTGAATGGCACTCCTGGTTCAGACTCACTTGATATCAAACCCCTACTCTTTCTATTTACATTGTCAGAGATAGAGATCTTGATACTCTATTACACAATCTGCATTAAGATTTCAAGAGAAGCTTACAGTACCTCCTAAAGTGATCTTCCTAAAAAAATAGCAGACTTCCATGGGTGAGACCCAACAACTATGCTGAGGCACTTAGTGGTGCATCTCAATAGGAAACACTAAAAGAAAGAATATAATGTATAGATTAGTGAGATGACCCTTCACCGGCTTCTCTTTCCAAGTCTGTTCATTTGTTTTATCGGTCCTTACTATAGACACGTGTTGATTGGAATGTGTAGCAACTCATAATGTAATAATATAAAAACTGTCACTAAGCACGTGTTCCAGGTACTACTCTGTAATGAGTATTGACTGGCCCCAATTGCAGCACAAACAAGCAGGTTCGCTCAAAGAACAGTTTTTATTTGACACCAAACCAAATGAAGCAGCCGAGTATAGCAGGTGGGTATGGCAGGATTCGAACCAGGTCTTCCAGGTGCCAGGCGAGCAGGTTAGCGGAGGACCACAGGGTAGGCAAGAAATCTGGGGACTCGTGAGCAGGGAATTGTCCACAGTCTCAATTTGTTCTACGAGTGTGGTGAAGGGGAAAATGCTCAAACTCACAGCTGGAGGAAGATTTCTGGGAGAGTGGTTCAGGTGAGGACTGGGTGAGGATCCAGGGCTTGCAATGGAGCTGGCAGAACCGACGTCCGCAGGAGGCGAGTTGGCGAGGTGAAGCTGACGAGAAGGGGGATCTTGACAGAGCAGGAACAGGCTGAGTGCCACCCAGCCGCAGGCAGACGAATAGCAGGAAACAGGCAGGCAGAGCTCGTAGTCAGGGACAGAAGGCAGGTGGGTTTACCGAGTCTGAGACGTGAAGCAAAGGTCAGGGGCAGATCAGGTCGATACCAGGTAAGCAGTCTGGAGATGAACGCTGGAGAGTCAGGCATGAGAGTGAAGACAATCTGGCAAAGAGTGAGGGGAAAAAAGCTGCATATATACTGGCCTGATTGGAGATGATGAGCAGGTGAGAGTAGCAGGTGGAAGCAGTTAGCTGATGAGGGGTGTGGCTGAGCAGCAGAGCAGGAGAGACGCAGAGCAGACTGTTACACTATTCAGAGTAAATCCAAACTTCTGGAAGAGGAAAAAAAAATGTGATTTTAATCTTGGATTGTAAAACATCAGATCAAGAACAACAGGCCATCATGATCAGTCTCCTCCGAGACTCGTCACATCCACCCCTGAGATCAAATCCAACTCCACTCCTTTTTTTCAAACAGTTAGACAAATAAGATAAATACACCAGTATCACCATTAGATAAATACAACTGGATTACTGAAACCAGCAACACATCTGTCGATTCTAAGGCTGTATTGTTGGATTGTGTCCACCTCTGCCCTCCTCAATCCACTTGAGTGAAAGAAGACCAAAGCAGTCTAGCTTTGTCTATCAGTGCACCCCACAGCAAAACAGGAGCTTACTGTGGTTCACAGTGTAGATCAAAGCAGGAAATAAAAGTATTCTCCTTGCACCAGCATCCAGAGACCAATATGGTTTTTCTGTGTTCTGTATTTCATGACATGCAAAGGGTCAATAACTGGCTAAACCCACAGGCTCCGGAATGGCTCCGCTTCGCTCCGGACCAGCAGACAGATCAGGGGCCTCATTTATCAACCATGCGTACTCACAGATGTGTGCTTAAAGAGTGCGTATGAACATTCCTGCGCAAAGTCTGGAATTTATCAACCCGTACTTGTGCTTAGGAACGTGCGTAAATTTAAGCACAACTCTGACCATGCGTACACACAAAACCTAGTGGTAGGACAGTCAAATTACAAATAGAACCCATTAAAGGAGTCACAGCGTTCCGCAATCTCAAACTTCACACATGTTCCCGTTGCCTCTATACAAAATTTATCAATTAGTCATTTTGCAGACATTTTGAATGATTGGTCAGACAAGCTATAAAAATCTGCTGTGACAGGACAACCTCAAAAGAAGTCTTACAAGTACAAATACAAGTATCACGGTTTATTTTGCGCTATTGGAGGACTTAGAGAAGCGTCTGCTCCTCCGCAGGGAGCGTGTTTTCAAAGAGCATGCTGATCTGTTCAGTGAGAACTCAGAGTGGATTCTCAGCAGGTACCGCTTCCCCAAAACATTTTAATGGATTTACGCTGTGATTTACTACCCGTGTCGCACCAAAGCCATCCCAGCGCACATCCAGCTCCTGTCCACCCTAACCCGAACATTTCAGCATGAGATTTGAGACATATGCGATATTTCGCAGCCAACGCTAAACAGAATCATGCCGGCAGAGTTGGATGTAATAATTTCTCTGGCCTCAATTTACATCCAGTTCCCAAACACACATCAGCAACAAGCTGAAATAAAACGAGGATTTCACGCCATCGCCAGATTCCCAAACATAATTGGAGCCATAGATTGCACCCACATCGCAATAAAAGAACCTTCACACAATAAATTCAGATTCGTCAACAGGAAAAGATTTCATTCAATCGATGCACAAATAATCTGCGATGCACATTTGTTTCTGTTAAACGTTGTTGCCCGGTGGCCTGAAGGAACGCACGACTCATTCATTCTGCAGAACAGCGCTGTGAGTGTGCACCTCCAGGAGGAGGAAAAACATTCATGCACACATTTTTAAAGGGATTGTTGATGCCATATATGGTCAATTGGAGGTGTTCCTGAATGCAGATGACTCTAACCATGCACGAGCACGGTAGTAACGAACAGGTGGGATTTATCATCACCGATTACTTACGTGTGTGCGTACGACTGGTGTCCGCATGTTTGATAAATATGGATTTTTTTGTACTTACGCACATTCTAAATTTCATTCCTACGCAAGAATATAGAACCTTTTCTACGCACGATTGATAAATAAGGCCCCAGATCTGCAAGCATACAGCGCCCACTGGATCTGATCTGCCGCCGCCATCGGAGGAGAAGCGCTCGCCAGATTACTGATATTTCTTGCGAGACTGGACGAGATCTCACAAGCACAAGCATGTTTCCGCGGGAGTCATAGAATGAGGTCCGCCGATTGGTGTATATAAACAGCGGTGTATATAAACACCCACGTCCTACAACCCTGGCCCCGCCTATTATCAAGTTAACAACAGTTGTTGTATTGACTTTATTTTATTTTGAAAATTAACTGGGTATTTTATTCTGTGACCGCATACAACTTCCGCTGCTGCTCGTGCTGCGCTGCACTGAATTGATGCACCGTGCTGCTGCATCCTGCAAAAATAGAAGCCCTGCATATCTGATCCGGCCGCTGGAGCCAATCTGCAGCAGAGCCGGACGCCGGACGGATTCTGTGGAATGACTCACATTGATTATAATGCTTGCAGATTTGATCCGCTGGCCGTGCCAGAGCAGAGCGGAGCCATTCTGGACCCTGTGGGTTTTGCCCGTAAAAGGCCAATGTTTCAAATAAATACATGTAAACTGCCTAGTCAACTGATAAGTCTACTTTTGCCTGTTTCTTGGTTGATCAAAAACTAGGTTGGGTCCTCAAATCCAGTGCATCATATGCTGGTCTTAAAAAGTATCTCTTCAGTGAATTCGCTTAGACCATGTCAGGTCTGCTTGGGTTCCTCCTCAAAACCTGCAGCTAGTTTTTCTGGCCTTAAATATTTTAAGCCATTTAAGTATAAAAGTCTGTGGAAAGATAATGATGAGGATCCTGGTGCATATGTTTGCTTTTTGCTGGTAAAGACATTAACTTTTTTTAATGTTTGGAGCACTATTTAATGATTGTCCTAGTTAGCCGTGCCCCTTTGTTGGGAAACCAGCAGGAGAAATGTGAAAGAAGCTGCAGGTTAACAGTGCCTGCAAAGAGGGAACATTTAAGAGATGCGTTTGATTGATTGATTGATTGATTGATTGATTGATAAATGAGTTGCATACACTGCAAATTTGCATAGTTAAAAATCCCTCTGAATCTCTGCTGAAACTGAACTGAGGTCCTTCACTGTATCAAACACTCATGAACCTGTCTTTTTAAACTGACATGGGCTCTCAGCTCTTCATTGTAAATAGGTTGATGATCCAGTCCTCCTAAAATATTCTTGCTTTCTTCTCATGTCTCAGTTGCTTTACACAGACATCTTGTGTTTTGTAAATGTGTGTGAAGTCAGCATGTCACTCCTCCATCTTGTTATTTTACACACAAGCATCTTTCAGCAAAGGTGTTATTAGTTTTTCCTCCAGTCTCTTGAATATGAAGTCTGGGTCAGATAAAGAAAGCGTGAGTGGGGAACAGGATATTAGGGTGTCATGTGCTGGCAGGTGGAAAGCGCAAGTCTTCATTAGAGACAAATGGAAGCTGTACAGCAGCTCAGTGATAGAAATCTGCTTATCTGCCCACACCTTCAGTCTCTCATCTGTCTCTGTGTCTGTCTATGGCCCAGGTGTTGCTTTCTTACCGGCGTCCATCTCCTACCTTATTGGAACCAACATCTTTGGCACGTTGGCGCACAAGATGGGGAGGTAGGGGTGGAAATCATCCTTATCTGCTCTCTGTCTCTCTGTCTCTATGGATGTGATATCTGTTTCCGCTCCTCTAAATGAGTTTCAGTGTTTCTAGGGGTTGAAAGACTGCCTTTATTAAAGCCTCTGTCATTTCTGTCTGTACATGTTTCCTTCAGGTTGTATTTATTCAGGATTTTTCTTCTTGTTATTGATTACGTCCTCTGTTCAAAAAGTCTTCAATACTGTGATTTAACGTGAATATCAATTTTACAACTTTATCAAACCTTTGCTTTTCTAATACATTAAGGCTGCTAGAGATACCACAGATGTAGCAGAAATATGCAGCTTTTGAAAGGTCATTTAATACTCAGTACTCTGTACAGTACAGTTTATTTGTGCAGAAAATGCAGTGTTGCACTGAGGCGGTGTGGCTCTGCTAAGGTTTTTATTTAAGCTTACTTTGATAGTGTACAGTACTTCTCATCTTCTCCGCTCATCCCACTTTTCTCGAGGGGGTTCAGTAATATTATCATCAGGGAGCCAGCTGGTTGGAATTTGGTGCTGTGGGCAGGTCCTGCTGGAAAAGGAAATCTGTACCTCCACAAAGCCTGTCAGCACATGTAGCATGAAGGTCTCCAAAATCTCCTGGTAGACTCTAGGCTGCATTGACTCCGGACTTAAAAATAATACACAGTAGATCAATGATAGTAGATGACAAGGCCCCCCAAATAGGAGCTCTATGTGGGACCGTGATTTGCATCCTGCTCTTGTTACATGTCTGACTAATACAGCCCGTTCCCACAGTGTGTGATCCACTACCGACTGTAACTCCAGAGTGTTTTAGATGTTTTAGGTCTGTTCATATATATCTATGATATATTATTTGGCCTAGTGTAGTGTCCTGTTAATATTGTGTATGAGTCAGAGCTTGGTCTTTGAGGGTTAGCGTGCTTTGACTGAGGAGAATGGAGCAGGTTTGACACCAAAATGTACCTGATTTTTGTACATCAGGACTTAAGTTTCTACAAGCAAAACCAGGTAATTTCCCTTGTTGTAGGCTACAAGTAGGAATTTGTCCTGAAGGTAGGCTTGTCTTGCTTTGTCTCTGACAAAAGAGAACAGCTTTAAACTTCTTGCTGTTTATTTTTTTTTATTATCATTTTAATGCTGTTCCATTCTAGTCAGTGACTTTTTAGACCTGTAAACCACCTGCTTGCTCATAATTTGGAGTATCCCAAAGCAGCCGTCTCAGTCAAATCACCATAGGCTGTAGAAACTTCACACAGGACTTGAAACAGCGTGGATGCCGTCCAAGAGTCTTCCTCCAGACTGTGGGACCTGGATTTCCCCTATGAAATAAAAATAAGGCATCTGACATTGTTGTTGATTTAGGAGTTTGTTTGTATTCAGAAGAGGACATATGTTGTTTTTTTCCTGAAGATATCTTTAAGTAGTGGCTTTTATCACCCCTGAAGCTCTCCAGAGCTCTTGTATCAACTCTCTAAAGGCTGAGGTTTGTGTTTGTGCACCTTTTACTGCCATACCTCTGTAAACAATCTTCCATCTGCTGACCAGCTTTATGTAGACTCTGATTTCCTTTTCCAGCAAGACTTAGCACCTGCCCACAGCAACAAAACAACCACCAAATGATTTGCTAAACATATTATTGTGCTTGAAGGGCTAAAGGGCCTAAATCTCACAGGAACTCTGTGATGGATTTGTCTGGATGAGACACACTCAGGTTTCAGGTTTCATTAACTCTTTAGCTGTGCGACAGACACTAGGCCGAAAATTTTGGGACACTGGAAATTGTGAAAAATGAATTACTACAAAAATAAGGCCTAAAATATTTGTCTTCCATTAATAAATAACTGGTAAAATATATGTAAGTATACAGTTGTGAATGAGATGACAAAAAATCAACGGTTTCATGCTGTTGTGAACTGTTGAGATGCACCTGGAGATGACTAAAGGCAAACCTTTAAAGTGACATATTCTCATTATAAAAGTGTACTCTTAGAGTCCATAATAAAACCTTAAACTTCACCCAGGGTAACTGTTTTCACTTTCTACACGTTTTTTTATTAACACATAATCATTCAACAGAAAATTAACAGCCTCCATTAAGTCATTTCCTTTAGTATTGTTGCTGAGAGTCTTACCAGTCCTCCCAAGTTTCCTTCTTTTTATTCAAATATTGCCTTACCTCACACAAGAGGGGAAGCAATATTTAGACACTTTCACTATCATAACAAGTTTATTTGTAAAAATAGCCTTTGGGGTCATAAGAGGTAGGGTTTGCATTTTGTCAAAGAATAACATATCGTGAAAACGCATCACTTTATTAACAGATTACTGTAGTTAAGTGCTTAACATAATGAGACCCTGACCATGTCCTCTGTCATTTCCAGATGGCTCTGTGCTCTCATTGGGATGGCAGTGGTTGGCATTAGTGTGATATGTGTAAGTATGACCAACATTTTAACCGAGTTCAGTGTAGTAGTATGTGTTTTTTTAAATTTGGTTTTAGGAGGTTCTGGTCAATAGGGCGCTGACTGTCAATGGCTGCTGATGGGGTCAACCCCACCAAGTAATTAGACTAAGTTTTTTATTTTTTTTTATTTTAGGAAAGTCCGACCCAAACAGTAATGTCGCTCTGGGTTTGGGCTCTAGCTGGATGTTTTGCAGTGCTTTACATTCTGGTTCAAAAGAATTTGGCATTTCCCTTTGGTGATAAATAAAGTTATCATTATTCTTATATATTTATGAAAATGGATATATTGCAGATGTATCACCCCACAAGCCAAGAATGGCCATGCACCACCACCCGAAGAATCAAGAGAGAGCTTTCAGTCTGTCACCCTTCCCAGTGCACAGGGCCAGCTGAGGTTCCACTTGTTTAAATTAAGCTGTAGGATCCACTCCTGGTGGACCTTTTTTTCATTTCCTTTGAGTTTCAGCTTTGCAACAACACTTCCCCCAGAACTCAAAGACAGAGACTTCCTGGACACTGACCATGGAAATACCACCACCTAATCACTTGTCCTTGTCAGATCTGTGACATCTGATGGCCCTCAAACCCCAGAGGTTGCTGGGGGTTAGCTGTGACTCAGTGGTACAATTGGTCATCTCTCAATACCAAGGTGGGGTTAGACCTGAAGTCCCACTATCCACATGCCAAAGTGTGTAGTCATGGAAAAGATTATTAGACCACCCTTGTTTTCTTAAATATCTTGTTCATTTTGATGCCTGATACTACTTAAATATATTACCTGAAAAATACAATGAAGAAGACTAAAATTTAAGCTGATTCCATAATATTATATGTCCTTTTTGACACGTTTAAGCTCAGCAGTATTCCCAGGGTATATAAAAGGCCATTTCATGTCATTAGCAGCACTGCACATGCAAAGTCCTAGAGTGGTTTACCGCTTACATTTAAGCAACTAAGAAGTTGTCAGCTCTAAAAGAATGCCTAAAACAAAAAAAATTGTGTGAAGCCACAAAGGCAACCATCATGGCAATACTGGAAATTGGCATAAGTGAGAAACAGGTAGCCAAAAAACTAAAGATCTCCAAGACAGCCATTCATTACACCAAGAAAACAGACAGAAGAGATAACATGGAATGCCTAAAAGCTTTGTTTTTGGCAGAACAATACCATACCTATTGATGTAAGAACTCAAGTGATTTTGTTTAATAAAAACATTGAAAAAGATATCAACTCTTAAATTAAACTCTTATGAGCTATTTTTGTTGTTATCATTATCTTTGTCCAAACAAATGTGCCTTTAGTTGTACCAGGCATTAAAATGAACAAGAAATTGAAGAAAACAAGGGTAGTCTAATAATTTTTTCCAGGACTGTATGTATAATCCCAGACCAGCTCTGCCAGCTTCACCCAGTAGTGTGTGAATATACTACTGAGTGCCTCTGTAGTAAATGAGGCTTGTAATGTAAAAGCCCTTAGAGTGGTCAGTACACCACAGGTAGATTGATGTAAGCACAGTACATTGACCTTGTCCATGTTCCTCCAACTGTTCAGGTGTGCAGGCTTCAGAAGAGGCAACAAAACTTATAGATGAGTGACTTTGACAGTGACAATGGCAAATGTTTACTGTGGACACAAGGATGCCTTCATGGGCAAAATTCAAGTGTATCATAGCAAAATGAGCTGATTGGTGTTATAGTCATACAGACAGGTGTGTTTCAGGTTCATGAACAGTGGCAGAGGAAGGGGCTGAAAATCCTCTAGTTTAGATAGATGTAAGTGTTCAGAAACTTTTGGTTCAGAGACAGGGTCTGAACCAAAAGTACCTGTACAAACAGAAAGTATGTCTTACCTTTAGACAGTGTTGTGAGACTGACAATCCGCTATTTTTAGAGAATTAAGCAAACAATCCCGTCCTGTTCTGCTGTTTGTCTGTTGTAGGTTCCATTCGCCAAAGACATCTACGGTCTGATAATCCCAAACTTTGGAGTTGGTTTTGCCATTGGTAAGTCTACTAAAACAGACACTGTGCTGAAAAACTGCTGTTTTATTAATTTCATTATTGTTTGTGGTTTATTCCAGGCATGGTGGACTCATCTATGATGCCTATAATGGGTTACCTTGTGGACCTGCGGCATGTATCTGTTTATGGAAGTGTCTATGCCATTGCTGATGTGGCTTTCTGTATGGGGTTTGCTTTAGGTAAGCAGGTACAAGATAGAGTTCCAATGAATACATGCATGAAATCAAAAAGATAATAAATCTGTGTTTGCAAACCCAGATGGACCAATCATAGATAGAGAAGCTGGGAGTGTGCAGATAGCCTAGCAGGGTAGCATGCCCCACATTTGGGGGTGTGTGGTCCTTGCAGTGGTAGCAGCCTTGAGTCTGGCCCCAACCATGTGCAGCATATCGTTCCCTCTCTCTATCTGCCCCATTTCTACTCTGTCCTGTCCATCAAAGGAAAATAATCGCCCCCCAAAAATAATAAGTTAAAAGAAAAAAAAAGCTTAGAATTTAAGCATTTTTAGTTCATTAACTGTCAGAGTAAGCTTTATTGGCTAAGTATGTGTTCAAATACAAAGAATCAGACTCCAGTAAACTCCATGTACAGATATAAAATATAAAATGTTTCAGATAGATAGATAGATAGATAGATAGATAGATAGATAGATAGATAGATAGATAGATATACACTACAGGCCAAAAGTTTGGAAGCAAGATCAGATTTGTACAAAAAAGATCATAGTTTTATAAATATAATTTGCAACACAATAAATATGACAATTGTAACTTATCAGAAGACATTTTGACTATAATTATTAGGTATTTGAGTTAAAGTAACCTCCTCTGGCTTTAACAACAGCTTGGCATATACCAGGCATTCATTCCACAAGTTTTTTAAGGTATGTTCCAGGGATTGCATTCCAAGCTTTCTTAAGTTCATTAAAAAGAGACTGCTGATTCATGGGACGTGTTTTTCTGACCGATCGATCCAATTCATCCCACACAAGCTCAATTTGAGAAAGGTCTGGAGACTGAGGGGGCCAAACCATCTTTTGAAGAACACCTTCCTCTTCTTTTTTGTCTAGGTAACCCTGACAGAACTTGGCAGAGTGCTTAGGGTCATTGTCTTGCTGCAAAACAAACTTATGAGCCACAAATAAGAGTCCAGATGGAACAGCATGGTGCTGGATGGAGTGGTACTGTTCCTTTTTCATGATACCCTTTACTTCAAACAAATCTCCAACTCCATCACCTGCAAAACATCCCCATACCATGGAACTACCACCTCCATGCTGAATTGTGGGTGTAACACATGGTGCTTTCAGACGTTCACCAGTTTGTCTGCGGACATAGACTCTGCGTTTTGAACCAAACAGTGCAAACTTGTTTCTAGTTATCATAAGTCCAATTTTTGTGAGCTTTTGCCCACTCATATCTCTTTTTCTTGTTCTGTGGAGGATGTAGTGTTTTTTTGCAGATACAAAACCCTTCAGACCAGCCTGTCTCAAACGTCATTTCACGGTTGTCAGAGATATAGGTTTCGACCTTATCATGTTGATTTCCTCCCGTATTTGTGGTGGTGTCTTTCACCGATCTCTCTTACTAGTGACAATGCTATGTTTATCCTCTGCTTTTGTAGTAACTCTCTTTCGTCCAGGTCTTTTTTTTTATCATAACTGCAGGTTCCTCTAGTCTCTTCAGAGTGTAGTGGACTCCTTTGTTAAACACCTTTAGGCGTTTTGCAATTTCTCTTCTCTTCCTTCTTTCCTCAGAGTACAAATCTGTACTTTTGTTTCTTTACTTAGTTGCTTCTTCCTAGCCATGTTTGTGGTAGTTTGAACGCAGTTGAGATTTATTAGGATTTTTGTATGCAGACTCTCAAAAGCCAAAAAGTTGAAGTGTTGAATCCAACTGTGATTTTTTTTTTTTTTTTTGCTTTTGCACTGAAATTGTGACTCTTGCAAATGTTTTCAACCCTAAAACTAAGCCCTTATTATCTTTTGCTGACATATATTTAGCAATGGTCTGTTAACATCAATGTATATCTATATATATATATATATATATATATACATATATATATATGGTGAAAAAGACAGAGACACTGGCACTTGGGTAAAGTTAAACAGATATTCACAGACTCAGACTTCCCGGGTCGATAATTCATCAATGAAACTCAAACTCAAACCCATTTTCTCAAAATGAGCCATCAGACAACTTCAAGTGGTCTCAAAATGCTGCCAGTGTTGGCTTGTTGACGTAGGGACCGTCAGCAAATTACCACAGCACAGTACTGCTGTGAAAGAAAAATCAATAACCATAAAAAACACAAAACACATAAATGACCTTACTTAATTCATACTACATCATAGTTTAAAAAAAAGGATTTTTTTAATTAAAATGATAAGCCATTCCATCAAATTTATGTGTCCCAGTAGCGTATGCCCACAGCTCTGCTCTCTTGATCCATAGCCACCTTGTGGCTTTCTCTGCAGCGTCTGTTGCAGCCCTGATGGCCTTCCTCTTTGCTTCCCTGGTGAAGCCCAGCATTGTTAATACTTTGCAGAGTGACTGCCCTGCAAATCTTCTGCAGCCCACCTCCAGATGTTCACAGCGAGGTTTCCAGCCTTGCCTCCTGCTCTCATCCATTAGCTCCTGGTACTTGGCACGCTTTCTCTCATTGGCCTCATCCATGCGGTCTTCCCAGCGCACTGTGAGCTCCACAATGATCAACTGCCTGGTGGAATCTGACAAGTTGATCATGTCTGGGTGGAGCCATGTCAATGTTATTTTGGCTGGGAATTTTTGGCTGGAATGTGCCAGTCAGTGGCAGATGTGAGGATGCTAGACTTTGTCCATGGTTGTGTGATGGGCTTCTCTCCAGCTTTGTGGAACCTGATAGTCTTTGGCTTGTGGTGGCCCTTGGTGGTACTGATGGCCTTGGCTATGCTGTCAGCAACTGCCCTCAGCACCTAGTTGTGGTGCCAGCAATAGCGTCTGTTTCCAAGGGCTTTTGGGCAGCTGCTGAGGAGGTGCTCCAGGGATCTGCGTCCTGGACATTGGGGACATGATGGTGTCTTAGTTTTGTCCCAGACGTGGAGGTTAGCTGGGCTCGGTCATAAACAGCCTGGACTAAAAACCTGGTGAAATGGAAGTCTGCTTTCCAGATGTTGGACCAGGTGATCTTTCGTTGCAGAACGTTCTCACATTAAGTCCAGGCTCCTTGTTGTCCCATTCCCACCATCATGCTTGCTAATTCTTCCTCCACACTGGCCACACTTCATCCTTAACAAGATGTTGTCTTTCCTTACCCTTGGCCTTTTCCTTCCTGCTTGTCGGGAAATAGCCAATGTGTGCATGTGGCTATGGACCCCACCAGTGCCTTCTGCCTCAACCGTGACTCAGTCACCTCCAAAGCTTTGTCTGCCCTCCATTTCCTTCCTGTTGGCACCTGGATGCCAGCCGATGCCACCTTTGGATTCCCAGATTCCCTGTACTGCAGGACTTCGTTTTTCCTGGACACTATGAACTCTTCAATCAGGCCACTGAATGGGACCTATAAATATAAAGGAGACTTAACTTTCATTTAAATGACACTGTTCACATTAAAGTCTGAAATCTACAAAATACACTGAAAAGCCTGGATTAGAAATATATACAACTCATTTAAAACATTTAACACAAACAGTCCACTTACTGGTCAGACCTGTGTAAAGGGTATCTTTACCCCCTGTAAAGGTCAAGTCTTTCATCATCCATTAGAAAAATAAAATAAAATAAAAACGTCAGTAACACCAAGAAAGAAAAACAATTCCAAATAGTTTTTAATTGTCCTAAGTCAAGAAAAATTATTATTGTTATTAGGGCCACTGGACAAATGCACCAAGGCACTGGCCCCTGTACAAAAGTATAGAAGCCTTATTCCTCTTCCGGACAAGTTTTGACTCACTACTAGTCCTACAGCCTGAAGAGTTGAAGGATAAATTCTATATCTACATCACCCATCCCCTCAGTCTGTGTGTGTGCGTGTGTGTGTTTAGAAAATCACCAACGAAGCTTCGTCTAAAAGGAAAAAGAGCACAGGAACCTCAGCAAATACTTTTGTGTATGTGGGAATATGAATAACCGGGTTTCTCTGTGTGCATGTAGAAGTCATTTGTGATCAAAAATGTAGTATCTTACTCAAGTCCATTTAAACACACCTTTTGACACTGAAATCATTGTGTGATCTTTTCTCCCCCTTCAGGTCCATCCATCGGAGGATCGATAGCAGAGAATATTGGCTTCCCCTGGCTGATGACCCTAATTGGTGTAGTGGATATTTTTTTTTCTCCGCTCTGTCTCTTCCTAAGGAATCCACCAGGACAGGAAGAAAAAGTTGTAAGTTGTTTAGAGCAGTGAGGGATCATGTACATTTACTAACCGTTGACCACTGATATTAGAAACAGTAAACAAACACACAAAAAGTAGTGTACTCATGATGTGTTGAAGTCCAGTCAGTGAAATAACTGTTGGGTAACATAACTCAGGTGTCTTCTAGGTGTGTTTAAATGTTTCCTCAAGCTACAGAAAAATGTAGGTTTCAATAGGAAACTTTAATAATGTATAAGAAGATGCTTAATTATCACAAGTTTAATTTCTACAGACAATGACTAAAACATACAAAGACAGGCAGAAGAGCATCTCTCGGATGGACTTCACCATTTTTTTTACATATAGATGAATATCTTATCAATATCTACAGGCCTGTTATCATTGTATCATGAGATACAATGATATCATGCTACTACATACCTGGTATAATTTCATCATGGCATTATTCAGTGTATACACCTCTTTAAATCTGAAAAAAGACCTGAAGTGGAAAAAAAAGCTTTTAAACTACAGCATTTGTTTTTTCAGGCCATCCTGATGGACACTAACTGTTCAATGAAGACCAGGTCCTACTCCACACAGGGGGCTTGCTACCAAGGTGACGATGTAGACCCAGAGTATGAGGATTATGAATAACGGAGCCCCAGCCATGAAGGGTAACCCTTCAGAGGATCTATTTTCTTGTTTTAAAAAGGAGCACAGTGAAAAAAACAGCTGAGATATTTCCATGTGAATGTCCTGCTTCCGGTCTTCACTGTTCACTGTCCTCTAAGCGGTTGTTCTGGGGGAAACCAAAGTTGTTCTGAATTTGTGGTTGCAAGCGCATTATTTAAGAAATATTTTTAGCCAGCTGCCTTATTGAGTAGAGAGACGTGTTTAACTTCATGAAGAGAGAAGGGAGCTGAGCATCAAGTCCGCTTTGCTGGTTTCTTTTATTTCTGTCCAGACACAAGTTAGACATTAAATCTGTTGTATCTACCACAATGCTGTCCAGAGTGTTATTACCAGACCAGACCTTGCTGTGAAGGTGGGTGTTTCATTGGATCATTGTGTGGTATATGAGTATATTGTTGTTTGTTTATAAGACTAAAGGATTATCAGGCTCTGCTTATGGTCACCTTCAAAATAAACATAAAGTGCTTCTGCCCAACTGGTCTGGCCAGACAGGGAGGAGCGGCCGGCATATTTCAGGGGCTTAAAAAAATGAGATAACCGCATGTCCTAACAGCATGCAGACATTTCACCAGACATGGCATCACATCATATTACATTAGATGCTAACTGTCCACACAGTATACACATCAGTAACACCATACAACAACCAAGTCAGATTACCTGTGAGCTCCAAGAACAGCTGGAGATCTAAATCTGTGCTGTTCAATCAGGTATTATGTGTGCATCTTGCTTTGTGCATCTGTCTTTCTGTCACTCTCTGTTCTCCCCACACACACACCTCTTTTGTATGGACTGTGGAAAAAGCAGAGGTATTAGAGGATCTGGGAGAGAAGTTAAAAGGACCTGGGAGAGGAGCTGGAAGGGGCAGGGAGAGGAGCTGGGAGAGGAGACAGGAAAGAGCCAGGAAAGGAGCTGGGAGAGAAGCTGGGAAAAAGAGGGGGAGGAGTAGAGAGAGGGCCAGGAAAGGAGCTGGGAAGAGGTGGAAGAGAAGCTCAGAGAAGGGCTTGGAGAGGAGCTGGAAGGAGCAGGGAGAGGAGCTGAAAGGACCTGGGGGATGAGATGGGAGAAGAGCTGAAAGGAGCTAGAGGAGAACTGGAAAAGGAGGTGGAAGAGGAGTTAGGAGGGAGCCAGGAGAGGAGCTGAAAGGAGTTGGGTAGACACTGTGAGAGGAGCTGGGGCAGGAGCTGGGAGAGGAGGTAGAAGAGGAGCTTGGAGAAATGCTGGAAGAGGAGCTGGTAAATGAGCTTCAGTGCATCTTCTCATTTTCACGTCCTAATACTTTTACTCTTCTTCAGCATCAGTTTTGTTCTTTGAAAGCTGAGCATACTCACTTAGTACTAACTGACAGCTTTCCATGTCCACCCACTATCACACCTGCAACAAGCAGCCAACAGAAAAAGTGAACATAAAGAGTCAAAGTGTTTTTTTTTTTTCTGTGATGAGTTAAATACTTCTGACTGTAGGAAAATTTGAGTTCATGTGAAACAATTAAACACTTTGATGATCAGTCTGAGAACTGACTGATCAATCAGTTGACGAATCAACCACAGTCAACTTATCGATCACAGTGAACTGATCAATCACAGTCAACTGATTGATCACTGCAGACTCTCAGTTGAGCGGTCATCAGACATCCTAGATTGAATGACTCGGATGGCTTGATTGTCATTTCAATATAAAAATTGATTTCCGGGGCGGACAAGTCTCAACCCCTCTGTTTGTGAGACTAAACTTGTGTTTTAATCGTGTTGTCTGACCATGTATCCATCAGAATAGGACTTGTACGTTTGGTTTTATTTTTGTGTTTGTTCTATGGAATACACATAAACTCAGAGAGAAAGTGGCGAAGCTACTGGTGTTGTGTTTTGTTTTAATAAATTGTTATTTCGAATTGACAAATTCTGACTTTTTTGTTTCATAGCCAGAAGAACTTCTGATGCAGAAGGCCTACAATTAAACATTTATGTCTTTCTGATTGACTCTACAGCACCATCAGTTCAGCATGCCACTGGTGAAGCTAATGATAACAACGTCAAAAATGGAGCATCTCTATCCTGATTTACTGTTAAAAGGATATTCCATGAAGTAAATTTAAGTTATGGTCAAACACACCGTGTTCAAACACACCGTGTTTGACCATAAACCAGTGTTTTTCAACCTTTTTTGAGCCATGGCACATTTTTTACATTGACAAAATCCTGGGGCACACCACCAACCAATGAACACTCTATAGCCTAACACAGTAAATATTATAGAATGTAGGGATGCACTAAATGAAAATTCTTGGCTGGAAACCGAAAATGATGAAGCTAAGGCTGAAAACTTAAAAAAATTAATATGCCAATTATTAGTACCATTGCATTTATGGATATGACTGTGTTCTAATCCCACTAAAATCAAGGCATTGCAATTCTATAAATTAATATTCTTAATGTTAAATATTAAATTAACTTTAATTCATGCAATTGCAATGTGAGTTTTGAGTCAGTGTGTAGTTTTATGTTCTGAGTGATTTACACCTTTAGATGTCGCCCACGAGTCAGGGTCAAAAACAACTCAAAAGTTCTTAAAGAATAAGTGTAGTGAGCGGTAGTGACGCAGCTGGAAGAAGAAGTAGCGTCACTGTGTTTTCAAGCAGCTGAGAATGGGAGCTGAGCATGATTCTGCAATGTTGATTTCTATTAAATCTATGACTAAAAGTGAGAAGAAGTGAAACCTCCCCCAACATTTGCTTGTGTACTCGGCTGCAACATCCACCACAGATGGAGTGGGCATGCTCAGAGGGATTTTCCTGTTCCATGCCGCATTCATCTCATATTTGGAATGGTGATCGCAGTGTTTCCCCTAGCATTTTTTTCAGCTGCTGCGGCGGTGTGTGTGTTGGAGGGGGGGTTGTTGTTCTTACTCCCACTCTCTTGCCGCTCTACCCACATTAGTGGAAGAGGGTCCGACAGGATTTGATGCACTCCTTGATGACTCAAAACAAGTCGAAAATAAGGTCGTGTGTTGTTGTGCTCACACAGTGCGAGTAGAAATCACTAGTGCTGCATTGATAATAATGCCACTAATGCTATTAATGCTACTTGCTATATAGACCGTGCATAAGCTTGAACGTTACCTTTCACGTTGATAGAAGAGGGTCTGACAGAATTTGATGCAATCCTTGATGACTCACAACAAATCAGAAATAACGTTGTGTGTTGTCGTGCTTACACAGTGCGAGTAGAATCATTAGTGGCGCATTGATATTATTGATCGTGAAATTTTTGTAGCGGCACACGTAATTTAGCCACTGCTAAATGAATGTAGGGGAAACACTGCTGATACAAAGGAGTCCAAGGTAGAACTATTTGAGATAAAAACTATTTTAAGTGTGGCGGTTTTTATTTAGCAGTGGCGGTGCGCCACGATCAATTACATGTAGGGGAAACCCTGGATCCGGATGTTTGGATATCAGGTGATAAATTAAACAGGTGAACAGCACCTAACTTCATCAACATTACATATCGGGTCCCAGCCACAGCACTAGCCACCAAACATCTTTTTAACTTTGCCTGATTTCTTTAGCAAAGAGACTAAACACAACTCACCTACTCTCCTCCAACAGCCGCTTGTTTGTAGCAAGACCTCAGGCCAGTCCATTAAATACTCCTACGGGGTGACGCACCTCAAGGAAGAACATTTATGATCATTTCTTTATCATTTCCTTGAAGTAATAAACACCATATTAATCATTTTGCTCTGCAGACGCAGTAGTTCTTTATCCTTAGTGTCTCGGTCTGATTGCATTTCCGTGAAGAAATGATAATAGGCATACCTGAACAAGAAGAAGGGGAAAACCAACAGAATTTGTCCAAGCACTTATCCTGGAACTCCTCAGTGCAGACAACTTCTAGTCCCAGCTGGTGATCAACCAGGTTCAGTGGACCCTGCAATCATGACCCCAGGAGGGTTCCAAGCCCCTTGCCATAAACACCTGCGTCCATTCCTACCATGAGTAGGAACTTATACTGCACCTCTGGAGGATTAGGGAGCTGGAGAATAAGGGCAGTGAAGTGCTTATTTTCCCCGAATAGACAACTGAAGTGATGCAGCAATGGCATGAGTTCAATGAGGTCCTGGCCGGACTTTGTAAGCTCAAGGTGGATAATAGCGTCCTTTTCCCAGCAAAGCTTTAGATAAAGCACAACAGCTAGTTTAAGATCTTTGCCATGCCGGTAGAGGCAATGACATTCTTGAACACTGGTTTAGAAAAGACATCTTAGGATACATGACAGAATTAAGCAAACCTAAGTGAGATTAATTACATTATAATGTCATGTTATTCACTGTTCCGGAAATATGTCTGACAATATGTTCCAAAGCTAGTCATTGAACGTGCCTTTGCAGTCCCGCACTTGAGAGGGTTTTATGTGGTTCAACCGTAAGGACTGTAGCGGAGACTATGTTCACAGGGTTGTTTACTGGTGCTGTTCTGCACCCTGGTATATGTGTGGTATGTTACTGTTTTTTGTGTTATTTTGGATGGATGCCAAACTGTCGTCATCTCAGGTGCTATGTCGGTATCTGACAGTATAGCACAAAGTAGCAGTAATAAAAACCTGACACTCATCTCATGGAATGTGAAGGGTTTTAGTCATGTGATTAAAAGGGGACGTGTCCTCTCTCATTTTAAATCGTTGAAGCCAGATGTAATTTTCCTTCAGGAAAGGATACACATATTAGTGCAAATAAACAGCACAGGTTAAGAGCAAACTGGATATCACAAGTTTTTCAGGTGCCTTTTACTTTTAAAGCTAGAGCTGTTGCCATCTTTTTAAGAGAAAATAATAAATCTCTCCCTGATTCTATGAAAGCTGACCTATATGGGAGATATCTCATGATCTCAGATCATCTGAACTCATTACCTGTAACTATGCTTAATATCTATGCTCAGAATACTGACAGTCCTGAATTCTTGGATAAAGTTTTAAATCTGATGCTGGTTTCCTGTTTCAATGACTTAACCTGAGGGGATTTTAGTGGTTATCTCAACCCAATGCTGGATAGCCTGTCATCAAAACCCCCACCCTCTATAGCTCTATTGCAAACTCTTAACAATTTAATTAAAGCAAGGGACATAGTTGACATCTGGCATTTAAAACATCCTACTACCAAAGATTTTTCATTTTACTCTAATGTACATGAGTCATATACAATGATTGATTGTTTCCGAATATCCTCTGAATTATTACCCAGCTTTACAAATTCAGCTCATCACAATATTTTAATATCTGATCATCATTGACATATCCTGTCAAAACAAAGGTTCAACAGGTACTTTATTCTCTCCTCCTTCAAGACCACTCTTGAAGAAAAATAAAAGCATGCATTGATGAGTTTATTGCCACTAACGACTATAGGAAGGTATCTGACTTTATTCTGCAGGAGACATTTAAGGTGGTATTAAGAGGTCACATTATTTAATTTTAATCATCTAAAAAACATGACATTAACATTCGACTGTTGAAATCTAAAAAATGCTTCCAATCCTCCAGAGCCTCCCTTTTATGATAATGATTATGAAAAGATCTCGAAACTGAAATATGAGTATAATACAATTCTCAGTAAACGTGTAATCAATCACTTATTCAAAGTCAAACAGAAAAATTTGGAGCTGGGGGACAAACCAGAGAAATTACGACCAAATCAATTAAGAGTGAGCGTGCCAGACAAGCGATTCATAAAATAAAAGCTAAATTAGGTAATCTATTAACCCAGCCAAAGGAAATTAGCAATTGATTACAAGATTTTTATAAGGAATTATGTTCTAGCAAAGTAAAGGCTACTAAAGCTGACTTTTTAAATTTCTTTTCTACATTAGATTTTTCTCACTTAGACAAAGTCTCTAGGGGTGAAATATATACACCCTTACATTGGAGGCAGACCTTTAAAATGCCATTCAGGCTTTTTCATCTTGAAAGGCAGGTTTGGTGTAGAATTTTATAGGGTGTTTGAGGAAAAAATTACTCCCCTCATGTTAAGGATGGTGAAAGATTCAGTTAAAAACAAGAGGCTTCCCAGCTCTGTCTATGAAGCAAACATTTGTATACTTTTAAAAATGGGAAAGAGGAGATTGACCTTGCTTGTTACAGACCCATTGCTCTTCTAAACCCCTACCAAAATGTGATATATAAGGTTTTAAGTTCTAGCAACAAAATTAGGCAAGAAGAAAGAAAGAAAGAAAGAAAGAAAGAAAGAAAGAAAGAAAGAAAGAAAGAAAGAAAGAAAGAAAGAAACTAATTGTAAGAATCATGGTGTTTGCTGCTACCCTGTATCCACACTCTGTACTTGCTCCTCCTTGTCTGATTCTATGCAATGTATATGGCAGAATACCACCCAAATGTGTTGTGTTCTTTCATTTTTGTTTTGTCTTAATTTTCTTGCTTTGTCCTGTTTTCTGATCATGTTTTTTATTCATCTCTTTTTTTGTCTTGTATTTTATTTTCTATTGAGTATCTTATGGTGGAGAGGCAGTTTTCCTTAAATTTCTGCTGACATCTGTCAGCCTTGCACTGTATGTGACACCTCACTACTGCCTCATTGGTCATTTTTCCTTCATGTATTCAAGTAACACCATAAGGTCCTCTTGTCATTATGCCTGATTGTTAAGACTGGAAAAAATTTATGAAAAATATTTAAAAAAAAAAAAAAATTTAATGTGAGAATTTATTTCTCACAAAACTAAAACATTTTTCAGTTGTAACATGTTGTCTTTGCATTACTCTTAGTTAAACATGAAGTTTAAATAATTCGCCAACCATCAAACTTTGTTTTGATTTGACACAGTGGGCACTATTTTCGTGCCTTACTGGCAGCGTGGTGTAGGCGCACTGTAAGTCAGGTCCGCCGCACCAATGAGGCGTGCCCAAGCACACTTTGGTATTTTGGTGAGCGGGGCAGCCTGGGGTAAGAATCCCCCCTCCTTAACTCATTTCCTCCCAGCAGCTCAAGTAGAAAAGAAGAAGAGGAGGAGGTGTGGAGTGGGTTTAACACAGCTGAGTCCTGTTTACACCAATCACATCAGCTCCTTTCCTCACCTTCAAATCTGCCAACGGGGAGGCGTATTGCAATTTTTCGTGAGGTAGTCGAAGAGATGACTGGAGACAGCAACACCACCCAATGGTGACAGGAGGCAGCCCCTCAACAAGTGTTGACCTAAGCGCTGAGGAGGCCGTCCTCCACACTATCTAAAATAAGCACAGAGGGATTTGATGTGTGTAAGGTTGGACCCACTGGTAAGACAAACACCCATTGCCACAAATAAAGACACTCACATCAAGTTGTATATATTTAAACCCCACATAACAAAAGTGGGTTGTGTGCACAGATCACAACATAAACAAATTCCAATAACAGCATTAAAATCGGAACCACCTGTGCATTAAGGACGCATCACACTCCATGGCCTGGCTCTGTCTTTTACCAATGTTGGCGTATAAAATAAACTTGGCTCACGCAACTGAGTATTATAATATTCATATGTAGTCGTAACTCCAGGTTGAATCTTCACAGAATTTGAAGGATGTGAAAACATTAGATGAACAGATAATTTTGAATGTCTTATTGACCTGTACAGCACTTTGGTCAGCTTCGGTTGTTTTTAAAGTGCTCTTTAAATAAAGTTTGAGTTGAGTTGAGTTGAAAGTGTCTTTTTTTTTTTTTGGGTTCAAATTTTCAAAGTAAATAATTCAGTAAAATAAATCATCCGTCCAGCCTTGCCGCCGCAGCAGCAGCACAAGGAGAGGACATGGGGACATGTCTGGGTCGAACTGATGAGCTGAAAGATGAGGAAGAGGAAGAGGAAGAGAAAAAGGGGGCGGGAGACGAATTAAATATCTTGGTAACTTCGTCATGTGTGACTATCTCATCGGACAAGATATACATCATGATAAGATATACATCATAATAAGAATAAGAATAGCTTTGTTTGTCCCCGAAGGCAAATTCAATTGTCTGTCATCTCATTTATCATGTCTTAAAAGTCATCTAAAATTTATAAAAGAGTTGTAAAGTCTGGTGGCTGTTGGTACAAAAGATCTTCTGAATCTTTCTGTCCTACAGCAAAGTGAGAGGAACCGTCCACCACCATTGGCCCTTTGGTCTGTTAAGGTGTAATGAAGTGGGTGATCCATGGTCTTTAGAATAGTCTCCACCTTCCTCAGTGTACATCTCCCCACCACATCCTCCAGTGAGTCCAACTTGAATCCAACCACAGAACCACCAGTTTGTTCAGACTTCTTGCATCTTTGTGTTAGATGCTTCCTCCCCAGCAGACTGCAGCATAGAACAGAACACTATTGACACCACAGACTGATAAACATCTGCAGCAGCTTACTAGAGATGTCTATTGATTGGAGTCTTCTCAGGCAAAAGAGGCAGCTCTGCCCTTTTTGTAGATGAGGTCTACGTTCTTAGACTAGTCCAACTTATTATCCAGATGTACACCTAGATATTTATATGATGTCATCACTTCGATGTCCACTCCACAGGTGTTCACTGGCTGAAGAGGGGGTTTGGATTTATGGAAGTCTATGATCATCTCCTTTGTCTTAGAGGTGTTGAGGAGGAGGCAGTTTTTGTGACTCCAGTCACTGAAGGCTCTTATCAAATCTCTGTATTCAGCTTCTTGTTCATCTCTGATACATGCCACGATAGACGTGTCAACTGAGTATATCTGGATGTGGCAGGACTCACTGCTGTATCTTAAGTCTGACGTATACAGTGTGAACAGGAATGGCACCAGCACAGTCCCTTGTGGAGCCCCTGTACTGCTCATTAATGTCCCAGAAACACAGTTCCCCAGCCTGACAAACTGTGGCCTTCCTACCAGGTTATCTGTGATCGAGGAAACACAGAGAGGATCCACTCCCATCTCTGTGAGCTTGTCTTTGAGTATTGTGGGTTGGATGGTGTTGAATGCACTTGAAAAGTCCAAGAACATGATCCTCACATAAACTCCAGGTTCCTCCAGATGCGACAGGGCACGGTGAAGCATGTAGAGGACAGCATCATCCACTCCAATGTGTTCTGTTTATGCAAACTGCAGGGAATCCAGTTTGTCTTTGACTTCAGATCTCAGAAGGCGTAGAATCAGCCACTCCAGGGTTTTCATGATGTGTGAGGAGAGGGCCACTGGTCTATAGTCATTGAGTTCAGCTAGACATTTTGTTTTTGGTGCAGGCACAATGCAGGATGTTTTCCACTGAGCAGGCACCCGCCCCAGCTGTAGACTCAGGTTGAAGATCCTGTGGAGAAGTTGACACAGTTCTGCAGCACAGTCTCTAAGCAGCCTTGGACACAAACCATCTGGACCAGCTGCCTTCCCAGGGCAAAGTCTTCCAAGCTCTATCCTCACCCTGTTTCTGTGACAGACAAGGACTGGTAGGACTGGTGTTCTAGGAGGGAGGTAGTTGAAGTGGTTGAGACATTTGAATGAGATGGAGGAGGAAGAGAAGAAGTTGTAGCGTAGACTTGTTGTAGAGAAGAAGGTGGAGTAGCAGTAGAAGTGGGTATGACAGCAATGTCAAATCTGTTGAAGAACGAGTTGAGTTCAGCTCTTTCTGCATCACCCACTACTGGCTGTCTTTTCTTTTTTATATCTGTGTTCAGAGATGGTAATGATTCCTCTCCATACTTCATGGATGTTGCTGTGTTGTAGATTCCTCTCCATCTTCTTTTTGAAGATGCTTTGCCATCTTCAGTCTCCTCTTCAACTCTTGTTGCAACTTGTTTGAGTTGTTCTTTGTTTTTGTGTTGCATCATTTCCAAGAAGACTCATGGCTGTACTGGCTCAAAAGGGTGCTTCTACTCAATACTGAGCAAAGGGTCTAAATACTTACGACCATATTATATTTCAGTTTTTCTTTTTTATTAAATTTGCAAAAAGTTCTACATTTCTGTTTTTTTTCTGGGGTGCTGACTTGAAAGAAACATCTCCTGGATGCACTGGGATGCATCTTCAGTGATGTATCCTGAGATCAGTGGGTGTTTCGGGTCTCGCAACATCAGACACCCTCCCTCAGGTGACCCAGCCGGGGTTGATCATTCCCCGGCTTGCGTCCCAGTAGCAACCCACGGATCTGCCCTTTTGAGCCACAGCCACCTTGTGGCTTTCTCTGTGGCTTCGCTAGCGGGTTTAATGGCCCTCTTCTTGGCCGTCCCTGTCACGCCCAAACGGCCTAAGGCTCTGCAAAGAGAACGTCCTGCAAAACCCCTACAGCCAACTTCTATTGGCTCGTAGAATGTCCTCCAGCCCCTGCCCCGGCACTCCTCCACCAGTTCCTGATATTTGGCACGTTTCCTTTCGTTGGCTTCCTCAATGCGCTCTTCCCAGGGCACTGTGAGTTCCAGCATGATCAGGTGTTTTGAGGCCTCAGAGGTGATGATCATGTCTGGCTGGAGAGATGTGGATGCAATGTGCTGAGGGAACCTCAGCTGTTTTCCCAGGTGAACTTGCAACTGCCAATCAGGGGCTGTTTGGAGGAGTCCTGTTGTTGTCTGTGGACATGCCCGGGTTCTCTCTCCAGCTTTGATGAATGGGACTGCCTTCTTCGGAGCATGATGGTGTTTGCTGGTGCTGATGGCTGAGGCTATGCTCTCAGCAACTGCTTTCAGAACCTGGTCATGGTGCCAGCGGTAGCGACTGGGATAGTGGATAGTGTGAAGATAGTGTGGATAGTGTGAAGATAGTGGACTGGGTGCAGAGAAGCACTTCGTCTCCTTCAACGGGTGAGATTGCCTCACGCTGTTATGTGTGTGAGATTGCCACATGTGAAGCTATAGGCTGCATGTGTGAGATGCCATATGTAGAGCTATAGGCTGCTGCATGTGAGTGATGCCATATGTAGAGCTATAGGCTGCTGCATGTGAGGGATGCCATATGTAGAGCTATAGGCTGCTGCATGTGAGGGATGCCATATGTAGAGCTATAGGCTGCTGCATGTGTGAGATGCCATATGTAGAGCTATAGGCTGCTGCATGTGAGGGATGCCATATGTAGAGCTATAGGCTGCTGCATGTGAGGGATGCCATATGTAGAGCTATAGGCTGCTGCATGTGTGAGATGTCATATGTGAAGCTATAGACTGGGTGCAGAAGCACTTCGTCTCCTTCAGAGTGTGAGATTGCCTCACGCTGCTATTGGTGTGAGATTGTCATATGTGAAGCTATAGACTGGGTGCAGAAGAGCACTTCGTCTCCTTCAAAGTGTGAGACCGCCTCACACTGCTATAGGTTTGAGATTGTCATATGTTAAACTATAGACTGGGTGCAGACACATTACGTCTCCTTCAATGTGTGAGAATCGCCTCACGCTGTGTATGTGAAGCTAGTAGACTGGGTGCAGAGAGGCACAAGGCCAGTAGTTAAGTGGAACTAGCTAGACTGGGTGCGGAGAAGCACTGGCCAGTAGTTCGGGGAGACAGCCTGGCCCGGGTTGTGATGTGTTTTTTAGGCTGAATGCCTGGTGATAAAAGGTTCTCGGTAATTTTTGGGATAACAAGGGGAGTGGCAGGCACGAGTGTGTCTGTCCATTGTTGAACTGTGAGTTTTGGGACATTTTTTTATGAGCTCTGAGAGATACAGATTGGCTTGATGAGCAGGAGATAGAAAAAGACGTCAATAAGGATAGGCTGAAAAGCCTATTCAGGGATCCCAATTGAACAAGCACATCCCATATCTCCTGACCAATTGTAGAAGAATCACACAAATTGAAAAAATCACACAAATTGGAAAAATTGAAGAAATCAAAACAAGAATTAGAATAGAAGACTGCTGACTGACTCCAGTGACTGACTTTGACTTTAAACACGTGTGAAAGGGTATACCATTGTGTGATGAAAAAGTGAAGTGTGTGGGTTGATTGGATGTTTGTGTGTGTCTGTTTTGCTCTGTGTCAACTAAGTTCTCTGGCAGTGTTCACACCCAGACTCTGCATCTGTGTGTGTGTTATGTTAGTCAAAGATTGCTGTGTTTTCCTCACTTGTGTTTATGTCATAGTTGTTTATGTGAATACTGTGCTCATTGCGGACATGTTATCAGTTGAGACATAGATGGTTAAATACTCCTGGGAAAGAGGTTCTGTTCCTAGTACCATGATGAACACTCCTGATATGAAGGTTTTAGCTTATGCTTAAATATTATGATGGTTTTTTTTGGTGAACACATCTTATGCTCCTTAACAAATTTTCTGTGATAAAGCTGCTGAAATAATGTGTGTGAAAGTATAAAAGATACAAAAAGGGGAAAAAGAAAGGAGGTACCACAAGTGCGAAACTTCTAAAACTTCAAATCTAAGGGTTGCTTCTATACATCTGCTGTTTTTGCCAAAATACTGTGTTTTTTAAATATTATTGAAGCTGTTAATATCAATACTGACTATTGCTATAGAACTTCAGTTAAGGCAAAAGCTTTATACTGTGTATTTTTTGGGAATTTTACAAAACTTCTGGGGATCAAGTTTTAATGTGTGTGCTCATTTGAATAATAAATTTTACAAAAACCATGACCAGAAAGGGAAGATTAGTTTAACTCCAATTGCATTGGTAGGGTGTAAATATCCTGATCACTTAAAAAATATCCAAAAACTTACAAAAAAAATGGGAACATTGAGTCAAGGGGTTTGAATTTTTATGACCTAGGGGAGGCACATCTGATGTGACTGTGTGTGAGGATTTGGAGCAGCGAATCTAAAACCATAAACATAAAGATAAAAGTAAAACACGCAAAAACAAGAGATATGGAACTAAAAGTAGTGGACATGTTCAAAGGTTTTTGTAATTTTTATACTTTAGAGTCCAATTTTAGATTTTAAGTCATACTGTGACCTTTTGAACCTGATTTCAACGTTCTTCTTGTGTATTTGCTCTTTAAATGCATTACTTTCTCTTTTTAAATCATGCTCTGGTCTCTTGAACTAATAAATAAGAATAGAATAAAAACTAAAATTTTTCTATCTTAGGTTGCCTTTAAACTTATTATTTATTTATTTTATTTATTTATTTTTGTTTATCTCTTTTGAATTTCCAAATGATTTAAAATCATTGATATTTTTGTCCCATATGTTTTGAAAAGGAGATTGACAGTTTTGGTGAAATTTTGACCCTGTTTGGCCCTGAGGTTAGACCTAAATCCAGATTATGGCCCTTGCTGTGGTTGACTTTGACACCCCTGGCCTAGATTATGTTTGCTTGGAAATGCACTGATAGTATGTTTTCAATCTTAATAAATGGCACACAGGCTAGCTATGTGCTGTGGAAAACCACACACCTTGTTGGGCTGATTGCCAGACTGCCACAAACTGAACAGGGGGCAGGGAGATGGATACGAGTTTTTGAGGATGAACTGTAGAGAAAATGTTGACTACACCAGACATGAAAGCACTCTTGGCTCAACTGCTGGGAACTAAGACGAAGGAGGAGTTTCTGCACAAGGCAAAACAAGGTTGAATGACGTATCCCATGACTGATGGGAGTGAGTTCAATGCATATTGTGATGTGATGTGGAGGGTGCTGCCAGATGAAGAGCGGAGACCGAAAGAACAGGAAAAGAACATTCAGCGGAAGTTGAAACAGCCACCTCTAAGGGGGACACTGCAAAAGAGACCCAGCGATGCAGACCGTGCAGACGCTAACTGCGGTAAAACCTGTGACAGTAACCTGTTTAATCACCTGTTGTGAATGTTTATCCTCAGACAAGAACCCTGCTCCATAGAGATGATACATCCCGGCAGGGGTGTGGAATTCTGACGGACGTGTTACGTCTAAAGACCTGCTGGGGATGTGATCATACCAGACATTTTTGACAACTGCCCAGACCAGGGATGCCTCTGGCTGGAGCTGTGGTGGGGGGGCCCCAGCCCAGACAATGTGAAAGTGGTGGCTTATTACAGTGTGATTTTTGTGGATGATGGAAAAAGTTAAATGTTAGTTTTAATTTTAACCCTGTTGACCTTATAGACCAAAGAGCCCTATGTAGAAGTAACATTCAAATTTGGTGCTCACCGCAAGGTGTGTACGTAGACAGTTATGGTTTATAGTTTTAAAGTAAATATCGTGACATTAACATAGTAACATCTCTATTCTGTTAGTTTTATAATGATAAATCTAAATGCAGCTGTGTTGAATCCACATACACTCCTCACAGATGTGCCACCTAATGTAAAGTAATAGGAAGCTATCAAAGGTCAATAAGGCCACAGAAAATGTTTTGCTACCAGTAGTATTAACAAACGAACTTAGGATCTGACTTTCACAGTGATTCACACTGTGCAAGGGGGGAGATGATGAGACAATTAAAACGTGAGATTTTTAGAATATTCTGACAATAGTTGATAAACTCTTGGGTCATTGTGATGTGTGTTTTTTAGATGAATTGAAGAGAACAATAAAACATTAGTGGGACACTTTTCCAGTTCCAGAGAGACGCTTTTAGAAATCTATTCATAGACGATGTGGACATGATTAAAACTGCCAAGGGATATGTTACATGTTTGTAATGATGACGGGTTCAGTCGATGGATGGAAGCAACACCATCAAAAGATCTTGGAGTCAAAATAAATCTTTCACTGCATGAATTGGTACATCATTTTGGGGAAGAAAGTTAATCTCTCAAGTAAATATCAGATCAGAAAATTTGCATTAACACTAACTTATAGGAAGATGCTTTGCTACTTGCACTTCTGAGCTTTCACAATCAAAAGCACTGTGATAAATCTTTCACTGCATGAATTTCTAACTTACAAAGCTATGCTTTACTGCGGCTAAACAATTAAGCTTTTCGCTTGAGCAGCTGAAAATTAGTGAATTAAATATATGAGGCAGCTAACTACGATGCAAAGATCTATCGATTAGCAGGAGAAGTGCCAAAATCTGATCCCAGTCAAGAGGTGATCTACGTCATCTACCGCTGACTGCCCAGAAAAAAACAAGGAAGTATCACTTGATAAGAGACACTCCCAGAATGACTGTAGCACTCGTCCTGAAAGTAACTGTTTTCCTGGTGTTGCTGCTGAGGGACAATGTGTGAAGAGAGACCGAGAGAGAGACTGATGACAACAATGAGGGTGAAGGTCAAACTGGTGCCAGTACAGCTGTGAGAAGAAGAAGTGGGAGACATTGTTATCGCGGGTGAGTACGATGCAACCCAAAACACAATCCACACCACTCCAGACAGAGCTAGAACCCATGCCAACATTCACAGATTATTACAAATAAGAGAAGAACTGTTTTTTTTTTACCTAAAGTTAAGCAATAATGTGAAAGAAATTATTGTTTGATTTGATTTGTTAATTATTCAGCGAAGATGTTTAGATTAAAGGATATTTACATGTAACAAGTCCACTAATATGTCAGTACAGACAAGCAGTAAATTGGGTATTTGAAGAGAATAGATGTGTCTTAAAAGGTTTGGAAAGTACTGTTGCAGATACATTTCTAACAAAACAAGCCCCTGGGGGAGGTTTTTCTAAAGCTATGGAGGGTATGGAAAGCTAAAAGTGAAAATGCGGGAGAATGCTGGTAAGGGGAGCCTGTTAATGGACTGGGTGGTCCAAATTTTAGATGAATGAGAGCCGTTTTGGCCCAGCCATGAGTGCTGCGATAGCCCTAATTCTGATTTCCTTTCTCACATGTCGCATCGTACACATCCTTTGGAGACATTGTTGGAAGCTGACGGAGGAGATGGGACTTATGGTGGACCTAACACTGGCCCATGAACTACAGGAAATGCCACCAAAACAGCTGGCACAGTGTGTGATTAATCAAGGAGGGACTGAGGGACCTGAACGGTTCCTGGACTTTGACGGAGACGAAGATGAGCAATGGACTTTGAGCAACACAAACAACATATTCAATGAGCTGGAAATATTGAACTGAACATGTTTCATTCACAGAGTTAAAGGACTACACTAATCACACATTAATCAAGGGGTTAATCACATATTAATCAAGGGGTTTGTCGCAGGTTGCTACAATGTAATGTAATGGTATTATCAGAAGTTGACACTTCTTCTATGCAAATGAAATTATGTCAGCGCATCCAGGAAATGGATGGTCGCCAGGGCACGGGGCCGTAAGATTCTTTCCCTGCTGAAACAGCCGAGAAGGGTTTTCAGTCTTACGCACTGATATAATTTGAAATGATCCTAGCTATGGTATGGTATGGTACTGATTTTTGTTTCTTTAATCACATAAGGATGTTTAGTGTTTGATGTGATGATTAGGTTTTTTATGAAAGTAAGAACTTTCAAAGGGGGGACTGTGTAGGGGAATGTCTTCATACATTTAGGTTAAGAAATATAGAGTAATTATCTTTTAGTAAGACGCTACAAATAATCTAGGTTGGCCTGCTCCTGCTG